CGCTGCTCCAATTATGTTTCATGTTGAACACGATCCGTCAATTTTAATAGAACTCGATAAAGGATTGGAATCGGTTGAGAACATCGACCATTTAAAGGTTTTAAAAAAAATTAATATTTAATAAAATTGGTGCATGGTCAAAAAGTATTATATGTATATTCAATGAAAAGATTATTATATTAATGTACGTAATATAATAATTTATGTACTTATATATATAGGTGCTTGAAATTGTGTCAGCTGGTCCGGGCATTGAATTAACTAAAGAACTCGTGAACGAACACTTGCGAAAGGCAATGGAAATTTTAAGTGTGCAGTTTAATGAAAGCGATGCCAGAAAGGCATTATTCAATATTATTATTGCCATAAGTGACTTTTAACAAAGAATGTATTTTTTTATTGTTTATTTCATATAGTGTTCTGTAAACAATTTTATTGTTATATATTTTTAATACGTATATTATTTTTTGAGCTTACGCGTCGTGATGTAAGTTGAACTTGCACCGTTGATCTTTTCTCGTTTTTTCTCTAACGCGAACGGGGAGAAAAAAGGAAAAAACCGGAACCATGCATGAAGTTCAGCTCCGTTATTGGACTTTAATTCTGGAAAAGGATTTTCAAATCTGTAAAAGTAATATATACATATTTCATTTATATAGTACAAAAATGTTTTCTTTTACATATTTCTTATAATTAAATCTTAAAAATATATTTTTATATATTATATTACATACATATATATTACATGTTTTTTTATATTTGATTAAAATTTTTATACTTGATAATATCTTTTATATTAAATCTAAAAGCACTCTGTTATATTTATTTAATTAAATTATTTTTTTTAATATATATAGCGGCGCGTTAGTTATTTTTAATAATACTTGCTTTAATTTAAAAATATTTTGACATTATATGTACAAATATTATATAATTTATTATATAATAACATATAAATTAATATTTTATAACTTTTAATTTTATCTAAAAAGTATTTTCTATTTTCATATAAAAATATTTTTCATAATACAGTCGAACCGCGATAACTCGAATCTTTACAACTCGAAAACTTCTGTAAGACAAAAAATTTGTTCATTCTCTTCCGCTCCACTGCGGAAAATCTCGATTATATAAATTAAAATAAAATCTTAACTCGAATCATTTGTCAGATATTTAAATGTATTATTTTACCTCTACAACTCGAATTTACAATAGCCAGACCTCTGCAAATCGAAGTTCACCTCTATAATTCGAAGTTGTAGCTATATATGTATATATATGTACATATATATGTGTGTAACCATGAGTTATGATCGCAATAGCCTAGCTGGTATTATGTTTTATGATTACATTTATTATATGTATGCAATAAATAATTCACTGTTAAATATTGATTTTTTTCCTCTAAAAACAATTATAATCGGAAAATTATAAACTCTCGTAACAAAGTCTCCGTAAATCGAATTTTCATATGTAACCCTCTTTTACTCGAATTTCGATAAGTCGAAAACTCTATAACTCGAAGAATTTTTCTGTTATCTTGAGATTCGAGTTACCGACAATTACCGAGGTTCCACTGTGATTATTTGATGCTAGATGACGACACACGATCACAATTATAAGTTAGGTTAAGTTATCACTTGAATCGTATCAGTAATAACTAGTGTCAGTACCTTGTCGTTTATGTGTGATATTTAATGATATCCTGGCATTGATTCAAAAATTCACGCATATTTTATTTTTCTGATATTATTATATATTAGTATAAATAGCAATGACAGAAATAATCGAGTTACGTCCTAATAAAAGTTTGATAAACTCATCTTTTGAAAAATATCAATTTTCCAATGAGATTGTACCTATAATCTTTGAAAATAAGTTAAAGAATCGTAAGTACATATATATTATGAAGTATTTCACATACAACTATATGTATTTTTTGGCGTACAACCGAGTACAGAATCTTCTGATGGAAAATTATTTCAGATGTATACAGACTAGAGCCAAATCATAATCAAGAATCCTGGCTGGAAGCAAGGCTCTTCGCTTTTCATAATCATTTATTTAACAACGTCTATGATATGTCATGCTGGTTTGTCGACGAAGCTTCTACTGTTTGGCGTCTGGATGAAGACGGTTCCCTAGATGAAGTGTACAAGTTACATATAGATGCATCGAAAGTAACATACAATCCATCAATCGGATTTACGTCGGATAATATTGTGGCAATTTCTGATGGTGGTGGAAACCTGCATATATTGATGGGATATCTGGAAGAAGATAGGAAGGTCTTTTCAGTGCCTCCTGAGGAACCTGGAATCATCATGAATGTTCAATATATGGAAAAGAGCTCAAAACTTATTTTAACCATGTGCGCTATTGCTGTGGATGATAATCAGAAGAAATATACGCAGCTCATATTATTGTCGTACGAGTTGCATGTGGAAAATGAAATGACGAAGATTAGTAATACAGGTAAACAAATATTGAAGGTACAAGGCACCGTAGACTATGCCTATGTGGAGGACAATGGAAATTACTTGCATTCCATTTGTCAGGACGATATTGGTTTCGAGAGTGAAAACGCGCAAGAATCTAAAGCCGTAGCAGATCAACCGAGCGTCAGTTCGCAAATAAAGATTCCTAAGTATTATTGGTCGCAAGACGAAGAATCGCTAACCGTTTGGATCAAAGTACCGAAGTGGCATGGCAATAAACAACCTAAAATAAGCGTCAAGCCGTTGGAATTGTCTGTTACAATAGACAATGAGATATTGATACAAGGGAAATGCCAACATAGATTGGAAGAGAATGCGGTAACCTGGAGACAGAAAGAAGACACGTTGCAAATTGATCTAAGTAAATATGAAAGTGGATTAATGTGGAGTGAATTAATCAAAGGCGATACAGGAGGCGAATGTTTACCCAATGAGGCTCTTGCTGCAGAAATACATGCAAGGTACTTTTTTGTGATTTATTTTACAATTGTTACACATATTGCACACAGACAGCTTTAATTTCAGTAGCTCTAATTTAATAACATTTAATTTATTTCTATATTTTCATGATTATTTGCAATACTATAATAACGTATCTCATTATTTACACAGGCTAGCACATTTATGTACGGATCAACAAAATAGCAGTGCCGGTGGGGATCAACCTTGCGTGGGATTCAATGCTGAACAATTAGAAGAGTGCGATCTGGAGGGAAAAGATAACTTTTTACAAAGGATTAATCTTCTTACTCGGATGACCACGCATCTAGCCAGATTGGGAAGCAATAATCACATGTTGTTCACATACAAAAGAAAACATAAGCAAGTGGTGTGCCTAAGATACGATCATGATGCTTGCGTCTGGGAAACGGGTAATGGGGAAGATAATGCTCAGTGGAACCTGCAACACGTCCACAGCTTTCCTGGATTGGGCTATGTCGAAGCTAGCAAAACCAATAAAAAATTTTGTGTATCTCCAATTGGTAAGGCAGCAGAGATATTTTTCAAATACATTTCTCTCTGACTTAAATAGATAACAATAATAACTCTGTTAATGCAATATTATATTAACAGAGAATTATGTAATTATATGTTATAGAATTTATATTAATATTGATAATATTAATTCTGTTTAACAATATTAATACAATTACTTGTTTTGCCGCAGATGGTTCATACATAGCTATAGTGGAACACACGAGACATGTCTTTTTATACGACAGGCCGGATGTCGGAGCAAAGTTTGCCAAACAGAGAATCGTGGACCTTGACTGTCAAGCTTCCCCTATTATGGGCGTCGTTGCCACAAACAAATATCTGACTGTACTTTCGAAGGATAAATTATATCGCTTACAAATCCATACGTGATAATTTTGCTATCAATTATTATCAGGATAAATAAAGAATTACATGTTTTTTATAATCACGTACAATGATTATACATAGGATAGTAATCGTATACGATTTTATTACCTGTAATTGATAATTTATTACGTTTTTATTACCTGTGAATTAATAATATATTTTATCATATTTATTCTCTTTTCATTTTGATATGAAATATGTTACAATTGATATAATTCTTCGTGAAAATGTAAACAAAGATATAACTCAAATTTTTTTAATGTACGAGTTTTTTTTTCAATCTGCAAATCAATTTAAATGCCAATTTTAATTGCCTCAAATATTATAAATAAAATAATTAATATAAAAATATAATATCTATACGTGAAGATCCTACTGTTTCTAATACGTGTATAGAAAATTCGCACGAAATTCAAATTAAAAAAATCGCCACTTGCCTTATCACACCCGATTGGTTGATTTCTCTTAAGCCCTATCCAGACGGAGCAATCGGAAATCCATAACATAATAGAGTGTCTCTGCTCTTTGTTACAAAAAAAACAACGGGTCAGATAAAAGACGCAACAGTATGGCGACCTTTGTATCGCACGTGTGACTTCCCTGGTTATACGCCTCGCGTAGAGCCGTGGTAAATCGGTCGCGGATACGCCTTTGAGAGATTAGGATTGCTCCGCGCGACACGTTCGCGATTAATCCGAGGCTGACGTTTCACGGGCCGTCACTTTGACGGAGGGACCAATCGCAGCGCCGACTGATATATAACTTGTATCAAACGCGCACCGTGTCATCACACACACCCTGCGCCCTAACTGTAAACAAAGATATTATATTAAACTTTGCAGTCCGTATAATTTTCCATTATATGTAGCGCCGCGGTCGTACGGGTACGGCGTGGCACCGCGTACGTTCCACGAGTGTCTGTGATCCCGCGGGAGAACGGCCGGAATCTTGGTACAAGGATTATTTAACCTCGCGAACATGGTAAGTGGACGAGCGTGAGTTGAACTTCTGTTCCGAAATCTCCCGTCGATGGGAATGGCGATAATTGAGCGTGATGTGGCTGGCGCAAGAGAAAAATGTAACGTATACGTCATTCGTTACACTTTCCTTCTGTCGAATAATTTCATTAGATTTTGGTTGCACGTGCGTATGTGGGGGTAAATTGTGACATTGACTTTGATACTTTGGAGCGAGCCATAACGCCGCCAATTATACCTTGAAAATTTATTTATGAGAGAATTCGATTTAAACTAAATGTTTTTTTTTTACGATATTTCTTCTGTAATATTGCTACGACATTGTTCCAGGATGATGAAGACCATTATCAGAGCGGTTATGACGACCATTACCAAAGCGGTTCTTTTCCGAAGGATTTTGGATACGCACCGTTCGATGGTGAAACTGAGGGATCTATGGATCCGCTAGCCGGCGAACAAAAGCCTAGAATACTTCTGATGGGTCTCAGACGGTAGGCATAAAATTCTCGGTGGCAGCGCTCCACAAATTTGTCAAGAGACCAGTATACTCACCCCCGCGTCCTTTTCCTTTCGTTCCTTAGTAGCGGCAAGTCGTCGATACAGAAGGTGGTTTTCCACAAGATGTCACCCAACGAGACGCTGTTCTTGGAGAGTACAAATAAGATAATTAAGGACGATATAAGCAACTCGAGCTTCGTACAATTTCAAATATGGGACTTCCCCGGACAAATCGACTTCTTTGATCCTACCTTCGACAGCGACATGATATTCGGCGGTTGCGGGGCGCTGGTGTTCGTGATAGACGCGCAGGACGATTACATGGAGGCGCTTAACAAGCTTCACGCGACAGTCACGAAGGCAAATAAAGTTAATCAGGCCATCAAGTTCGAGGTCTTTATCCATAAGGTGGATGGATTGTCGGACGACTGTAAGATGGAAACGCAAAGGGACATACACACGAGAGCTAACGACGATTTAGCGGACGCTGGTAAACAAAACAAAAAAAAAAGATTTTTTGAGATAAGAATTTGAAAAAATTGCTCCTATTCACTTCACGTGTTTCTTTCTAGGGTGCGATCAAATACACTTGAGTTTTCACTTGACCTCAATATACGATCATAGTATATTTGAAGCATTTAGCAAAGTTGTTCAGAAGTTAATACCACAGCTGCCTACTTTAGAAAATTTACTCAATATACTCATATCGGTAAAAATAACGTTTATCCTTTTTTCTACTGGCACAGACACTCTAGAATATTTATTTAACTTTATTATTATTTACAGAATTCAGCAATTGAGAAGGCATTCCTATTCGATGTTGTCTCAAAAATATATATAGCAACTGATAGTTCACCTGTTGATATGCAAAGTTATGAACTATGTTGTGATATGATAGACGTTGTTATTGATGTTTCCTGCATATACGGGTAACTAATTTGAATTGCACATTTATGTGTATTTAACATTTGTACTTCTATTCATACTTATATATACTTATATATACTTGCTTCAGATTGAGAGAGGATTTAGAAGCTGCTGCATTCGACAACCAAAGTTCCAGTTTAATTAAATTAAATAACGGTACAATCTTGTATTTGCGCGAAGTGAATAAGTTTTTAGCATTGGTCTGCATCTTGCGAGAGGATAATTTTGATAGGCAAGGTAAAAATAATAAATTTTAATATGCGTTTAAAAGAAACGATATTTTTTACTTGACAGTGTATATATATATATAAACACGGTGTCCCGAAATTTGCAAATCAAAATATTATAACAAGAAAGTCTTCGAAAAATTAAATAAAAAGTTATTTGTCAATTTTTATTTTAAGCAGTAGTTTTTGAGATACAAGAGTTTAAATTTGGCCAATTATTATAGATTATGCGCGTGAAGTGCGTGATCACTAACACTATCGAAGCGCTACTCACAGACATATTTCCGTTTAACCGTAAATTATAATTGATCAAATTTAAACTCTTATGTCTCAAAAACTATTGCTTAAAGTAAAAATTACAAATAATTTTTTTATTTAATTTTTCAAAAACTTTTTTGCTATGGTATTTTGATTCGCGAATTTTGGAGCACCCTGCATATATAAAACGCACATCGAAGATTGGCTGCGTTCAGCAGAGAAAACAGCTTTACAACTGTTGTGAGATTCTTCAACATGATTAGTTCTTGCCTTTAGTTCTTCATGGATCTAAATGTATAAACCAATCATATTAATGAATTTTACAACAGTTGCAAAGCCACTTTTTTTGCTGAACGCAGTCATTGTATCATTATTTTCGTTTGTTTTGTTTGATTCACAGGTGTGATCGACTATAACTTCCTTTGTTTCCGCAAGGCGATACAGCAAGTATTCGAATTACGAAACAAGGCGTTAGCCGCGACAAACGCGACGAATCACTCATCCTCCCCCGTTAGCACGAATGAAACTACGAATGCTCCCACGGTACCGCAAAGTGGAACGATCGGACAAAACGGTACCGTTGTGATTGCACAGAGTTAATTTTTAAGTGCAATCTGTATAGAACTTCCCGGACGAAATGTAATATAACAGATCTTCAGTTCTAATGTTAGTTATTTGGAAATATTTTTTTTGCAAATACGTTACAAACACCACACATCTCTCTTTTTTTTCCCCTTAATGTATATTATCCTTTTTATAATATATTATTAAAAGTGAAATATATCTTTCATCCGAGAATGGCTTATATAGCTGAATATAAGTTATCATAATCATGTTACCAAGCATATATTATGATTTCATATTTTTAAATTGTAATCCCACCTTACTCAAGCTAAAAACTTTTATAATTGGTATTTGTTACATAGAATATTGGAGTACATATATGTTATTAGTAATTATTTTCTTTATGTATCCTAATGAAATATATAGCAGTATATATGTGTGTGTGTGTGTATGTGTGTATTTAAATCTATATACATTTTACACGTATCATATATTTCTCCTTTTAGCTTCAGAATCTGGTTATATACAGTTTATATACAATTTTTTAAATCTAAATTATGCGATTTTATTGGATCGTTATATAAAAATCGTGACTCATTAATTGTATCTGGAATAATGTTGTCTAATATATTTTTATTTATATATATATTTGCTTAAAATACTCCTTATGGCGAATTAGCGACGATATCTCTTATTTCGTCGTGTAAGGCACACGATGATGAATTTAGAACAAAGAACTGTTTCTCATACTGATACCAGCGCATGTAAGAAAAGATTTGTTCGTACTCGTTCAAGGACACTTCGACGGGTAACAATGATTCTGGACTAAAACTTTAAAAAAGTTAGTAATTGCGTATTTTAACGAAAATATCTATAAAATTTGCATCAGTAGCGTCACGTTTTTTTACCTCGTTTGCCAAGCCCTTCCGTAAATTAATTTCGGGATTGGCAGGGACATGCCTGATGGTGGTAAGCTTTGATGCGCGATTTCTGTTAATAAAGTTCGACTAAGATCGGTAATGAGTTTAATGAATTTGTCACTATCTTGAAATGATTTACTATCAACGCAGGCTGCAGACATTGGCATCAATTTATCTGGAATGGATCGGATAAAAGGAAACAAGGATATTGGAGAAGTTGAGACTGGATAAGAATAATACTGTAGTTTGGTACGGTAGTCATACACCGTGATGGTAGATCGATGTGATATATGTTAAACAATTTTTATTCTAAAAAAATAAAGTAACATGGTTTTTCTCAATTATGCATACAAAAACAATTGTTTAAAAAAATAAATACATAATTATGCTACAAATATTACAGATCTTTGCGCGACAAGTTTGTATCAAAAAATAATTAATGTACACAATAATAATTATAATATCAATCGTAAATGAGGTAATAATATACTGGTAAAATGACGGCTAAATACTACATGTATATTGCTGTAGTATAAAGCAAATATCGATATAAATGGAAAATGGAATTGATGTTGTTGTTAATCCCAAATGGAAAAATCAGGATGCACACTGGTAATGTTAAATCGGTACGAGTTGACATTCTATTAATACAAAATTAAGCACACGGCATACTGCAATTAAAGGCTGAACTTAAGGCAGTCACTGTAAATAAAGCAAGAGGAGAATGTTATGTCAGAAGCAATACCGCTTACTGTTAATTACCATGCAATTTAACATTTACTAGTTAATATTTTGCGACAAATATATTCGCGATTCGTGTCAGTGCATATTAATCGCATTGATATGTTTTTCAATGATTTGAAAAAAAAAATTGAATATTTTTTTGTTCCTAACATTATAATGATTGGCAATTGTCTCGACGATATTTATGAACGATCAACTGAATTGCAGAACTGCGGGAAATTGTATTGAAATACGTTGAGTACCGCTAATAAATTGTAAAACTTACAATAATCCGCATCCTTATGTTGTACCGCATTGTGCAAGGCTAAAGCAAGATATGTATGGTACTTTATGTAACTGTGCTCCATCACGTCCAATTCTGTAGCGGCTAACAATAGTTTTTTGCGTGACCACCGGTCTCGTATGTGAATACACATTTCGATCATCTGAAATATAATTGAGCGATAGGTAAATTCTATATAATACTCCGCCGTTATTCAATCGCCTAACAGATACGTACATTATTTATAGTTGCCATTAAATCTTCAAATTCCTCTGTTAATAAGCAATGCTCGTGAACCTTGTTCAGGTATTCATTGTGCACTGCAAAAGAATCGTTTACATTTGTTGAAATTATTAAGGGGAAGAGGCTATTCCCATCCGCTATCTCTCTTCGAAAAGGAAACTTTACATTTCGCAGTCACGCAATAAGACGAGAAAATTTCTTCTCCCTTGAAACCCCCACGAAGTGGGGGGGGGGGGGATAATTGATCGCAATCATTACCTGATATAATAGTATCGAGGCTATCTGCTTGAGCTAGAACTTTTTCCAGTATAAATCCCAGGCTCTGCAATACTTGACCGGACAAGTACGTATGTATAGATCCTATCGCATGCAGCAGCCAAAATCTTAAGCACTCGAGCCGTCTTATGTGAAACTGTTCCAATCGATCTCTTATACACGGCGACTTGGAATCCTCTAGATCTGAGAGAGAAAAAAAATCGGTAAAACGATACGAGTGAAACGACACATGCGATCGCAAGAGTATCGTACTTTAAACCGTAAACCGTTATTTACCGCAAAATCTCAAGTTGTTTAACGTCCACAGAGCCCACTTCAATTTCAATTGAAATCTAAATATCTCGTTGTACTTTTCTAAAACTTTCTTAGTCAACACAATACTTATAGGCCATTCTACTGTATAGTGCAGCGTTATACTATTTACAGCTTGTAACACTTGATGAGTACTGATATTGCCGTGAACCGTAATCGACCAGCGTGAACTTGTGTCGGGCCAGTATTGAGAAAATACCTCTTCAAGAATGCACGATAGGAAATACGAATTAGCCCACATTTGGTTATTTTCGATCTAGAATAGACGATCGTGTTACACCACACAGAAGGATATCGGTCATTAAAAGGCTAGTGCCTTTTCTTTTTACCTCGTAAAACAAGATTTGATAGAATTTATTCATAACGTGTCCAGCTTCCATCATATAAACGAATCTCAGTAGCTTCAAGTGTGTTTGCAGCTTGTATTCCTCGATCATGATATTTTTTACTAATTTGCTGGCGCTGTTGTAGCGTAAAATTAAAATCTCAGACAACGTGTTCTCCAAAATGTTTTGCATCGGTAATATATACCCTATCTTTTGTAGTCTACAAGAAAATATATGTTATTTCTAATATATAAATTATCCTGATGTATTAGTAAATACACATACTCTTTGTACAAGTTATGTATCTGGCCTTGTTTTGCTTTGGAATCGTAAGTGTTATGCGCACGAGCGTCCACCGTATCGTTTTTATATAATTCGCACGGCATGTAGTCTTCCATAGCTTTCATGAGAAATGGATTGTGTAAAGATGATAATTGTTGTATTATGTTCTTTTCAATATCGGCATCGTGTTCTTGTAATGATATTTTATCGATTTGCAGCACAGTATCTGTCTCCTCCACTGACGGGCTGTACTTAGATATTTCTGACAACAATTTGTTTTGTAACTCGGTGCTTAATGAAATTCTCACGTCTGCAATAAATTATAACGAAATATCAGTTTACAGTATACCAATTTACAACATAAACGAATAGTATAAAGATATCTGTCAGAAACAAACCGTTATTCTCATTGTCCAGCCTCCATATATCGGCAATTCGATCTAAAGAAACAAGCAATTCAATACTGTGACCCATATGTTGTACTTTTTGCAACAATAATTGCATGATTGGATCTGTCAAGCAAACATTATCGGACAATCGAATCGTAAATTTTTCAGTTTGTTCATCATTTTCATCCTCTGTGACCCTAATATAACAATAGATGATTAAATATAGACATAAAAATATAGATAGTAAATTATTAGAATTTTAATTCTAATTTTTTATATTTCCCTCGTACCTCACAATTATAAATTCATCTCGCCAATCTTCTAATCGTCCTTCACTCAGCCACGTATCGATTATGTTAAGATAAACCGTAAGACTGCGTAGATATAAATTTATACAGATATTTGTTCTTTCCCTACTATGAGAATTTTGCATTTCATAATATAAAGACGATAACAGTCGAGATGCACATTTCCAATTAGAGCTAACTTTCCAATCAATTATAACATTCTGGTGTACATCATAGAGTATTTTTATAGTATTCAAATGGCTTCGCAGATTAGCCGATAAAGATAAGAATGTATTGCACTTTTCTAGAACAAAAAAAATTTTTTAAAAATTTATTAAGATTAATAAGAGATTATAATAGATGACAAAAGTAAGTCACGTGAGCTCACCTTGCTTCATAATATCTTTTTCCATATTAATCACTTCAGTCTTAAATTCATTCAGGTGTTGTCTAAGCGCAGCATTATATGCTTCGTAGGTCAAAGGAGGACTCCGAAGTTCCGATTCTTCGTTATAAGCTGGTTGCAAGTCAGCCCCGAACCTCTCAATATCATATATCATCGAGAGATACTCGCAGAACGGTGTTAGAATACTTTTGAAAGCAGTCTGGAAGTAGAACATTCAAATATAATAAGAGAGTTCTGTATATTATAATTCTGCGTGAAAGATTGCACAAGAAAATTTATGAATGATAGAGCAACGCACAGTCGTCAAACTCGGTATAGATATGTCAGAACGTATTGAGAATTTTGATTCGCTGTCCTGTTGAAACACCACCATCGACGTTTGAACATAAAACATCCATAATAATTCTCTGCATACTTGATATTCGCTGAGAGTAGCTACTTTGTACACGGTTGACAAACTTGTCTCGTGCCTACAAATGGTAGGTATGGTATAAGTACAAATTTACAATATCGTACATCATCTCTTACATGAAATGATTTAATAAAAAAAAATTTTTTTAATACCATATATCACATATACTGGTGTCACAAGATCGTCTGATCACGGGATACTTTTGACATTTTAGATTGTTCCACCAATCGGTTTGAACATTTGATTGGAGCCACTTCCTCGACTCGAGATTTTGTACTAACGCAAGTGAGAATTTTTCTGCTGCACCATCAGAAACTTGTGGAGGCTGTGCAATATCTAATTGAGTATTACATATTTGCGTTGGCAAAGAAATGTCATTTTCGTCAATGCCTTCTTCCGTTAAGTCAGACCATTCCTATGCAAATACGAAAAAATTAAAAACATTCTGAACAATAATTTTATGAAACATACAATCTTGGTCTTAAGTATAAAACACCCTCAATTTATTGCATTGTTTTTAAAAAGGCAATATTAAAGGAGGACAAAACGTGTTAACAAAATATTAAAATAATAAAAATAAATATATTATTTTTTTTTAGATATAGAATGTTTACGTCAATATGGGAGTGCTTTATACTTGAGGCTGAATTTTTCGCGAATACCTACGCTGTCGCTATCGCTCTTAAAATCACAAAAGAAATTCTCCTGGCCCTCCTTCAAATACTGTGCCCAGTCTATTTCTTCCGTAATGCTATCCTCATTTCCACTGGTCGCGTTAAAACTGTGCTCTCCACGCGTGAGTTTCAAGCTGTCTAAGTTAGACTTGTGAGTTTCAGTGGACAAATCCAATAGGAACGTCAACAGGTACCACTGCAGATCGTACTGCGGATGCTGCTCAAAATCAAAACTCGACAGGAAGGAATCGATCAGTTCCTGAAACTTCTTAGCTACCTCGTATTTTCCGTGGATCGAGAATTTGGAGATCAGCGCGTTTATCGCTTCCTTGGTCGCGTGACTGTTGACCGAGAGGTAGCGATGGTGTTTAATGTTTGACAAACAAAATCGCTCACATATCCGAAATCCCTCTTCATCTTCCTGAATATGTAAAGATTCTCTTGCATGATGTCATTGTTTCCCGCATTTGTCATAAATGCTAATTTGCACACATAACGTACCTCGAACGACGTGAGCGCTGTTATAAGCTGCTTTAAGTCATTATGAATGTCATTCAATATCCGAGTACTCATTTTTACTTGGCGTTGGAGTCATTGAGCAGATTCAAATGGGATATCATATTAACATGTGCTAAAACACAAATTTCATACATATATTTATTTATATAATATTATTTATAATAATTTTGTAATTCAACTTTTTAATCTAACACATCGAAAAAAACACATAACCACGATAGCTTTCTTTCTAAATATATAAGCTGTTAAAAAAAAATAAAAAAAAGATAATGTATTAGGCATTACCATTAAATTAAATATTCAATCTGAATCAGAAAAGTTTATATTCATTCTGAATAAATATTTAATTTCGGATCTTAGATTTCAATGATACATTTTCTAACCTTAAAAAACATTCATATTTCTCGCACAGTGTCAAGATGTTTTCCACAATTTTTGTTTTACACAAAAATGCATCGAACGAATTTACCGTCATCAAAATCCAAGGTGATCAATCACATGGCACATAAATAATTACACATTTATCTTACACTCGAAAAATCTAATGTAATTATTGTAAACATAGAGAGCGTCATGACATGGACAAAAAACGTAGAGAGTGAACTCAAGCGAAAGGTTTCTTAACTAGGGAATAAACAGGCTCCGTGTTTTGAACTCAACTTTAGTCCGAATTCAAAAATACGGAGCCCGTTTAATTTTGGTCTTCAGAAATACGGAGCCTATTTAAATCCGAGTTCAGATTACGGAGTTTGGCCCTTACGAGCGAGTTCAAAATACGAGGTTCGTTTGAGCAGCCTGCTGACGCACAACACAACACGGAAGCTGTTCGGGCCAATGAGTTCAGAATACAGTTTGGTCCTACGATTTCAGAATACGAGATCTCTTGATTCTACTAATGCAAAATGTGGGATCTATTTGATCTTCTACGAGTTCAGAATATGCAGGGATTTGTTTGGTCCTACTAATAATGAAAAATATACTGCTAATCTTATTTGATTCAATGTAGGTTCAGAATATGGGGCTCTGTTTATTCCTACTAATTCAAAAAATATACGGGATTTATTTAATTTCAAGTTCAAAATACGAGGCCTGTTTAATTTTAAGTTCAGAATACACTGCTCATTCAATAGGATGTGAAGCCTAATGAAGCCTTTGTCTGCATTTCGCTGTATCGTCGAGAACGAATTAAGTAACGCGGGATTGGCAGCATTGACAAATAATTTTCCGATGTCCGCGATCATGTTTGCCGTCGCGATCTCGCTGTCCCCGTCGCGTGTTCCCCTTTTTATTTTTTTCACTTTTTTTCAATAACAACAAGCGCCGACGAAGTCGAGTTAATAATTCCACCCATGTACGCGTATCAGCGTGACGACCCTCGGCCGCAGCTTTCGATCGCTCAGCGGTGAATCTCCACGGATATATACGCGCACACGCCTCCGCTGGTGCAGTTGCCGTCGCACCGAACGGGAGACAGATATATTTGTCGGACTTTCCCATTGTTATTTGACCGCCTGGCCTGACTGTGATTTGATCGCCGAGCGAAATGGGATCGTTGACGAGCAGGCAGAACGCTGGCGTCGAGGAGGTCGACATCACTTCGAACCACGCGTACAAATATCCTCCGCGATCTGGTACTTGATTTATGTCAACAAACATGCGAAACCTCACGTTGCGTTTACACACGAAGCGCGCATCCCTTTATTCTGCCAGATTTTACTGATATCCGAATTAACTCCCGTACACAGGATCCTACTTCGGCAGTCACTTTATAATGGGCGGCGAGCGATTTGACACACCGCAGCCCGAGGCGTATCTCTTCGGGGAGAATGCAGATCTCAATTTCTTGGGCAGTCGGCCAACTCCCGTACGAACGTCATACAATCTTTACAATAAGTGTATATCCTCGCAAATTAACGTAAATGTTCTCTATTTAGCGGGGGGAAAAAAAAACTAACAGCTAAAAACAGTTTTATTGAAAAATATTTTTCTAACAATTTTTAATATTTTTTTTTTTAGTCCTTTGTGACTTTTATTAACGCCTTTTCCAAGAAAACGTACAATAAATTGAAGGTGCTCTGTACTTATGACTAAAGGCCTATCCAGACAAATTTGCATAACTGCATAATAATATGCATAAAGAAAATTGTCCAATAGCATTTTACGTTCGTTTTTATAATTGAAATTTGGATAATTGTCCTTACGCATATGATTATATGCAGTTATGCAAATTTTTCTGGACAGGGCCTAAGTCTGTGCAACGTAATATTATTGTTTTCTATATATTGGCAAATTGTTTATGTACAAAAGATCTATTTAAACATGGATACGCATACGTGTATAAATCTTTTGTTTACTTTCCGTTGTGTTAACAGTGATTAATCACACATGTCGCCTTGATTGCAGTTTCCGTATCCACCGCCGCAAGCCAACGATCCCACGAAGACGTTAAAGAGCTTAGTGAACATACGCAAGGAGTCTCTGAGGCTGGTGCGCAACATGGACCAAACTTCGACGTCCTCGCATTACCACACTGTGGTCAAGCATTACGGCGACAATATTGACATTGACAAGAAGCCCAATCGCTTCAACATTGAATTTGTGTTCGACTGCGACGTGAGATGTGCGATAACGATTTATTACTTTTGTACGGAGGAGGTCTCGACGAAGGGAGTCGCGTATGTACACGTAATGCGAAATCTCGCATCCACGATCGTGGATTCCGATTTCGGGGACGGAGAAAGAATTAACGAACCATTTCAACAATTCAAATCGTTTGAACAATTTAATCAATTGGCTAAAGGGCTGCTTGCTGCAAGAGCGGTGCTACCAGGAACCGACATTTACATTTTAAAAACGAAAAAAATGTATTTTGAAGTTCATCACTTCAACTTTAGGAGTTAATTTTTCGCCGTTACAAAATGTGGAATTAGCCCACATGTCGCAGCAAGTCCTTCAATTCTTTCTCCGTTCGAGATTTCGGAGTTATTTCTACGATCGTGGATACAAAGCTTAAACATTGCTGCACAGAAAACATTTGATAAGAATTGAATTTTTTTTTTATCGAATTCAGATACATACCACGGGATCCGTCTATGAACTCTGAAACATATCATTACAAGAAAGGAGCGAATCAATTATTCTCACAAACGTCGCATATATTTGATCCAACGTTGCACATCGAAGAAGATCTGATGTACAACGCCGATAAGGAGGTATTTGCAACGAATACATACATGCATTATCCTTGAAAAGATTGATGAAAATGTTCAAGAAAAATGAGACGTATTCTTTTTTTTTGTAATTTGTAGATTATCCCAATAGCTATACATTGTGTAGCGGAGGAAGGATCGGACGATCTGAAACAATCTCACACAACCATAGCGGTGGTTGAAAAACATTCCGACGGAACGTACGTGTTGAAAGCGCTTAAACAGAAGCTCTACGTGGACGGCCTCTGCTATTTGGTACAGGAGATATATGGAATTGAGAATAAAAATACTGAAAACTCAAAGGTACGAGAATGCACGATAATATTTGAAAAGAACAGATTATCTCGAATACGTATGTGCGCGCGTTTTTTTTTTCCAGATAATGTGAGGAATTTTCTTTCCCTCCAATTTTCGTTAAATTTAATAAAAATATTCTGGATGTTCCTAAATGAATATTTGGCGCAAATTAAATTTAGTCGAGCTAATATTCGAAGATATAATTTTTATGCATGTGAAATAAGAATTGTAACTTTTTAGATTATTCCTTTTTTTTAATCTCATATACAAAGATGCTGTAAGATTGATATACTTGTGCTACCTCGACTTTGGTTTCGTTAAAAAGAAATTAAGACACTTTTACTTCAAATTTCGAAGAGCGAGAATAAAAGATCTAAGAGCTTCAGCTTTACTTTCTTTTCTTTTTTTGTACAGCAACAAGGTAGCGATGAGGACACCGAGGACAACGGCTCCGAATGCGTAATTTGCATGAGCGAGGTACGCGACACGCTAATTTTGCCGTGCAGACACTTGTGCCTGTGCAACTCGTGCGCCGATTCGTTGAGATACCAGGCGAACAACTGTCCGATATGTCGCGCGCCGTTCAGGGCGCTTCTGCAAATTAAAGCTCTCCAGAAGGCGACCGGCACAATTATATCCAATCCGCCGTTGCCGGAGGTGAGATTAATCATTTTTCATTAGCTTTGATTGCGTATCATTATGTTGATAGTTTCTGAATCGACTCTATCTCTGCGTGTTTCCTCTCAGACGGTACACAACAGCAAGCATCGCTCAAAAGTGAATCTTTAAGACGGATGTGATATGATATGTCTAAAAGACATCTGAATAATGTTTTTTATGTTTCACTTTTGGACATGCGTGTTCTGAGTTATTCGTTGTCACTGGAAATTGTCTGATATAATTTGAAAATTATTGTTCCAGGGAAGTTGCGAGAACATCCCATCGGGCTACGAGGCGGTGTCTCTGATAGAAGCTTTAAATGGACCCTATACTCCACGAACTGCCATCATTGCGCCAGAATCACCGGACACTCCCGATACAGATACGGCGAGTGCCATTCAAGCCGCGGAGACCCTAAATCGGTTCGTATCGATCTTTGTAGTTATTTATTAAACGTTAATAAATTAATTAAAATGTTACTACGTTTATATGTGAAAAACGTGTACATTTGCAGCTCGGCGGAACGTACCCCGGTCTCGAAACACATATCCGCGAAAGAAACTGATATATCGGCTAGGACCAGCAGTACCGCTTGTCCGACCCCCGAATTCCGTATGTCCGTATTGTTATCCAGGGACGAGCACTCGGGTTCTCAAAAGGAGCTGCATAATCGATCTCCAGCTATGCGAACCAAATCGGTACATTCGCGCGATAAATCTGGTCTAAGAACGCGCGACACATTGAGATTGGTTAACGAGAAACAACCAGCTTCCTTATACGAGGTATGCCACTTTTATACATTGAAACAATATGATGTAAGAAAATTAGTATCAATAAGTTGGATTGAACAAGTTTGCTTAGGAAATCGTCCTTTTCGTGATCACTTCTGAGAAATTTGACTAAATTGACTCAAACTCTAAGCAATCTGTGTGATTTTTATTCATAACAAAAATTGCATTTATTAGAGATATAAATATATGAATGTACTTTTAAAGGGACAGGGACAAGATGAAGACAGCGAAGCGGAAAAGTTATCGCCACTGTTAGATGCGGCGACAAGTACCGAAGCTTTAGACGTACATTCCCATAGAATATGCGACATTGACATTGACGACGAGATTCAAAATACGGTAAACGAAAATGATACGGACACTACTTGTCACTCACACTAGAAAGCGGCCGAGAGTGTATCCTTTCAGGATGTTCATTCATATTTTGTAAAGTAATGTTTATACGAAGTGTTTTATTTCGTGTAATTGTAACAATTGTGCATATCATTTATTTATTCAAGTGCTTTGAACTCCAACCGTACTAAATTTCTCGCAATCATTAAAACGTAATCTCTTAAAGTTATACATTTTAATTAGCCCAACGTGGATGCTTTCCATTTACGTAATTTTTAACGAGAGAAGAGAACGAATAACAGAGGAAGATACAAGTTAGCCGAAGACGAGGTGCAATATGATAAATGGAAAGCCATTGTAATTTATGAATATAAATATAGAGAGGTACAAGTTGATTATATAATTTTAATTATATTGTGTAGATATATCTGTGTATACACAAGCGTGCAACTACATTCAGAACAATAGAGTATTTATTTTTATAAAACGAGAGAAATTTATATATAATTTAACAAGTAGGATTTTGTTTAGGTTTGTTTTTCCTTCTGTATTCTATCTTTCAAGGAACTGTAAAGGTGGTCGGAGTCGTGCGAAAGTAGAAATGAAGAATCGAATTGTGTTATCAAATGGAAAGTAACCCTAATCTCACAGTATAAAAGGTGTTCTATTCTACAAGTTAACTCTAGTATAAATAAGGTACGAAAAGATTGTTTCTTAATAAATGGTCATACTGTAATTATTAGAATCTCGAGTAAAATCACACGTATGTATGTACACTTTATCAAATTATGAAGACTGGGACGGTACTTTGTAAAAAGAAAACATTGTAATATTGCATTTTTTTAGAATTTAGATAGTAAGATGTAATTATCAAATTTTTATTTACACATGCAAATTGACATTAGATAATAAAAGTGCTTCCATTCGGCGTTTACCGATATTTATTTTGTAAAAGATAACTAGATTCAATTAGATGTATAAATTGGACGTTCAAATCTGATATGACACGAATATCTCAAATTAATTGTCAAACTCTTGCCTCAAAATATCTTTTAAACAAGTATTTCTAATTTGTATTTTTTGCCCGTCTTTCGCAATTAATAGTGTTCTTTTCATAAATAATTCAACAAAATCATATTAATTCAAAGATTGTTAAAGTGTAGAAAAACTATCCTGAACTCTCACATAGAAATAGGAGAAATAATTCTGGATATTACATTCTAGATTGTTCTAGGATTTTTTAGTAAATATATATACTCTCGCTTTTTCTGATTATATATTTTATTCAATTCAATGTCCAAAATATCCCAAGCTTATTTAAGCTGCAGCAAGTACCTTCCTAAACTTCTTCCATTCCTCGAGCGGTCCATGCTCTGGCAGATACTTGACATTGCAACCATCGGGGGCAAGACGGCCTGCCACTTTCAGCTCCTCGTATTCGATACGATCGTATTTCGTGAAGCCCCACTTCTTCGACACGTAAATCTTCTGGCGGCCTGGGAACTTGAACTTGGCACGTCGCAGAGCCTCGATGACGGCCGCCTTGTGACGATCGGAGGAACGCACGCTCATGATAGGCTGGCCAATGTGTACCCTGGCCACAGTACCCTGAGGCTTGCCAAAGGCACCTCTCATTCCAGTCTGGAGCCTGCAAAATATAATTTGGATTAAAGAAATTTACCGACCGGCAATTGTATGTCGGACTATAAGATAGAAATCACAAAAAGTGAAAGTTACATGAAAATTTTCAAAAGATATATTTCTAAAACTCTGCGTGTCCGCGATGTTAGAAATCGCTCCGAGATCTTGCAAAGAGAACGAATTGATCACATTGGTTAATTGATCAAATTGTTCAAATGTTAATTTGTTAATTCATTCTCCGTGCGAGATCTCGGAGGGATTTCTCATACTAGGGACACAAGGTTAAGAAATTTTGCTATCTTAACGCCAGTTACATACCTATCAGCTCCAGCACACGATAACATTTTGTTGATACGAATAACGTGGAACGGATGGAGCCTCATACGAATATGAAACTGATCTTTTCCGGCATTCTTCACCATGTATTTGTTAGCACAAATACGTCCGGCTTCCAAAGCCTCGGAGCTGAGCTGCTCATATTCGTCCGACACCAGATGTACGCACAGCGGGAAGTCCTCGACAGAGGCTTTCTTCTTCCCAAGATCGAAAATACGGATCTTCGGGTCGGGCACACCACGACAGAATCTGGATTTCGGGTACGGCTTATTTTTACAATACCGATAGCTAGAAAGGAAAAAAAATCCTCAAGATACAGCAGTACTATCGTACATTCTAAAGAAATATTCTTTGACATTAAATTTCAATATTGAATTTATATTATTAAAATTGTAATATCAAATCGGAATTACAAGACGTTTTCGTTGTCACGATGTTACGCAAGATAACGTAATTGTAATTTTTTATCTAAAATATGCTCAATTGTACAAAGATTTAACTCTGGTTCAATCATTGTGTTAATATGACGGAATATAACATTCGTAAATGTATTTCGTGTACAAATACCATATGGTATCGGAGAAAAAAAATATTACAAAGGTTATTGACAAGATAAAGATAATTTATGAAGGCGACGAATATAAAAACTCATTACTTACCATCTTGCTGGTCGGCGTCCCATTTTAACCTGCAAATTAAATTAAATCCGCATAAGGTAACGCTAGAAATACATAAATCAACGTGTCGAGAACAGTTCCGAAAAACGCGGCATGCAAGGAAACATTTAATGTATATTACGATGTCGAGAGATAATGGTGGATAAAGAAATGTGATGTCTCACCGACTCCTAGGCGGAGCTAACCACACGAGAAAAGGAAAATGAAGGCGAGCACGGATAAGAGGTTACTTTCAATAACGTGAAGCCGTCGCGATTGGCGACGAGATTCTCATCATGGAAGTCGTCCTATCGCCAACAGAACTGCCAACCGTTGAGCGCCAAAAATTCCATGCCAACTCTTCTTATTGAATGGCACGCGTTTCAAAATTATGGCAAAATTATGGCGTGCATCCCTGAATTGTAGTATATTTGAGTATGTTATATATTTTTTCAAATATTGGATGCATCAAAATTCCCGTTTTATTTCGGTCACTCTCCATAAAATCATTAAAAGAGATTCTCAATGTTTCTTTTTTTCTTTAAACAACTTTACACTATATGCAAAAGAGCAAATACATGGAGTGACATATAAAAAAAAAAAGATGTGCACACGATTAAATGTACATATATGCAACGGTGACATTATAAATAATTACATTTATATTAACTATATCTACACGATTGTACATATATTTATAACGCATTATCAAAGGTTTTTAATACACAATCCTCGAGATGTAGTTATACAGAATAAATATTCTAACACATGCCGTTAAATTTACAAAAAATCTAGACTTCTTTATTTTATAAAGGATAATTTTCGTCCCAGGGTGATTATATATTATTTTTTTTACAATTAGGATTATTCAAAGATTCTTTTAACGAGGGAAGTTTTAACGTGTTATGGAAAGACAGTATGTTACAAACGCCATTGTAATCGTTAAAAGTGCCAGGATAATTCTGTCCATTATTTATACTTAACTCATGAATTTGACAAGTTTTATATATATATACAGGACTGCTTCCTCTTGCATAAGTTATTATAATCTACACTAGGACTCTCTCTCTCTCTCTCTGGCTCATAAAAATTGACTTATACACATTCTTATTTCTTAAGAAGTACACTGTACAAAAAATACAAGCCTATCATCTAAGAGACCTCAAATATTTCTTTCATCTACCTATTTTGTTCTTCCGAATTTCTCGCAACATCTCAAAAATGTTTGAAAAGTTTAATCTCTATTCCTCATGCTGTCATAAGCAATCGCATCATCGACCGCCGAATGTACATTCACATTGAGTTAATGCAGAGAAACAAGATTGGTATTTCTAATTCTTTTTACACGCGACGAAAGAAAATATTTATACTTTTCACTTACTCCAAACGTCTGAGATTTGAGTAAATTCACTTGTATGAAGAAAAAGAATTTCTTTCGCTCCGACAGAAGATAACAGATAATTATAAGTGCTTTATAGACGATATGTCTCGGTGAAAGGTAAACGTGCGTATCGCTTGTTTGGCAGTTAAAGGGTATTGCAGTCCCCAATATTAAGCGCGACGAGTTGGCAGAAGAGTCGTTCAAATTCCTGCCATGCGCTCGACTTGCTTCGTAGATAATTACCGTGAGGTAGCCTCGAGACTAAACGGGTCGTAAGAAAGTTAAGTAATCACATCAGTGAAACCTGACTGAACGCGTAATCGATCGCCCGAGACGGGCGAGTCTGGTTTATTCGCGTATCCTCTCGCCGCGCGTGTCCGCCGGGCGCAGTGTACAAAAAGTTATCGCAGCAAAGCAAAAGCAGTTTTCGACGCTGAAACGTGATAATGTCGGGTAAAAAATATGTTGACGTTATTAAAATATCAATTGTAATATAATGTAACAATTTCTTTCCAACATACGCCGTATGTACATACTACTATATACTGACAAGGAATGATTCTGAGTTACAGCTAAAAAAAAAAAAAAAAAAAAAGAAAAAAGTAGCACTCTCCCATATCCATTAGTGACTGTGACCGCGTGTTAATCTACGTACTGCCGTCGTTAACGATGCATATACTCTCCATCTTGCCCTTCTGAGCAATGTACTCCTGGCTATTGGTGACTTTAACGGAGATCTCTATTCGCGCCGCCAGGTCGTACGTTCCCGTGCCGGGCAGCACAGCGTGTAATCTCATGGTATTACTTGCATGCGCTTCAACGTCGCAATAAATTGACGAGTGACCGGCGTACTTGTAGTACGTTGAAGCTTGTGGCGAGTACAGCTGAGACTTGATGCTCGGAAGATGAGTTTCGCTGCGAAAGAAAAATTACATTACATATACACAAGTGTAAGGGGAAAGTATATAAGAGCAGAATAGCTAACTTGCGGTGTTAAGCACACGCTAAGTAATATTTTGTATATTTTATACGAGATATTTTATAATATATGTTATATTAATATTATGTATTAGATTACGTTTCTAAAGTTTTGGGAATTGTACTCTAAAATCTTTTTTGTCAACACATTACATTATAATTTCTCAATATATTCTCCATTACGGTGGGTTTCACCTTTGCCGGCCGTAAAATTAGTCCTTGTTTCATAAATTTTTTTTAAGGCAATCTATTATATACAGTAACTAGTACATAAGAGGCGCGCGCTTCGCGCGCGCTGCGTATTAAAACCCCGGCTATTTTTAAATAAAATCACAATTTTTAAAAAAATAGCCACATAATTCATCTTTAAGATGAGCTCAGAAAGAAGTTTATATCTTTATTTTTCTGGAAAATATGAATTTTTAAACATTGGAGAAAAGAGGCTTCAACGCAGGTAACACGGCAATTTTAACACAGGAAACCCGGGTTTTTGCAACCCGCGTTTTAAACTTATATAAATTTATATATCATTTGAACAGCAAAAAAAAATATTTTTTATTTATATAAAAATGTATTTTAATGCCTCCAAGTGGCGATTGAATGTGGCATGTTTTTCGAGCTGAAAACGGAAATAATTACGAAAAAAACGAATTAAGATATCGACTTGATTTTTTTTTCCTCTTGATCCTAATACTTTAACGCATGGCGTGAACTAAAATCATGATTTTACAACAAACATTCAATTTGTTATTAATAAAAATTTAAAATATTTTTAGGGCAAAAAAATTTTTTTTTCAAATGCTACCATTTTTACAAATTTCAGGCAATTGACATTATTTTAATTCACACTATGCATTAAAGTATTAGGATCAAGAGAAAAAAATAATCAAGTCAATATCTTAATTCATTTTTTCGTAATTATTTCCGTCAACTCGAAAAACATGCCACGAAACAATCGCCACTTGGAGGCATTAAAATACATTTTAATAAAAAATATATTTTTTTGCTGTTCGAATAATATATAAGTTTATGCAAAAACCCGCGTTTTACTGTATATAATAGATTTCCTTAAAAAAATTCACGAAACAATGGCTAATTTACGGCCGGCAAAGATAAAACCCCCCTTAATTAAACTTATCTCAGCGTGACCAATTTTCTTAGGTCACCCTTGACAAACTTTTGAAAAACATCTTTTATTCATTAATTGAATTATAGCGCAATTCTCAGAACTTCAAAGAAACATCTCTCTCATAAATATTTTATTTCTGCTCACCTGCTAGTACCTATCGTACTTATTTTAACGTCGACTCGCATCTCCGAGTGATTTTGCAAATACATCGTCACGGGGACGATGCACAATCGGCTTTGGCGAAAATCGTGCGTGACATGCCTTTGGTGACCGAGAGAGAAAGAGATTAGACTTTTCAGATACTCCGCCTCCCACACGGGGTCCTTGAGAGGGACAACCACTGCGCTCGACACGTTCCGGTCCGGCCCGAAAACCTTGAGGCGAGCGCCGTACTCGCTACGCTCGGTGCGCGGCTCCCTCGGATGCTTGTACGTCTTGTTCAAATGCTCGAGCTCGAGGTGATGCTGCCCGACCGCCATTCGGGTGATCACGCCGCTCTCCGTCACGTTGGCGCACCACTTGACGATCAGCGTGGAACTCAGTGACGTGACGTCCGTTACTGCGGAGCCGCGCTCGGCCGCATTCTGCTGCTGCGGCTGAAACTGCTGCGCGTCGTTCGCACTCTCGCTCACGTCCAGCGGCTGGATGTGACGTCTCTGTACAAAATTGATGAACGGATAACTGCCGATCAACGTGCACTTGCCGCTCTCGTCGGACGTTAACGACACGTCGGAAATAGTCGACTCTCCGTCGACCTTCCCCTTCTTCTTCTTCTTCAGCTTCAGCATCAGATGGAAGACCTCTTGAGGCTGCACCTTCACGCTCGGGGGCAGAACCGAGGAGTGAAACGCGGACCACACGGCGCTCTGGAGCGACACCTCGGCCAAAATAATCTCATTTATGGATGGATCGTGAACCTGATTGGTATTCTTCACGGACATGATTAAATTCAACGTCGGCGAGTCGTCCTTGAACAATCCGCTTCTGGCGGCGACCGCGGTGATCTGTATCGAGTCCAGCACCGTTAACTGCCAGGTGTGCCGGCACAAGCGGTGCTTCAAAGCGGCTTTTGATTCGACGCTTTCGTAATAGAAGAGCAGATCTAATCTGTGGGTGCCCTTCACATGGGGCGCTTGCACCCAAAGTGGCATTTTGTGAGTTTCGCCTACATTCAGTATACCATTTTTAGAGACTGGTAATATCACCTTCGTGACCGACCTACTGCTCTTCCTCGCAATTGAATCTGTAAGCGCAATATTGTTGTACTTGATAAATCGTATCAATAATAGCAGATATTTCAGACAGGAGAGAAAGTTACAAAGTTATCTTAGTAATTTGGATAAGAATCAGGCCAATAAAACGAGCACAAATTATTTTGGGTGAATAAATAATAATTTACTACAAATTCAAAATAATAATTGAAAGATTTGATGGAATGTTTCGGCTTAGCCATCATCAGCCATCATAACAATTTACATTATAGAAAAAATTTTAATTGACATCAACGCAGATGTATTATATAACGTTTGTCTCGCTTTTACAATTCTCAACTTATCGTTAATCGTCATTAATATAATACAATGTTTATTAACACAACATCTACGTATCGTTGTTGTTCCGTCATTATAATTGATAATGCCAATTTCAATTTCTTCTATAATATAAATTGTTACGATAACTGATGATGACTAAGTAAACCAAAACGTTCTGTCAAATCTTTCAATTATTATTTTGAATTATTAGTAAATTATTATTTATTCACCCAAAAACATTTTTGCTTGTTTTATTGACCTAATTCTTATCAAAAAAAAAAAGGATCTATCTTATCTTCGGAAACAAAGTGATAAAATAAAATACACATCCGACGCTTACCTTCACTTCCGAGCTTATCGATTTCCGCGTTTCCTAAAGTAAAAAGTTTCGCGTCGGTGGATGCGATGTGTATGTTCGTCAACGGTGCGTTACCCACATTCCTCAACGTGACTTCTACCCTTTGTACCTCGCCACACAGCATCTCTGGCGACAGTTTAGTGAAGAGTATCTGCGAAGGAAAGGAGTACGAATTTTAAATTTTCGTGTCGTCTGACACACAATGTTGAATTTGGGAGAGAGGGAGGAGGGAGAGGAAGGGAAGAGAATGTACCTGCATAAATGCCGCCTTCTCTATCACGTTCATCTCCAGCCTGTAATCCTTCCCTTGCACATTCGCGCCGGACTTCTCCTTGACATTCCTCAATTTCGGCGGCGTAATCTCGAACAATCTCTTACCGGCGACGACGGTGGTCGAATTTGCGATCGGCGGATCACCGCCGATCGTCTGCACCGGATTGGACAGTTTATAACTCACACCCAAGATCTTCAATTCGCCCACTCGCCTGGGCGTGAGGGACAGCACGACATTCTGCTTGCACGCCGGTTGCAAGAGAATCGCGTCCGCGACGTCCGAATCAACCGGATCCGGGCTATCGGTCGTTTTCGTCTCGTTCGTGACGGTCTCGTCATTGCGAGTGAACGACCACAGCAGGGCCACGTCCGAGAGCGGTAGCGGGACGTGCAACGGATTGTGCAGCTCGATGGAATAATGCACCGGTTCGTCCAGAACTGCGTTGGGTTTTACGGCGTTGTTACTCGTTCCGGAGTACAGCGCGACTGTCGGCTTGAATATCATGGGCTGGGAACCCTGCGCCTCGGTTATCAGCAGCTCCTCCATCTTCGACCATCTCGCTTCGTCCGACTCCTCGGTGCCGAACGTGACGTGACTCGCTGGAATATTGCTTTCGGTTGGTTTGCCCAACGGACCGTACAGCACCTTGATATTGTTGTTGTCCAGCAACGGCAACGGTAAAATGGGAAGTCCTGTACAATTCGTGCCGTTTTCCTGAAACAACAACTGCGCACGGCCGTGGATAAGAGTCACCCTGATGTCGAGATCCAATGTAAAATTATGCTGTTTTGCCGCGTGTTATACTCACGTTATGAGTGTGTAAAAATTCTCGTAAAAACGCAGCCTGCTGCGGGGCGTGCTGTTTACTGGAAGCGTTAAGTAGCTTTTCAAACGCCTTCACCGCTTCGGAGACTTGTTTCAGGGATGCGGCCTGTCTGCCGATCGTGAAATGGATGTGATCCTCTGCCAAAGACCAGCCCCTTTCATAATATACCTAATGCCATACGTTTTATTTATGAAATAACGGAGTTTCTTATTAAAAAAAAAAAGTTTCTAGCAAAATGCGATATTTCTTTTATCAATAAAGACAATGGTTACATTCAGCAGAAAAAACAGTTTGCACAATGTGGACATATCGGTTGCGACAATTTTTTTCTTTAATAAGTTTCGAAACGCACTAATATTTTGCAAATGTGAACCACGATTGGTGTACTGTCTCTAGACTAAAGACAGAACACCATCGTGGTTCGCATTTACAAAATATTAGTTATACCTATAAAATATATATTATATATAAGTGTCGCAACCGATATGTCCACGACTGTACACAACTGTTGTAAGATTTTTTTTAAATACGATTGATTTATGCATTCAGATATAAGAAATAAATCTTAAAGTCAAGAATTATTACTAATTATATTAAAGAATCTTACAACAGTTGCAAATCTATTTTTTCCGCTGATTTCAGCGATTGACACGTTTCCATACTACATACACATACGTGCCTACCTGATACGCTTGTTGATAACACCTCAAGGAGTGCTTTCTTTGGCCGGCCTTGGAGAATCTGTGCCCAGCCAGAACCGCGTGGAAGGCATATTTGCGCATCATTTTCGGGGCGATGAAGCAATAGGCGGCCTGCTCGAGCAACAAAGCCGAACGTAAGTCGGAATCCTCGCTGGTCATCCGTATTAACTGCTTCGCGGCTTCCCCGTACAATCCCCGGCCCTTCAAACACTCGGCGCTGAGCAGCGTCGCCCTCGTCGCGAACTGAGGCATCCTACAGCTGTTCGCGTAAGTCAGTATCGCGTCGTCCATGTACTCGATGGTTTTCCTGCTCGTCTCGTTTTGCATGAAAGCGCTCAGAGCCGCCATTTCGAGAGCGCCCGCGTAGTAGAGCCAAGCCTGATCCCCCGCGAAGTCGCGCTTCGCGCTGTGATACGCTTGATAGGCGAGCGAGTAGTGGCCGAACATGAAACACAGATCGCCTAAGCGTCGTAATTGTAACTCTGGTGATTCCGCTGTGTAACTGAAACACAAATATGCAGAATTTCAGGACTGCTTCAGCTGTGTCACGTTAATAAAATTTACTTTCAAGAGAAGAATCGCTGAAAAAAATCTTGTAAAGTGTAAAAATAAATGATTTTCTCTTACATTACAGCATTCGACGGCGCCGAGCCCGACATACCAGGCTTATTTGTACTAAACCACCTTTTCGTGGCGCTAAATAGCGATCTACTGACTTTCTTGTTTGAAATCACGTCGTTCAATAGGCCAATTTGCTTCTCCACATAAGGCAACAAGCTTCGCAAACAGAATTCCGTTATCAATGTTCGTAATCTTTCTAGATCCTGGGTGGAAAGACGAGCACCGTGTTGAGCAACCACGTAATTCGGAGAATCCGCCCAGACATTCGTGTTTATTGGTGAGCTAGTAATAACGGATTGACTCTTGGTATTAGCCGCGGGATTAAACCCTTGCGATTTCTCATTCTCTGGACTAAGTGGATGAATTGTAACTGGAACCGCTTCCTGTCCGACTTCTAGATTCGCATTCGTCGACTCGGATATTTCAGAGAGACTAATCGTGTCAATTCCTGCGACTAACTCTGTCAAATCTGGAGACGGTAATGCAACAGAGTTGTGTGGCATTAGCGGTGTCCCGGCTTGACTCGTTCTGCACAAAAAATTGCTTTTACAGCCCATACATTTCCGAAATGTATTTAGAAATTTTAGAACTCACGCACACAAATTTCCGTAAGCAGTAAGCAAATTAACATTTTTTATTTGCTGTTGTTTATGTTTCTCTACTGATTGATTCGCTTATGACTTAAGTCTTACTGCTTGCGTTCTTCTGTGTGCCATGGTGTTTAAGTCGTAATTCAAAGATAAAATAATTTGCTAATATATATTATTTATTATATCAAAAATTTAAATTATATGTAATTATAAATTTATAACTAAAGAATTTATAACTAAGAAATTTAAATATATAAAAATACGTACTTTTCAGTCTCTGTAGTCAGCTCGCTCGGCATAGAAGACACACCACCTGTGTCTGCAGGCGTACGAGGGGAACTATTCTGATCGCTGTTACCAGTCAATTCCGAATGTTTTGTCAAGAACTGACTCCAAGGATCGGGCAAATGCGTATTATCGTCGGAAAGACCAGGCGGTCTTGAATTCATTTGCAAGAGAAAGCAATTATTAGCACCATAAATAGTCTTCATCTCTGTAAAAACTGTTTCAGCTCTGAAAAGATAAATTTCATAAAGATATATACATATGTTTGCAAAGAGGAACTTATCAATTTAGAATGTTTATCACTGTCTGAATTATCAATTCTTTCTCTCTCAAAATTTCATTTAACTTAATATTATCTTTATAAAGCCAGAAAGTATATAAAAGTATATAAAAAGCTAAAAAAAATCATACACAAATTTAAAAAAAAAAAAAATAATGCACTTACTTATTTCTGTCATCCTGAAAAGCGTCGTGAACTAAGATGTAATACCTAAGGGCATTATTGTTGAACCATTTAGGCAAATTTCCCGGTACACTTTGATGCAATTGCGCTCCCATAGTCTGAATCCTCTCCAATGGATTGTCCTCCGCTGTGGAAACAACTATCATACACGCGAGCAGATGCTTCGTGAATTCGTGATCTGACGGAAACTGGACGCTCAGAAACGTCTCTCTCCATGCCTCGAACCAAGGAACGGAGACAGGAATATCCAACTCGGCCGTGCCGATGTGAATTGTGGTGGTACGTTCGCACAGGGCAGAACTGACCGCTTCGTTCAACAACTTTTTGGCAAGATTCGGTTCTGGTGGCCGTGCGTTGATGTCTTGTATAGAAAGACGTAGATTTCTAATCGCTACTGTATTGCCTTGGGGATCCTTAAAGTGACCTAAAGGTAAATATCGCTATCAATATAATACTTGTATTTTGAAAGATTAACTCTCAAATTTTCAAAATCTCTAATAGATGTAGGTATATATTGAAAGCCCATTAAACACGTATAACAATGAATTATTCTTTAATAATAATATATATACACAAAGTGTATCAAAAGTCAAGTTCCATAAACAGTTCGTATACTTAAACTACATTAAATTGTATAAATTGTATTGTGTAATCGTATAAATTCGAAATTGCTTGCCATTTTCTTGCAAACACTTCGTTTTCTCATTTGACATACGATCTTCGAACTATAAGACTTTAGAATTGCTTTTCCTTCGTTATCTCAAAAATAGTATTATAATTTTTTACTTGTGTAACTTTTCTGTCAACGCAACACGATTTTTCTAAGCATAGCAACATTTTTTCTCACGCTTGCGAATACCAATAGTTTTTTCTTTAGATCGTCTATCATGTTGGAATCGATGGGCATAACCTCCAGATTCAAGATGACATGCTAAAGCTTTGTGTCCACGATTCTAGAAATCGCTCCGAGATCTCGGACGGAGAAGAAATTAACAAGTCACGTTTTTACATATATATATACAATATTCGGCCAGTTAACTGACACGATTTGTCAATTCTTCCTCCGTTCGAGATCTCGAAGCGATTTCCAGTATCGTGGATATATAAAGCTCAAGAGACAATCCCTCCCCCGGGTTTCGGAAACCTCGGCGGACCGAATAATAAATTATTAAAGCATCATAATTGGCCTGTTGGAGTCGGACTTTCGACACACCCTGTATACACACATAGTTTACACAACAATGCGCGTGAGAGTGCGTGTACGTATCCTCGGACGGATGACGTGTGTGGCTGGCGCGGGGTCCCCGGGCGCGCTTACCTTCGGTATTCAATTTGCAAAACGGCTGGAGCAGCTCGACGAACGAGAGATTATTCCTCTGGCACGCGGCGTCGGCCGCGGCCGAGCAGACCGCGGCGATCTGCGGGGAGAACGCGTTGCCGATGAACTCCCGCGGGGTTAGCTTGCACTGCGCCATGATATCCTTGCGCCGCGCGGAACCGTCGTAACATAACCCGGTGTCGCCGTCGCCGTCGCCGCCGCCTCCTCCTCATGCACGTTGCACCACCACCGGACGTAGCGCGCTCCACCAGCGGCTCACGATATCGTCCCACGTATCACGATCACATCATTTCCCGGGTGCCTCTCGTTATCTCGCGAGTCGCGCAACATATACCCCAGAACGACAACGCATCCCCCGTGCAGTCGCGCCGATAAACATGTCCACCGCCGAACAGCTGTTTTGCCACCCTCCTCTCTGCCCCCCTCCTCCCCCTCCCCCGCGCCGCGCTCCTAACGTCAAGCTCAAACGTCCGCCGTGTGGAGGAGGCGATAAAGGTGCGTTCCCACTGTGCCGCGTCATCCGTATTGACCAATCAAAATTTCTTACGGCTTATGACTTCCTACTCCCACTGCAGATGGCCCTTAATGTCCTAAAGTGGGCTCAATGGCCGTTTTCACGCTTCTCTCTGTTGTGATAATTATATCTTTTTAGAAATTTATTTTAAAAACATGCAATTTACGTTTAACGTTTAACTTACGAAAATAAGACGGATCGAATTAATTTTTAATTATTTTTTAATAGAAAAAAAAACGTTTGTTTTATGAACAGAGAGTTTGTTGATTTTGTTTAGAGACGTAAAATGAATACAGAGGTAAACTGCTTCGAGAAAAATACAAACTGCACGTCTCACAACAAGGAAGTTGAAGTATGCCGCTTGTGTGGAAAACAATCTCCGAACTATACTTCAATATTTCAAGATGAAGATATCCTCAAAAAAATAAATAGATGTTTACCGATCAATGTAAGTGTAAGAGGATGATACTCTTTGACACAAATTTTTGAACTATATTATATATTTATTACGTATACGAACAACATTATTCTTTGTGTTTTTAGATTTTTCCGAATGATAAACTGCCTTCCAATGTATGTGGACGTTGTTTAAATAATTTAAATATTAGTTACGAACTGATTCTTACCGCAATAGAGGTAGACGAGCATCTGCGAATGCAATTAAATCAGAGGCTGAACGATCGTGCTGTCTGTACAGATAAAGATACAAATAAAATTATAGAGGACTGTCAAAATATTAAACGTGAGATTACAGACGAGGAGAACGCTGAGAATTATCAGAATGATACACAGGAGATTACAAACGAGAAGAATATTCAGAATGACTGGAAAACAGAGCGAGAGGATTATATTGATGAATTTAATTACAAAAGGGAAGTTGTTACTTTTACGGAAGTTAACAGAACCCCAGAGTCAATCAACTTAGCGACGGATATTGAAGTCCATATTGTTGAAATGGAGTACGAAGATTTGACGCAAGCCTCGATAAAACAAACTGATAACAGCTCTGACCTAGTTACAAGTAAAACTAATTATATTCAGAATAATTGGAAAATAGAGCGAGAGGATGTTGATGAATTTAGTTGCAAAAAGGAAGTTGTTGCTTTTACGGAAGATAACAGAACGCCAGAGTCAATCAACTTAGCGACAGATACTGAAGTCGATATTGTTGAAGTGAAATGTGAAGATCTGGTGCAATTAGCTTCAATGAAACAAACTGATAACAGCTCTGACTTTGTTGCAAGTAAAACTACAGAGAACTGTCAAGGATTTTCGCTACCTAAAACAATCAATCAAAATAAACCATTGTTTTATTGTGAGACTTGCAATATTTATTTCGACGAGGAGCGATATTTTAAGGTCCATACTGAGATACACGAGGAAAGAACTGTGATTTGTACCACGTGTTCTGCAATATGTCCATCTACGTACGATCTATTTTTTCATAAACGCGAAAAGCACAATCTGTTCAAAAGGATACAATTGAAGTACGCGTGTACGAAGTGCGACAGATTCTTTGCACGTAGCTCGACTTGGGAGTATCACAATGAGAATAAGTGCCCCAGAATGGCTGATAAGTGTTGCAAATATTGCAACAAAATATTAACGACACGTTCCAAGTTGACAAGCCACTTAAGGGTAATCTTATAAATCACTATAAATTATATATAAAAGAATTATATGTATTATATGATGTCCTTATGTACTTTCAGAAGCATAAAGGGGAGATGTTGACTGACCCGACTGTGACTGTGTATAAATGTGTGGCCTGTTCCAAACAATTCGTTGACAAAAAGTTGTATGATAAACATAGAAAGGTATGTGTGTATTGTGTGTTAAACGTTTAGAAACGCATTGGTGATCATATATAATAATTGCTTCGTGAATTGCTTGTAGATGCATGATCCAGAATATATGGATAAACATCATTGTGTCGTATGCAATCGTTTATTCAGGGACAAATGTGTATTACGGGAACATCAGATGGCCGTTCATGGGAATGTTAAGCCTCATCAGTGCAATATCTGCAACCGTTTTTTCTCGCGCATTTGGAATATGGTGAGTCTATTAAAGACTTGTGGCCAAGAGCAGTATAAATATGTCTGGCTAAATGCTACTTAGGTAAAAGAAAAGCGTCCTTGTAAATACAAACTATAAACCACATTATATTAATTATAATATCTCAGCAAACGAAAATTAATTGAAATAGATTGAAATGAATTTATTTCGACATTTCCAAATTGGCGCTTCTGATTTTTCGAATCCATTTGAAAACAATATAATACGAACATTAATACATCAGAATTCAAATGTGATAAAAAGCTCATTTCACTTTATTTGAATAAAAAAAATAATATAATACAGACATTAATCCGAATTCAACATGATGAATGGCTCATTTCGTATTTAAGTTTATTTGAATCAAAAAATAATATAATAGGGATTGACATGAATGCATCTTCGGACTCTAAAGCGCCAACTCAAATAAATTAAAATGAATTGCAATATTCAATTCATTTGAATTAATTTTCGTTTGCTGGGATTATATCAGTATTATCTTTTGCTCAACAATGTAATGTTATGTACAATATGTACTACCTCGGGAAATTATAGTAATATTGATATAACGTCATTATTAGCTAATGTTTATTTAGATATTTTTAATATTAATAATATTATAACTTTCAGAAGAAACACCGTAGAAATCACTTCGGACACAAGTGTGGTTGCTGCAATGCGCTTTTTAAAAAGAGATTGGACCTAGAGAAACATGCAGAAGAGATTCATGATATATCGCCGTTCAATAAACTGCTCGAGACAAAAGAAAAATTCACCTGCAAATTCTGCGACAAGGAATTCAACACGAAAATACCGCTGCAAAATCACGAAAGACTTCACACTGGAGAAATGCCGTTCAGTTGTCCGACATGTTATGAATCCTTTCGGTAAGACATTTACCTTAATCACACGAATTTGTTTCGCGCTTTGTCTTACACTTTTACAATTTTATATATATATATATATATATATATATATACATATATATATATATAATATTTATATTTATACAATTTATATATTTTTTTATTTTCATCTTTTACTTTAATTTTATTGAATCTCTTTTAGCACTTCTACCTCAAAATATAAGCATGTCATGCGAGAGCATAAGAACAAAATCTTTGGATGTGTCTACTGTGGAAAACGCTTCAGGTAATTAAAATTATCCTCTGTAAACATAAAACTTAAATAATAATAACATTATGTCAATATATGTATATATATATGTATATATATATATATATATATATATATATATATATATCCTATTCAACAATTTGATTGGGCTGTGAATACAATCGAAGAAATATTAGGAACAAAGGAATAAATATAAGAATTGTAATCTATCAGAAATCGTGCATTGTGGAATATTACACGGTAGGTTGATTCTGATAGGTTTAAATTCTTATATTTATTCCTCTAATATTTCCTCTGTTGTGTTCAATTAATACATGTTAAATTTATATTGTTGAATGAGAAATTTTAATATTGGTGTAATGTCACTATTTATCGCGCGGTGTCAGAATTGTTGTGTGGATAAGAAAATACGTAATATTTGTATGTTAACAGTAACACAAAATCGTTACGTGAACACGTTTCGTCGCACATGTCGGAGGCACGCAAGTATCAGTGCGATATATGCAAGAAGAGGTTTCGAAACAAATCTAGTTGGACTCTCCACAAATATGTTCATGGTGGAGAACGGCCTTATAAATGTGACGTGTGTTCGGCCAGTTTCGTTCAAATGAGCTTTTTGAAACGGCACCAAATGCGGTGGCACTCCAAGAAAGATGAAAATGTACAAAATATGACTTAAAAAGCAGATTCAAGAAATTGTTAATTGACTAAAATCTTAATTCCGCTACAAACAGTAAATAAATGATTGGTATGCAGAAGATCGAGTATGTGACGATGGAATTACAATTTAATTCATTTTGATATGTATTTTACAAGGATATGTATTTGACAAAGATTTAATTATTTGCAAGGTAATATAATTTCTTAGAAATTTATTTTATATATATATAAATATAATAATATATATATAAAATTACATATTGTTAAAAAATTACATATTTTGTTGTAAAGGCATTTTCCTACTTCACGTTTACTTATAATTAGTAATTGATCTTAATTAATAATAATTAGTAATTAATATGTTCGACTGTTTTCGGCTGTCCAAATATTTTTATTCAAACCCATTTTTATCCATGTAGATTAAATTCTGCTTAATTAATTACTTTTAATTTCCTTCCAATTTTTAGAAGTAGAAAAAGAATAAGTTTCATCGAGATTATCGGTCACTTATATGTCTATGGGTTCACCAATCCCGCAATCTGCCGATTTACTTTGTCATCAGAATTGCCAATAGCAAGATTTCAAAAATCACTGGTTTGCAGCCAGCCTCGCTTTCGAAACGTCGCTGCTCCACCTGCGCCGTGGCGTATTGTGTACGAAACTGCAGGTGAGAGAGAGAGAGAGAGAGATAGAGTAGTGAGAACCTCTTCTCTCTTATCTCGAAGAAAAAATCGATAAGCCTTCTCTGTCGCGTGACGTCATGCGTAAACGTCATGTATAGGTCTTGCGATACTTGTTGATCTCATCCGGCAAGTATCGGTATCATTTTAGAAAAGTCGCACCGGGGGTGAGTAGACGACTTGACAACTGCTGCGTTCATTGAAAGTCCCTCTTTGTATCATTTTCCGCGATAAAAAGCTTATCGCGTCACCGATAAGCGTTAAAAACGAATATCGGCCAATTTGAGAGATAAAAGTGACAGCTGTTAGCGATTACCGTATGGGTCAGCGTGCACGCGACGAAACGCATACTCATCTAATAACGCCGCATATACGTCTTACAGCTCTCGTTTACACTAATGAAACGTCGTTACTTTGCACGCGCAATTCGCACACGTATGGAGTCAAACGTGAAAATTAATTTATCTTGTTGTTGACGTTCAGTCGAACGTTGTTAAGTGTATAACTATTACGTTCTTATTGACGGTTCATTCTGTTTTCCATTGTTTTTTACATATATATATATATATATATATTGTAAAAAATTAGCTGTCATCTGCGCTCGTCTTCTGTCCCTCACCTCACCTGTTGCTCCTCCAAAGTCTTATCATCGCATTAACGTCTGTATGAAAAGAAATCTGTTGTTATTATTATTATTATTTGGATTTCACGCATAAAATGCAAGTATCATATCCGTACGATTATGTAAGATGTTTAGGTACGTCTACAACAACTAAGAATTTGATAAACTTAATTATATAGCTTTATATATAGTTTATATAATGCAAGACTTTATATAGATTAGATTTAATTTATGTTTATCTCTGCAGTTGAGATTCATTATACATATATGTATATATATCCTGTACATGTCATATTTATTTTAATATTCATCATAATATTTAGTTACATTTATTAACATTTATTGGATATGCTTGTCATGTAATACGTGAAATATTTTTTAGATATGGAGCAAATAAGAGAGTCGCCCCAAACGCACTCTTACTCTCTTGAAGGCTTCGTTCCGCTTCTCAGTCTCACTGAGGCATGCGGCGCGCTTCTTATAGTCTTGGTGGCTGTGTGGACGGGTTACTATAGAAACGGTTTCTCATGGAGATCTATTCCTGAGCTCGAATTTAACTGGCATCCTCTATTAATGATTATAGGGCTCGTATTCTTATATGCCAATGGTACAGTATAAAAATAACTTCTCACGTTATACGCTCATGTGTACGTTACGATTTACAAATCTGCTTTCTACTTTGTAGCTATGCTCCTCTACAGGACGCAAAGGAATGTTCGCAAACGGCGACTAAAGTTAATTCACGCAGGAATGATGTTGTTTATTGTGTTGTTAACAGTGATCGCTTTAGTGGCCGTTTTTGACTTCCACAATCTAGCTGATCCAGCTATACCGAATATGTATTCCCTGCACAGCTGGGTCGGATTGACCACCGTGATATTATTCTGTTGTCAGGTAGATCTATAAAACACGTACATACTTGTCCGACAATTCTCTGAATTCAAAAGCACATGTGTTAACGTCTCTAACGAAAAGTTTCGTTTAGAATTCTTTATATAATTTTACAGAATTTCTATATGAATTAGTGAATTTTTCAGAATTTCTATAATTTAATCTTTAGAAAATTTTTTAGATTTTTTTGTATGAATTAGGCTTCCATAAATATAAAATTAACTTTTAAACTCGGTTTAACTTACTGTTTATCTCTTTCTAATTTTTATATTAGAAAAAGATAAATCGAGTTAACCGTGAATTGTGAAACCGGGCCTTGGAACATTTTTCAGAAATGCTGAGAAAATCTACATCTTTTCTAAAATTCTTTATATGTAAAATCTGAAATTTATTCTAAGATTTTTATTATATCTATAATTTCCGAAAAAAAAAACTTATAAAATCTGATAAAATTTGAGGTGTTTTTCAGAAATCTTCATAAATTTAAAATATTAAAAATTCTTAAAAATATGAGATAAGAGAATTTTTTTGAAATTTATTTTGAAATTCAATTTACAAGGGTCTTTGCTTACAGTGGGCTGCTGGATGTGTCTCGTTCCTCTTTCCCGGGTTGCAGGCTCCATTACGGGCTTCTTACATGCCAATGCACGTATATTTCGGCATTGCAGCCTTCGTATGCGCGATTGCCTCGTGCTTGTTGGGACTCAATGAAAAAGCGATCTTCGTATTAAAGTTAGTAATGGTAGACTGTTTTCAAAAAAATTCAGGAACGATCGAAAGATACATTTTTCTCTTCACAATTTCAGGGATAGGTATTCAGCATTCGTGAGCGAGGGAATGCTGATAAACTTCATAGGATTGCTGCTCATATCGTTTGGAGGCTTGTCCGTATACTTGGTTACGCAGGAACGTTACCGGCGTATACCGAGACCCGAGGATGAAGTCCTGTTATCCGGCTAATGTATAAATTGTGATGCGTATTGCCAGATTCGTTCGTCGATGTAAGAATATTGCTGTTCCAAACTCTACTTAATAAGTATTTACTTGATAAGTATTTACTACAGGTTTCTTATTGTAAATCTTGTGTTAACTTTATGAATAAGGCTGATCCAATTGATTGAAGCACATGTGCAAAAGAAGTAAGAAAAAATAGCCGTGTTTCAATAGCCTGACAAAGCTGCTCGCCGAGCGATGGAATGTGATTTATTGGATATATAAATAAGAAATAATAAGAACTAAATGTTCAATCGTTCATATTCAATCGCTGTTACAGGCTAGCTGCTTTGTCTGGTTTGAACACACAATGTTTAATCAATATTTAATTGATTTTTATTATTATATTCTAGTCTCAATGTAGTATTTTTTATTGGTTTTTTTATATTTTCTTAACAGATAAAAAATATATATATCTATGTTTACAAGTTAATATTTATATGGTAGTTCACACAGAGAAACAGTCAGTTTTCTGGGAACTATGGGTGCTACGTACACAGGATATACATTACATATAATTATGTTACGCACATGCGCGCGCAAAGATACGTATATTTTGTAATTTATATTTTTAAATAATTCAATTGATAATTTGTAAATGTAATATACATATCTAAATGTAATACATCAATATATGAGATCTCATCATAAGAGCAATTCTATTTGACGTGAAAACGATTGTTTTTTTTTTTTTTTTAAGAAAAACGAGAGCTGCACAGAAAGTGAATAATAATTTACTTTTGCAGTTAGCTTGAATTGAAAATTGTAGGATTCACATATGGAAATATTATTAATCACAAAGACCCGCTTTGTTTGACGTTTTCTTATCTTGTTTCAGCATTTCATTCATATTAATAATTGTGCCATTTTTCAAGTAAAAGGGTTTGATATATTTCTAGAGTTTCAAAGAACCAGTCATTAATATCAAGAAGATAGTTCTTGCTTTCTTTTGTTTGGCTTGTCGAATTGTTCCCATTGATTGAAATAAAGATATGATTCGTTCGTTCTGCTCCTTTCTCCAAATCGCTATCTCTGAAAAAGCGTGAGCGAAAATCTGCTAATCGGAGCCGTTAGTGAAAATTATTCTTAGAGTTCTTTATATATTATAATTTTTCAGAATCTTTAAACTCTAGATAATTGTACATTTTTTCAAAATTTTACAACTTTTTAAAAAATTTTCAAAAGTAAATACTGACAATAAGAAAGTCTACATCTTTTTTAGAATTCTTCATTATGTGATATGAATTACTGGAATACGATTTCTAAAATTTTTCATTCTATAATATATAATTTCTGAAATTTATCAAAAAAACTTATACTTAGAATCTGAAAAAGTTTAAGATATTTTTTTCAGAGAGCTTTTAAATTTAAATACAAGATCTTAAAACAAATTCTTAAAAATATAAGATCTTTAAATTTTTTTTCAACAGGGACGATCCCTTTAAAAATGCGGTCGGTACGTATGGATGTACATACATACATCCATACATACAAATACGGATTTCGACACCCACGCCGCCCATCGGATATTTTCGTCCTCTGGAATTGAACTGCACTTCCGAGTTCCGAACCCAATCGCGTCGGCGGTCCGCGCGCGGTAACGAAAGAAAAAAAAACAAACAAAGTAACAAAAACATTCGCGCCGTCGTACCGTGCGCGCGGTTGTATGTATGTACGCGTGCATACCTATATATCGTCGCGGCCTATTTACTCGCGGCGACGGCACGGAACACGCCCATTCCGCGCGCTTACGCAATCGTAAACAATCGTCGGGCCAACGCGCGGGGTGACCATACTGACCATCACCGACGGCGTATTTTCCGACGCGACGCTGCATGGGGCACACGCGTTGTTCACGGCTAACTTCGCGCACGCACGGCGTTGGCGTTTAGAGTTTTTGCGGTTACTTGACAACAAGTGCGGGGAGTGTCGCGCGCCGAAACACAGCTGACAGCAAAGCTGCTGACACTCTCGCGTGCACTTGACAGCTGCGCGATCGCCGCACGGCTCGGCTCCTCTCTCTCGAGAGAGTCTCCCTCCGTCCTTCCTTCATCCTCTCGCGCGCGGAAAGCCAGTTCGGCGCGGGCGCTCGGCAGTGCACAGTGCAAGAATAATAAGTCATTCAATGGTTAACCAAATACCTGTGCCGCAGGCCAAGTATGAATTGCTAACCAACATACGACAGTGAGTATATCGACGAGTCTCTCTCTCTCTCTCTCTCTCTTTGTCTCTACGAGAAGCGCTCGGAAGGTGAACGCATCGCCCTTCGAGGCTGCTTTTATAATCAATTTATAATTAATGTATACCGCGTGTATGAGAGAGAAAGAGCGAGGGGGGGAACTAAGGTAGAGGGACGGAAAGGGATGAAGGAAATTTGTATCGATTTCTCGCGACAAACAGTATACGTATGTACGTCATCGCTGGCTTTTGAACTTCCCCGCCTCTCGCCCGCGAAAGGTCATCTCCGAGGATCGCCGCTGTGTGTTGTTCGCATAAACGCAGACTGCAGTTTTGCGTAGATCGACGCGTTTCCGGATGTCTCGCGCGTACGTCAATTAATACGACGATTTGACAGTGAGGTGATTGCTTTCAGACCGCGCTGGAGAACGCAGGTCGTCTGCCTAACTCTGTCATTCCTGATCGTCGGGGTGCTGTTTATCACGCGCGCCTGGTTCGGCATACTCCTGCTGAAAGCGCCGAGGGCCGACAGGTTCGTCGAGCAACACATTGACGATGCCAAGATTGCTACGTGGCTACGTCGGGCTCGGATGTACGCCGAGTCGACGAAGGAGAATCAGAATGCGGACAGGAACACAAGTGTTGGCGCATCGGAGCAACGCCACCACGATACAACCGGGTGAGAAGTCTTCCCCCCTCCCCCCCTCGAGCGAATTTGATTTTATCTATTTAACGTTAATGCTTTATTTACACTGTTACTGCATTTTGTTTACTTGATATGTATGTATGTATGCATCTTGAGGCGCATTCGCGGAGTATGCTGTGTCAGCGTTATTCAACGCTGTTTGCGTCATTCCGTCATTGTTTATTAGATATAAAACAAGGACAGAATTATAATGATACAGCATTGCTGATAACACGCTCGCCGAAGCGCTTCGTAAAGCATACGCATTAGAAATGGAAAGATATAATTTGTTAATAACAGATTGCACTGCTAATATATTCTGCTTTTGCAAAAATGCTCAGAGATTTTTAAAAATGAAGAAAATATCATTTTCATTAATAAAAGTGCTATCGGAATATTGTAGAATGGCAGAAAATCAGAAAATAGTAGTTCTGCTTTTTCACATTCTGCTTTTCCACTTCTAATACCCTTTCCTTTATAGAATCGTACATATGTAGGCGGCGAGCGCGTTATCAGTCCTATTGTGTCACTCCATTTTTATCGTTCGTTATACATAAAACAAGAATATCTTTTTCTCCTTCAAACTGGTCCTTTGTGACTGAAGATCGCGGTCTCTATTTTATGCAATCACTCGGAAGCGCACGAATTTTGTCCACGACAATTTTGCTGCTCCATTGCGGAATCACATTTTCATGACGACTGTCTTGGCAAAAATACTCCCGATGATTTTTGCCATTGCCTTCCGAGAGGTGGTGATCGAAAATCTAATATGTTCTAGATGGCTTTAAGTCTGAATTTTTTGGTATATAGATCACCAAAATAAGAATAAAATAATACAATAGCTGATAGCGCGCACCTCGAACGCAACCCAAAGTAAACAAAGTGTTAACAATTGCTAGCAGTTTACCAATAGATTCGAACAGAACATGCGTCAGATTGGCATCAACTTGCATTAAATTGTCACAGACTCTGTTGATATAATTTGTCAGCAAAATCATTTCACATTTAAATAAAATTAATATAATACACTATTTAAATAATTACAAAATTGCAGATTCTGCTCGTTTTCACAAATTAAAATTGCTCTTATTGATGAGATCATATATATATGTATAGGTATATATATTTCAATTTTTTAAATAATGTAATTATCAATTAAATTATTAAAAAATTTCTGCAACAATCGTATCGTATCGTATATATTCTGATAGCAGATTTTGTTGTATTTCTGCTTTCTGCCAACAAAATTTGTAGCAAACTCTGCATAATCTATTTTACATGTTTGACTGTTGGGCAGGTGTTTTATTTAAAAATCCATTTCTATGTTCAGCCAGGTCCTCGTATGCTACTATACAATACCGGGGGACCTGAACACGTCGTGGGAGCTCAGTCCGTCGCACATTGACCCTCATATTTGTACGCATATTATCGTGGGTTTTGCGGGCGTGGTGAACAGCACGCTCGACATAGGCGACAGCGCGCCGGTGTACGAGCGAGTGGTTGCTTTAAAAAATCTCGAACCTAACTTGAAGGTCATGATCAGCGCCGGCGGAAACAATGAGCTCCAATCCGGTTTCTCCGAGATGGTGAAAAATCACACCAATAGAAAAAAGTACGTCTCCACCGTGCTGCTTTCAATTCCTGTGCATGATATTTCGCAAATACGCAAATATCACATAAATCCCCGTCTCCGTATCCAGGTTTATCCAATCAGTATTAAATGTGATCAAAACCTTCCGTTTGGACGGCTTCGACGTTGACTGGGAGTTTCCAGCCTGGTTAGGGGCGGATAATCGCGAGAAGATACACTTTGTGCAGCTGTTGCAAGAAATGCGAAAGGAATTCGATCGCAGCGGACAAAAGCTGATCTTAACAGTAGCAGTCGCAGCGCCGCAGGCAATTGTGGATCAGAGTTACAGTATTCCTGAAATGGCAGAGTACGTGCCATAAAAGAATCTGATAATTATATAAAATATATCGTAAAAATGTTTACATAGATTGTCATATTGTCGTTTTTTTTTCAGGCACATTGATTTTATAAATCTCATGTCGTATGACTATCATTTCTTCGTTTGGTACTTCCCGGTGACGGATCTGAACGCCCCGCTCTTTCCCCGCTGTACCGAAACCGGCTATTTGTCCACGTTAAATGTGAATTTCTCTGCTCAATACTGGGTGGCGAAGGGAATGCCGCGGGAGAAGATTGTCGTCGGCATACCGGCTTACGGTCACTCCTACAAGCTCGACAATCCATTGAATCACGATTTACAAGCGCCAGCCAGCGGATTCGGGAAGCTTGGCGTGAAGGGCTTTGTATCTTATCCTACGGTCTGTCAATTTTTTAAATCCGGAGCCACGAACGTCTTCAATAAGGAAAGCCGTGTGCCATATGCGTTCAAGGACAAGGAATGGATATCTTATGACAACGAGGAGAGCATCTTTTACAAGGTAAAACGCGTTTTATCTTGCTAATACAAAATCGAACATCTAGTAGAGAGTGACCCAAAAAATCTCGCTCGTTTTTTGAGCCCTCGATTTTGAGACTGAGCTGTGTGCCAAATGACGAATCTCATAACGAGACATTAATTATGAAGAGGTTTCAAATTGAGATGACAATTGTCAGAGCTGGAGGAGGGATGAAATCAAAGTTCACTATGGAATTATCACAGTCCGCGAGGTCCGGTATTTTAAGAAGGTTGATCGCAGTTTTACGTAAATGACGCTCGTTTTAGATGCAAAAAAAAAATCGAGTTTTCGCGTAGTAAAGAAACGTAATAAGTGGCCCCCCTCCAGCTGTGATTGTCACCTCAACGTGAACTTCTTTGTTATTAATATCTCATTATAAGGTACCATTTGGCACACAGTCCAGTCCCGAAATCGAGGGCCCAAAGAAACGAGGGCGAAAAAAATCACCCTTTTTTTGGGTCACTCTTTATAAAATTTGTCCGTAACGTAACAATGACATAAGCTTAAGTTGAAATGTTTGCATCGCAGAGTACGTGGATTCGTAACAACGGTTTCAAGGGAGCCATGATTCTATCTTTAAACGTTGACGACTGGAACGGCACTTGCTACGGTACAAACGAGACGTTTCCGTTGACGCGTACCATCTCGAAAGTATTATTTAAGGAATCGGACAAGTAACGAGACGTCAATAGGTAATACTTTTAAGTGTACGCTAAAATACGCGCAGTCAATGAATCTGTCTATTCCGAAAGCTTAAGAGGTATCTCGAAATGATCCATTCCATCCGCATTCCTATTTAATATAATTACTTGATATTGTATATATATCTACCTCAGTTGCTCAAAGATTCTTTTGTACAAATAAGTTGCTGAAATATTTGAAGCACATAGTATTATATGCTGTAATAGGACGTAGCACTTGTACCTGGTTGAGTCGAATCAAAAATATTTATACGCGAAAAGCATTTACGCGCGTTGAATTGTATAGGTAAGGTAAATTATGTAAATTATATATATATATATATATATATATATATTATATATATATATACATATAAATTATGTGAAGGTACGTATTTCCTACGTATGACTGTTATTTGTCGGTATGCTTCGCAAGCAAAATAGTACCGGAAATAATTCTAAAGTGTTTCGTATCCTGATAATTTCGAAAAGGGACATTGTAAAATATCAATGATGAAAATTATAATTGCTTCGAAAATGCCAGTATTATCCAATAAGTATACACAACAGAATCTGTCATCCGTTTCCGAAGTAAAGGTCTCGAATTCGCGAGTAGTCAGTTTTTATTTTTTTAAGTACTGCGTATATATATATATAGATATTACTTATTAGTTTTAAGTATTCAAGAGACGACTCTATGTTAACTGATCTCGTTATACCAAATGTCACAAATTACGAAATATATGAAATATGAATTTTGCCCGAAATTTAAGAGCGATCGCCAATTTTTATTTTCTTTATAACAATACATAATATTCCTCTTATATGATAATTACATTCGTCACATGTACCTTTATCATTTGATTACGGTAATAACAATATCCAAATTGAAACCTCTTCCCAACGTAGTTGTATCTAATATTTAAAAAAACATAACAAGTAACAGGCTCGTTTATAAATAATATTGTCTAGCAAAACTTACGATACGAGGATAAAGATGAGAGGGCTATGAACAGTGTCGAAATAAATTAGCATTCTCGTTATGGCATTTCGTCGCGTATTCTGATAATTTATTGCATTTACATCCAAATATATTTACGGTTCGATGAGCGATTAAAAAAAAAAGACTATAGAAAGCCGCTGAAGGATCCATTATCCAATGCCGCTGCACATCATTTCCATTACTTATAAAACGCATTTTCTGTGTAAAAACAAAAAACGTTTCAAACAATTTCTCCAGTATTTTTTCTAACTCAGATACGACATAACTTTCTCGAGAGATGCATGTAACGGTATTTAACGTCCTTAACGGCAGTATACGCACTGCCCGAAACCTCGTCTCAGGATTTACCACCGAAACCTCCCATTAAATTTCCCAATCCACCTGCCGCGCCCTGCTGCAGTTGTTTCATTATATTTTGCAATCCTGGCATACCACCTAAAATAATCATGGTAAAGGTGTCTATAGAAAATGGTCAAACTGCGAAGTAAATTATAAGAAACGATATGGAAAACACAATGAGGCGTTCCTCTCCCTATTCCCATTTGTAGGACACTATGGCTGCACTCGGGGAGCGCTATTACGTCATTTTATTTTTATTGTTCACTGGTGTAAAACGAGGACAGGATAATGCAACAGCGCGTTCCCCGAATGCAGCCAATAGTCGAGTGAAACTTATTAACAAAATATAAAAATTTATGAAGGATTTGCACATAAAAAAAAGAGCGTTCTTCAATTTTCTGAAAGAAAGTTTTCTGTGTAAAATTACTCACCCATTTGATGTAATACACGCGGATCCATCATTTTCGCCATCTGATGATTCAGCTTCGCCATTTGCGTAGGGTTAACGTTCTTTGCCATATCCCCCGCCTTGAACAAGCCCTTTATGCCTCCCATCTTCTTGACGACCGCCGCGAACTTTGTATACTGCGTGATTAAATCTTTGACCTCTTTTTCCGTCACGCCAGAGCCCCTTGCCACTCTGATTATCCTTCCAGGTTGTTTGCTGAATAACTTGGCTCCATCTCTGCTGTCCAGCTCTGAAATAACACGACGTGATAAACGTTGCTGAGAAAATAAATCGTCAGAAGAGGTGAAAAAAATAAAAAGCATTTCAAATTTTAAACAAACCTGAATCATTCATACTGTCCATAATAGTCATGAGTCGTTTTAATCTTGCCATTGATTCTTGCTCTGTCCCTTTCGACATGAAATCTTGGCTAAACCCAGGGATCATACCCTACGTAAAATAAAATTTTAGAATTATAAAAATTTAATATTGATCGGATACTAATTAGTTGTAATTATAAAATATTATGATACACAAAATATTCAACTTTTACAGCAAATATGAAAATTACAAATTTTATACTATAAAACATATTAGGAATACATATATGCGAGTGTTAATTTTTAACGTTATTTACCATTAATTGTGAAAATGGTCCCATCTTCATGATATTTTGAAATTGCTCATACATGTCTCGTAAGGTAAATTGACCATGTTTAATCTTCTCGAGCAATTCTTCGTTATCGTCTAGATTGAGTTCATTTACTTTGTCAATAAGTCCTTCAATGTCTCCCATACCCAGTAACTTGCTAATGAATGGCTTCGTTTTAAACGGTTCGAGGTCATCTATATGTTCTCCTGTGCCGACAAATATTACAGGACTTTGTGTTGCTGCAACACTAAAAAATTAAATATATATGAGAATCTTATTAACTGTGCAATTGCTTATTATAAAAAAATTAAAAAGTGTGACGATATTTTATTGTAAATATTAATTACAATAAATTTTATTGTAAATATTAATTTACAATAAAATATTGTCACACGTTTTAATAAACATATTGCAAAAAACAAAGGTACACAAAATTATTAAATTAAAAATTGAAAAAAAAAAACTTACGCAGAAAGTGCGCCACCACCTTTGGCGTGGCCGTCCAATTTTGTGATTATGATAGAACCGACGTTAACGCGTTCTTTAAAAGCTTTCGCTTGCGCTTCGCACGCCTGACCTATCGTTGCGTCCATTACAAAGATTATATTGTCTGGTTGCTGGAACAATGTGAAGACTCAGAGTTAAAAAAAAGTTGATTCTTTTTCTATTCATATTCTTAAAAGACGTGTTAGTTTACCACAGCATTGGCGACTTGCAACATTTCCTCGAACAATGATTCTTCCTGTTTATGCCTTCCGCTTGTATCTACAATAATGATCTCATATCCTTCCTTCTTGAACATATCGACACCATCTTGTGCAATTGTTACAGGATCCACTTCTGTATAACTAAATTTAGAAATTGTTAGCATAACACATTAAAAAAAAAATAGTAGCATTTCAGTAAACGGAAATGAATTAAAATATATTTTTTTAATTTAATTTAATTAATTTAATTTAATTTATTTAATTTAATTTTATTTTATTTATTTAATTTTATTAATATTTTTTTTATTTAAACGGATTAAAATGGTTTTTATAGAAATATACATTTATTTTCACGAAGGCCAATCCATTTCAATTCATTTCAATCCACGATTTAAAATTTTAATCCATTTCCATTTAGTGGGATAATATCGCAACAAATATTTTCTGCTTTATTTACCTTCCATAAAATGGTATTCTAGCCTTGGTGGCGTTCTGCTTTATCTGATCGTACGCACCGGCACGAAAAGTATCAGCGCATACTAAGCACGCCTTCCAATTTTTCTTAAGGTAGTGATACGCAAGCTTGGTACAACTTGTTGTTTTACCGGAACCTTGCAAACCGACAAACATAATTATGTTAGGACGGCCTTTTACTGGTTGATAAGCTTTGACACCAGGGTCAATCAACTGAAAAAAAAAAAATTTTTGGTCAAACATTTTCAAATACTTAAAGAAATATACTTTCTACATTGCTTTCAGCAGAAAAAAAGCACCTTTGCAATTGTCATAAGGTTTAATATTATTGGTTCTTAATCTTAGTACCTCACAGATCTAAATATGTCACCAATCAGATTAAAGAAAGCCATTTTTTCTGCTAAATGCAACCACATTATAAATTTTTTTTATTGTAAAAAATCAAGTGACAGACCAACCTTCACGAGTTCTTTGAAGACTGCGCTCTGTATCATCCTCCTTTTATTAAGACCACCAGCCATATCTTCAAAATCGATAACCTGGCGTACATTTTCTCGTAATTTTTTCACTAATCTAATATTTACATCAGCTTCAAGTAACGCCGCGCATATCTCCTTCAGCATAGAATTTAAAACCTGTCGAGAGAGAGAACAGCATTTATCGACAAAGCAGTGTGGTACATATCCAAACAACGGTTATATTAGAACATAATATATGATGATATATAAAAAAAACGACAGTACGCAGAAATCGAAAGAGTTTCAACCAAGAGAATTATCCTTGAGAAATCAATAAACGGATAATTCTCTAAAATTCACTGCGTCACCTCTCGAGGGTGGTGCGCAGTATTGTCAGGATTTCAGATCTAAATTCAGGCTGCGATGTAAACATAAGTTCACCACGTACGGCAAGATCGTTGGAAATGAGTGGAAATTTCGGGGCGCGTTACGCGAAGACGAGGGAAACGTAGGCGGGAGAAGCGGAGAGCGGGACGTGTGCGGTCGCGATATTCAGATTTTTTTGTTTACAAATCACCCTCGCGCGGAGTCGCGTTCCACGTAGCGTGGGCAAGCGGGAGCCTTAAAAACCCCGATAAACAAACTCACCTCCTCGTTGATGACGGTCGCATTGCTGAGCGACCGCAGGGCGGACGTAATCTTACGTCCGAGATCCGCCAAGACCATGTTCGGACGTTCACGCGTTCACGTCCGGGAGCGAAAAAAAAAAACAATCGTGTACTCCGACTGTTAGCGGGTTAGGGTAGTATTAACGTATAAAATCTGTCATCATCTGTCCCGACGGTGCGGCGGCCAACACGGCATGACGACACATCCGGTCGCGAGGAGAGAGCGATCACGCGAAAGAGCGACCCGGACGCGCACCCCGGTCGGTCGTTGGCGGTGCGCGAGTGCCTGGCGACTGCGGGCCGAGTATCTCCCACGACGCGCGTTCGTTCGCACGTCAAACGGCACGCTCGGCTTGTTTATACATGACCGACGACGAGACACCGCACGTAGTCGCCGTTCATATCGATCAGAACGTGCACCCGTACGTTACTGATACGTGCACTCGGCGCGATCTATATCCCTCCCCTCCTCCCCCCTCCTACCCACCTATCTCCCACGCGTCTGAAATCAAGCGGTCATTTCCGGATCCGCGGACCGCGAAACGCGCGTGCTTTTCTATTTTTGATCAGAACTTTCGGAGCAATTTTGCGTCCTCGTTTATTATGTATCTCGAGGGCAGAGAATACGTACATGCCCCGACCCCCCGTACGTAAATGTTGTCCTTTTTGGGTGTAGAAGTGTAGCTGGTGTAACAAACCATGGAAACTAACCTAATCTCAACAGTCTTTACTTGCAGGTCGATGGCAGCGCCGAGTAGAATAGAGTAACCTAGAAAGTTTGTCTTGATTGGTTGAGATCGCTGTGGAGTGTGGATTCTGCATTAGCATTTAAAAAGGCCGGTATTAATGCACCGGTACGCATGTATGTGTATACTGAATACTTGGCGGCAGAAAGGTTGTAATATTTTTAATTTTTGGGATTTGGCGAGAAAACACAAGCAAAATAAAATTTTGTTTTGATATCTGAATTATCGTGCGTTAAGGCGCAGATGATCTTATTATATAATTTAGATGACCAAATTGCAAAATCTAACGCTGTAGCAAGTTTCGCAGCTTTAAAGATAATTTGTAAAATTTGAGTTAAATAAAGTGTTCACTCATCCTTGAAATTAAGTTTCTTTTAATTGATTGTCATTATAATTTCGAAAATAATTATATTTTCGGTAATTTCTATTAAGTTAATCAACACGATTCAAAATACTTTCTTCCATTGAATTAGGAGATCAGAGATATGATAAAACAAAATAAATAGTATGAGGATGACAGATTTGCACGAAGATATATATAATGCAATGAATTTATTTATAATTATCCTAAAAATTCCAGTAGAGTATGTTAAAGTCTTAGGTTTATTCACATCGCTTGTATACAGAGGAACTTAAGATTTACGGTTTTTCAATATAATTTTGTTACAAAAGAGACCACATCATGTTAATTAATCGGGAAGTTAATCTATGTTACACACTTTCCTTTTTTTTTTAAAGATTCTATAATCGTTAATCATCAAGGAGATAAAGTCACTTTGTTCTTTTCAAACAACGCAACGTAGCAATAATATATATATATATATACATATGCCATATATTATATTGTTGAAAATGAGGTACAGGTCATTGACTTTGCAGAAATAACACAATGTCGAATGTGATAGTGAAAATCTTATTTTATACCTAGATGGACGTGGCAGTTGAAAGAGAGAGACACGCATATAAATTTGCTTCTTCCCGAGCGAGATGTCAACGCGCATGCAATTTCAATTTTTTACCGCTAAAGTACCGTTCCCAGGTGCTACTGACATTTCACCCCCTTGTGTACTGTCGCGCTGAGGACTCTGTCGTGACAAAACAATGCGCTTTTAGAAGAGTAAAAACGAGACATATCTCTCGATAAAATTTATTACCGTTCATATAGTAACAACAAATAAATAAAATATAAAATATAAAATTTTTTGTATCACTAAAAAAAAAATGTTATACTTTACCTTTACGTGAATATGCTGTTTTAACATCGCAGCTCTTAAGATCAACATACGAGTACGCCTCTGATAATCTTTTCCAACGCTCATAGACTTCTCAAAAGTAGTGCTACGTTGATCGACGTCCTTTGCATATAAAATCTGTAACAATTGTATCAATTGGACAGTTAGGTATCTATATATTTTCTCAGATAATTTATATATATTCTCGTAATTCATAAAGATCATTTTAAAAATTCATAAAAAATTGTTTAAAAATGTAATAAAATGTAAATCAAGCAGACAGCCCCTCACCTTGTTGTGCGAATCTATACGAGCCTGTATCTGACCGTCGAGAATAAGTTGCATGAGCTCGTCTTCCAATTCGGATACAGTTCTATTAAATGCGGTTGCCATTCGTCTCATGTCCGCGCTCAGGTAAGGACTAAAGTATTGTATCAAGGCCCTATTTCGAATTTGCGTATACAACAGGTTCACGTGAGGCGCTATGTACATGTCCAGGAGGATATTATCCTTGATCTCATCGAGCAGTTTCAAACAGGATGCGTATTTGGATTCGTAAAATTTGAAAATTATATCCCGAAGTTGCGGCTCTAATTCTAGGAATAATTTGAAGGAACTACTAAATATAACTTGTTTTTGCAACTCGTGTCTGTCGAAGGTGGCTAGAGCACAGAGCCCTCCGTAGAGAGCCACGTTTCCAGGCGACAGTAGCTCGGGGCAGTCGCAATGGTCTAAGGATGCCTGTAGAAAATGTTTCGCGGCCATTTTATACTTTCTTGTCGCAAGCTCGGCCAGGCCCGCCGCCACTTTCAACTTGGTGACTATCGCCTGATTGTTGTCTTTACCGTGCAGCTCCGGAAAGTCTGGTGTACTCTCGGCCTTGGTGACATAACTAAGTACGTGGGACCAGTTTTGCAGATAAACGGAAACTTTGATCACGTTCAAACACATGTTCACAACGTGCTTGCCGCTGGTACAGTAATCCCGCGCTCTGGAGTAACATTTCAAGGCGTGAACGAGATCGCCGCAATTCAGATAGTGATCCCCCAGATCGTCGTGGCCCCTTCGTATGCTCTCCTTAATGGAGTTGCTCTTGTAATTTTTCAGATCGGTATCGAACTTCTCCAATTTAAGGGCGGCCTTCTTCGACCGAGTCTCCACCCACGTCTGATCCATCGTTGGCATGTCCTGCGAGGTCGACTGCGCCGCTATATCCGGCAATCCAGGGGTGTAGCCCATCGCCTCCACAAGCTTCTTGTGCAGCATCATGTAGAGACCGACGTTGTACGTGGTCATCACATAAGTGATCGCCATCTTCAGCGCTTCTATTCGTAACGACGGACAATGGTCGGCGATGTATATAAGCCTGTGTAGTTTCGCGAGTCCAGTGTAGCTGTTGGCGTACACCTCCAGGTCCTGACGAAAAAGGAAAACGTGAGGTAACCGGTTGCGCGGCGAGACGGGATTCTTAATTACGTTCAACAGGCACGGAGATTTCAATACGTACCAACGTCGGATTTTCTACTATATACGGTTCTTCCTCAGCATTATCATTATCCTCTGTAGGAGCATCAACCTGCATTGGCTCCACGACATTTTGCTGCGAACGAGAATACAAAAGAAAATGTCATTCGGCCCGGCGTGGGTGTTTCAGATCGCGAGAGGGATCGCAGAAACGCGATCAAAGGGATGCGAGCGAGTGAACGCACTCGCACGGGGAGATAACCCCCACGACAAATTTTTTTTATCTCCTCCCGAGTCGCGCGCGATCCCGAGGAGAGATTCAGCTCGCGCTCGAATCTCGACGGGATAATTACCTGAACGTCGTGAACTTGCAGCGGCATTATTAGCCTTACCCGTTGTATTGAAACGTTAATATGCACTTTTGCTATTATGATAGAGAGAATCGTACCACCGCTCGTGAGGGACCGAGATCTCTCCGCGTATCATGTATAAATTAAATACGGAACGCACACACACATTCACACACACGCGGGTCGCGGAGCAGCGCACAGGCCGACGCGCATCGGCATGAAAGAGAGCGGCAACGTTATCGTTCCGAATGACAGTACCAGAAGTCCCTGCAAGTAGGAGTCTGGCAACTACCCGTGTTCATGCGTATTGGCTTAATCATGCTTTGTAATAAGATGGCGGAACCAATTGGAATTACTTACAAAAATCAGGCAAATTTAATCAAAACAGAAGTATAATAAATCACCGACGAGATACTGTTAAAGACCATCAGCAAATTTTCGTGCCAGCCAAAGGGCCCGGAGGTAATTGCAGAGTGTCGATGTTATCGACGTTTGACATAAATTTATGCGATTTATTTGAATAATACATTATTAAAATCATGATTTTTATTATATAAATGCTTTATATTATATAAGTATGAATACTTATTATAATTATTATGCTATAATATCATACTATATTACCGCAAAATTACTTTTTTTTCAACTATTTTACCATCTCTCTGGATAATCAAACACAGAGAGATGGTAATAGCATTCTCTCTGGTATAAATAGTACGAAAAAAAATTGTAATTTTGCGGCAATATATATAATATTATAGTATTCGTACTTATTTATAAAGCATTTATTTAATGAAAATCATGCTTTTAATAATGTATTATTCAAATATTTACGAATCGCAATAGTCGATAATATCGACACTCTGCAATTATCTCGCGCGCTCTCCAGGCCCTTTGACCGGCACGAAAATTTATCCAGGATGATTGATGGTCTTTAACAATATCTCGTCGATGTTCTTTAATTTTTATGTTAATTAATTTTTGTAATTTATAAATATAATCTTTCTTTGGGGCTAATTGAAAATTAATGGTCGTATAGAAATATCAATTCTGGTAATAATCTTAATTTGCATCCTAAAACACGGCAATTCTTAGTTAATTTCTGTTTATTTATATTACCTGTTATGTTTATTTTAATTATTATTTGTAATTTTACAGTTTTTTTTCAATTATCTTCTAAGATTACAATTTTAATTTTAATTTTTATCCATTGCGGCAACGCTTGCCGCGCGGCAAAATGCAAAGCGGTTTAACTTACAGTTCCTAAAAAAAATGACATATTCATTGACTAATATAATACGTATTGATCATGTCTTGCGTGGCAAGTGTTTCCGCGTTCAGTGTGTAGGAGATGTCATTAGAGCAAATGTCATTGCTCTAAAAAGAAAGAATCGGCGTTTAATTCCATCAACAGAATCATTTAAAGTAAAAAATTATTATAACTATATAATTTCTAATTACAACACAATAGTTCTTAATTAAATTTTTTCCCATATATATTAATAAAAGAGATTAATAATAATTCTGATAAGCAAACACCAAATATAATACGTGCAAAGCCGAACTTGGCGTTTAATAACAAATATTTTAATGTGTAAATCTTAATTACAATTCTCAGTTCGAGCAAATTGCGCGTCATAATCGTCGATCTTTAACCGCAGCTCCAAACTGAATTATTAACATTTAACAATCAGAAAATTTAATATTTATAGGAGCTGCGTAACGGACGATTATGCGGCGCGCGGTTTAAAGCTTGAACTGAGAATTGTAAGATTCACGAATCACGTATAAAAATATTATTATTAAGCACGAAGATCCGCTTTGCACCATGTTAGCATTTGTTCATCTTAATTGTTTGAAATATGTTCCACGGTCGATTCTGATACATAGTTAATAATAATTCTGTTTATATTTATGGAAAAAATACTGCAGGTATAATTGCTTTCGATAAACTATTCGTGAGTTCAATCAGAGTTTGGCCGAAGTCATTCTAATTATAATGATATTTATAGTCCAATTTTATATTTAAAATGATCTCAAGTATAATTTCCAAATATTATATTATTTAAAATTTAATTAGCTATAAGATGAAACTTAAGTTAATAAGATAAAAATTAAAGTTTATCTAAAATCAGACTTACGTAAAGTAATTTTAAATATAAAAACGGAATACTATTTTCATTTTCATTTCGCGAGACGGAAAAATACAATCATGTGAATCACTGTTTACTCTTTCTATTCTCCATGATATCATACTTATCCCGAAAAAATTCTTTTATAAAGTTTCTTACAGCTTTCTTATCATCGCGAGATTATGGGGTTGTTTGCCGGCGCGTTCAATGATTTACAACGGAAAAATTCCTCTATCGAACGTTATGCGAGAACTTTCCGCTAAGCGCTAGCGCGTGATTTTCAATGATCGTTCGAATATTGTTGTATGTACGTGGCTGCAAATAATCGTGACAATCATATATATACATTAAATAAGTCGCAAATAATTTATTTACAGTACAATAACGAAAACACATATCATAATAAATCGTGGCGCCGGCAATCAAGCCGCTCGAAATATAATCGCGATCCAAATTCGGTGCACCCATCAATCGCTCGACAACCGAATAATTCGATCTGCATATTCCAGAAGAACCATTGTTGGTTTCCATTGTTGTCGAGTCATCGCGCCGTTATCGTGGAATTCAGCGACTCGCGCCTCTGCCTTGCTCGACGATTTTGAAACCAAATCTTAATCTGTAAACATAATGAAAAGTTTCGAATTTCGACAATCGCTCTTCTATCACAACATAAAAAACCTTTTTTATTTACTAGCGACAGAACAGAGATATTTTTTATCCGCGGAGACTTGCATGGATACGCGACGCGACGACTTTCGAATTCGAATGTCACATCCGCGTATCTATAATCAGCGTCAACGAGAACAATATGCGTAAACGTGTAATTGCCATCGAATTAACGACAAACTAAATGTGTCACTCGATATATTCAGCAAAATATTTATTTCTGCAACTGTTGGAATGTCTCTTCGCTGAGATAGAACTATTCTTCTATCTAAAAATATAATCCAATCAACGTAAAGCGCTTACTAGGCGCTGATTTTTGTTAAATCGGCCAATGTTAATAACATCATTAATATACATATAAAACAAGCTAATAAAAACTTTTTTATCTCGTTTTTTTATAACCAAATTATGTCAAGACAATTTAGTTTTTGAGGCACATATAATTGTGATAAATTCAACTGTACGTGCTGCTTTATTCCTTTAATTAGGATGTTAATCTCTTCAAAAATTTTAAATGACATAGAAATCAATTAATGATTTCGTTTTAAAAATCTTCTAATCTTCTTTACAACTGTCTTGTTTTATTTAAACGAGTGTTTCTCAAGAAATCGCATTTGAAAGTCTTACGTCCGTTTCTACCAAAAGCGACTACACTTTAATCTTGGTTTAACTTATTTTTTATCTTTTTCTAATTTTAAAAATTAAAAGATAAAGATGAAGAAAGAGAAATCTATACAGGGATAGAAATCGACATTATTAGATATCAAGAATTATGAATTGCAATTGTCTCTGCCGAGATCAAAACGAAAAATCTTCGCAATCGACGTACTTTGCTCTGCGGCAATCGCAGCGTCGCGGACATCTCGATGACGTCGCTCCTGGACAGGTAGGCACCCCTTTTGTACCTATCCTCCAACACTTGTAATTGGGACGAGGAGAACGGGATGCGGGGATGATCGCCCACTCGTCGCTTGACTCGCCTCTCGGCGAGGGACCGTCTGGGTAGCCTCGGCGGTCTGTACCGGGTGTACTGGAGCCACGTGAGGTCGGTCCATCGCGTCGCGCTCTCGCCGTCGCGGTCGCCGCTTCGCCGTCGCTCCGCGACGACGGGAGCATCGTGACACGTTTCACCCGGAGCGCGGTCGCGCACCTCCGACTCGCACGCGCGTCCCGACGTCCGTTCCCTGGTGGCCCGCGTTTCCCGCCGCGGGGAATCACTGCACCGTTCCGAAGACTCGCGCCGCTTCCGCGCGTCGACGTCGTCGCCCGGGAGCTCGCCCGCGAGTATGCGGGCTATACTGAAATCCGTGTTCCCCGTCCGCGAACCTCGTGCTTCGCTCGTCATCCCGGGAGCCTCACTAAATCCTTCGAAGGACGAACCCTTCGCTATATATATATACATGCATACGCGTATTCGGGGTACGCGCGAGCGAGTCGTGGTCGAACGCACCCGCCCGGGCCCCGTGGGGCACGTACCCCTCTTCCTTCTTTCTTTTTTTTTTTTTGCAAGGCGCATCCTCTTTGCGGGCAGATCCAAATTAGACGCATAGTTGCACCGCGCGATCGTTATCGCGCTACTCGCACGACGGGGGCCACGCTTCTGTGTACCTGTCCCATTGTTGCGGCATGCTCTTATACCAGTGTATTATCTGCGATCTGCAGACCACATCTTCCGGATACACCCCGGGTAATAACAATGTAATTGATACTCTGTAGCGAGGGAAAGCGGATCGCCGACATCGAGCGGGGAAACAGATCGGTGGGGATCGAGAGCCCCGATTTCTATAGGGCAGATGTCCTGGCGCACTGAGGCCTGTATAATTAAAAAGCCACGGGGGTCATCTTAATCCGGTAATATATCCATCTCGTTGATGTAAATATTGCACAACGCGCGGGGAACATGACCCTGGTATATTGTTACGTTTACTCGATACACACGCGATATCTCTCTATCTTTCTCCCTCTCTATATCTGCGGTTTTGTCAGACAATATACGCGAGCGAATCGAGAAACCGTTGCCTTGTGTACTACTACTTGCTCGGAAATTTGCAATTTCGAAACCTGTTGCCCTTTTTTTTTCACATCTTCAGAACTTTGTCCTGGGAATCTTCCCAGGCAGAGCCAAATTTAAAACGAAAATGAACGATGCTATATATACGCGCAACATGCTATTTTCTGCCCCGTTAGCATTGAAGATATACCGTCTTCTTCTTCTTCCTCTTCTTTTGTGAATCTTTCGCTTATATAGGAGAGAGAAATATGACATCAAGCTCTTTATCTATAAGGATCCAAGATGACGTCAAATAACGTTCTAATAACGCCTTATATTGACGATGGAGACGTTATTTTAAGACGTCTTTTGACGTTATTAAGACATCACCTTGCTACTTGGGATGGAAGTTTATTTGATCAATAAGTGATGAAATAATTAGTAATATCAGTAAAGACTGTTAAAAAAAAAACAAAGAAAGAAACAAACTCGGCTATCAGTTTCAGTAAAAAAAACTTTCAAAAAACTTTCTACAGCCGCAACGGCGCGCACATTTACACGTGTGAATTTTGCTACACATCCTCTCTGGCGTTCTGCCGACAAATTTACATTTTCGACAGACTTGGTCATTTGGAATTAACCCAGTGAGCAAAATGGTAGCGCTATGCTAGCTCACCGAGTTTGAAACTGAAAACAGATTTTGCAAAGTGTTCCGCTTGCAAACTTCGTCGGCAGAACGCCAACAAGGGTGTAGGAGAACGTAATAAAATACGATAGCAGATTGGAAGCAGAAACCGAGAAAAGCTGTGTCGGATTAAGACCTAAGCGGGGACCTAAATTTTTAGGGGCGGCAGAATTTGTTCTTATTGCTATTTAATCGCTTAGTGAGCGGTTGCACTTACTGCATTCTAATTGTTCGTAGATAATTTATAGTGAAGCTCTATTTACTCGTCGCGCGTTTTGCAATTTTAATCTTTAGCCATATCGCATACAAAATATTAAATATTAAATATTATTATTATTATTAAATAATAATAATAATACCAGAAAATTATATGTATGGCAATATTATTAAAATTTCTTTCTTCCTCGCTCATAATATACCAGTATTTGACGTCCAATATTCGTCGGTATTGATCGTTAAAGATTTTTAGAATACCGCAATATTATAAAAATAGAAGAATATATACATTATATGCGATACCAGTTATAGATACCCGTAATTGCTAGCTGAAATTTCGATATTCAGTCCTTAGATAACTACGAAGGAATATAGCTACGTTTAATTTCACTGACGACACAAAAAATCCGTTTGCGTGACGGCGATAATTTGAAGGATAATCTACTACGCGCGCGTTCAATACGTAAATTGCGCCTTTATTTCTTTTTTTAAACAGATAGCGTAACAGGCATATTTCTTCGTCATTCATTATTCAAGCGGAACAATCATTAACGTACCAAAACAGAATTATTTTCCGAATTATGCGCATTTACTTATGTTAAACTTATTGTCAGTAAATAAAATATTGGCGATACATTACCGTATTTGTAGCAGATTTCGTCGGATGTTTCCATTAAATTAACGTCAACTGTATCGTCCTAAAATTTCCATTTTGTTCGCAGAATAATTCTCTGATGTAATTTGACAACAGATTGGCGTCAGAACTAGGCTAGACTTTGTCTCGACTGGAGTTTGTCGTTTCGTAACTATTTAAATGAATATTTCATTACGGCAAGACTTTTCCAGTGCCGGATAAACCTGTTTTATAGCTACTGGAATATTTCGAGTGCCCACACTGAGAAAAAAAATTTGTTGAAAAACGCAAAGTTTGTTTTATTTTACCAAAATATTTAGTCCGATACGTTTGACTAAACATTACTACGATGACACAAAATAATTTGTTACTATTATAAATAAAATACTATTTTTTAACTAAACTATTTTGTTTCAACAAAAATTTATCGTATTCAACTCAACCGTTCTATTAAAAATACACACTATTTATTATCCCCATCTGTATCGTTTAGTCAGATCGATACTTGGAATTTAAACAAATATATTACTTGGATAACTAAATAACATGCAAACACAAATAAATACTACTAGTATTTCGAACAAAATAATTTAATTGAGTTTAGTTAATTCTTCATTAAACAATTTTTATGGTTGAAATGATTGAACTATATCTTTCTTTGTGCAACTAAAGAATTGTTGAATCAACTATTGGATCAAACAACTATACAAATTTAGTTCGTACAATCAATTTTTTTTCTCAGTGCATATATATATGTGATTCATCTAGATAAATTTTTTTTCAAGAGTTATCTATATTAAATTAATTTAAAAACTGATTTCCTTGAGGTCTTGTTTTAAAAAAATCTTTATATTTATAATATATATTTTTTAAAACAAGACCTCAAGGAAATCAGTTTTTGAATTAATTTAATATAGATAACTCTTGAAAAAAAATTTATCCAGACGAATCATATAAGTTTCGTCAATAATTGTAGTTTTTACAACGCGCGTCATAAAATATTAAAGACAAAATTTTTTTTTATCTATCATTTTGTTTATCATGATTTACGATTTATATTTTTCTCTGCTTTACTTTACGTCCATGATTATGACAGACGCTTACGTTTCTTTTTCTGCCTGTCACGGCCTATTTCGCGGCTAAAGCTACGAAACCACGAACGTCAATTAATTATCGTTCGTAGATTATTTAAACTCACCGATCGACATGCGCAACGTGCGACACATGTGCCTTTGGAAATCAGTCCTAATCGGATAGGTTAGGTTTCGCAGTGTCGGCGGAACGGCGCGGCGCGGCGATTGCGGCGAATGCTGCGTGGCGGGTGCGGGCGCGGCAGAGGAAAAGAGGAAACGGCGACGAACGACGTGCGCGTGCGGAAGGGATGCACGAGGGAGCGTAGAGGGGGAGGAGGTATTCGCGATCGAGAGTGATCAAAAGCGGCGGGTTACGGCGACTCTTCCGGACTCGTCGCCCACGACCGTTTTGACGGATTTCCGCCGTGTCAGCTGGCGTCAGCTGTTCCCTGGCGTTAGGTGGAAGGTCCCCGTTCGCCGAACGGCAACGCCAACGTCAGACGACGCGCCTAAACCGACGACGTTCCTATTCGCGATTCGCGGAGTCAGCGACGGACGCATCCGATCCGACGACGACGATCGACCACCGTCGACCCGTGGTGTGTGCGTGTGTGCGCCCCAGGATGCAGCAGCCGCAAGCGAACGGCAACGGCGCCCCGGCCTCGCCGAGGAAGAAGCAACGGACGTCCACCGTGTCGAAGGTCACGGTGGTCCTCGGCGCGCAATGGGGCGACGAGGGCAAGGGAAAGGTCGTGGACATGCTGGCGATGGAGGCTGACGTCGTTTGCAGGTGTCAGGTACGCGATTTTCCACCGCGTTGACCGCATTCCCCGGGTTTTGCCGCGATATCCTCGCCGGCGGGATATGCCCTTCCCCCCCCCCCCCGACGCGCGTCTCTCCCGCCACTTCCGATCCGATTCCCGCGGCGCTCTCCTCGCGGAGGCCAAGAGGCCGATTCACGTGGTCGATGATTCTTCCCTTTTTCCGCGACGGCACGCGTCGACGATGATGATCGAACGCGCCTCTTTCCTTCGGGGGAGAGCCCTCTGATATTTCCCGACCCTTTCGCGTCGACGATTGTCCGAGGGAAGGTGCACGATCGAAGGTCCCGCGGGGAGAGGAATAGGTTAGGCCACGCGGTTTTTCGCTAAAAAAATATTTCCCCGAAAACGATGTTCGCGGCATCCGTTGCCTCCCTCCTCGTCCGCTCGTCAGTCTCTATCCACGGAAAACGCGAAAGCATCGTCCTGTTCTTTCTTGCAGTTTTATTTTTAGCTGCAACCGTTAGCGCGTGTCACCTGACCTGTGCGCGCGAGTACCGCAAATGTATAACCTGACGTCTGGTATTACATAATAATTGACTGGCCACAAACGAAATGTATTTCCTCGAAAGAGAGAGAGAGAGAGAGAGAAACCTCAACGGAATTGTCGTCCCCCAGCGTATATCTTTATGACTAATTACTCCTAGAAAATGACTAATTACTCTTGATCGCTATATTTTTTGCGTGCCATAAAGATATGAAGCTCTTTTTTTTTAAATCTTTTTCAAGGACACAATTATCGTTGGAATCAATGTTCTGAATAATTTAATCGGTTTTATGCTAATGTAAGCAAATCAAAATTATGTAATATCAGTGCATTATGCATATCCGCATCGGTATATTACCTCTGCGAGAGAGATACATGTGTATCATGGAGAAATACATCATGTATCGGTCGGAATTAATGTGCCGCTTTTTAAGTAGAGTTGAATAAAAAATTGTATACACACATAATAACATCCAATATAAAACTTCTTTTCTTTTTTGTCCCTCCTTTTTTTTTATATCGTTCATTTTTTACCTCCAATAAGTCTATTATACGGCAAACGTTTCTAATATACTTGTATCCGCATTTCAATGCCACTATTTATGCCAGCGGGAAAGCCTTCGCCTATATATTCTTTTGTTTGATTTCCAATTCAGTGATTTCCAATTCGTAAACACGCTACGTCCTGTCGTAAATAATGGCGTGCCCCGTTTCTTCAAGTATTAATGTAATTTCGCAGGGAGGAAATAATGCGGGGCATACTGTAGTTGTAGAAGGTGCCGAATTCGACTTTCACCTTCTGCCTAGTGGAATAATCAATCCCAGATGCAAATCCATAATAGGTAATGACTTCTTCAAATCCAACCAGTTAAAGTTAATCAAATTTATAGATATCCTGGTTTGTGAAAAAGTAACATCTGCCTCTGTGATGATTTTAATTGATTAACGTAAAAAAAAAAGATGAAGGAATATAGAATAAACGCTTCATGGAGATTTAGATGCTAAAGAGATCATGGATATGTAAAACAGACAATTATTCCACTTGTTCACACAGGCTATTACATGTCTCTTGAAGTGTAGATTGTTATCTGAGTAAAACTCTCTGTTAAATATCGCAAATTATATAAATGGATATTATTTATTTGGGCTTTCTTCTGTTCGCAGGCAATGGCGTAGTGATTCATTTGCCCGGTCTGTTCGAGGAGTTGGAGAAGAACGAATCCAAGGGACTTAAGGATTGGCAGAACAGGCTTATAATATCGGATCGAGCACATATAGTGTTTGATTTTCATCAACAGGCCGACGGACTGGAAGAACTGGAGAAGGGCACGCAGTCGTTGGGGACTACGAAGAAAGGTATCGGGCCGGTCTATTCGGACAAGGCCGCTAGGGCGGGACTCAGGATTGGCGATCTTCTTGGAGACTTCGACAAGTTCTCCCAAAAGTTCAATACCTTGGTTACGTCGTATCAGAGAATGTATCCTGCTCTGCACGTCGACGTCGAAGCCGAATTGGAGCGTTACAAGGTGTAAGTATAATGGCCGTCTCTCAATTAAGATCTGGTTTATGTTTCGGTCTTAATCTTAAAATCCTAAAATTCAATCAATGAGAATGCAGATTTTGGCTGGGACTGCAGCTCTATTGGCTGACATCTAAGGATTTAAAGGGCCGTCTACAATAAAAGTGGTAAATCGTAAGCCGTAAAAAAAAGACTAATTACAGTCGAATATGAGAAGACTAATTGATTATGAGATTGGTCAATTTCTTAAGACTTGCGACCCTTTCTAGACATTAATCTAGACCCTTTGTAGACATTAATTCCTTAGGATTAAGACTGAAACGTAAACCTTAATTGTATTGCCTCAACATTTTAAGGTTCATCATTCTACAATGAGAGTAGTAAGTCGTAAGCCGTAAGAAATTGAAAAATCACAGTCGATTATTCTTCTTACTCGACTATAATTGGTCAATTTCTTACGGTTTACGATTTACTACTCTCATTGTATAGATGGACATCTTTAGAGGTACAGCTGCGTCTCGGCGCCAAGTGTACGGCTTTACAAAAATACACCGCCGATTCTTTCGCAGATACGCTGACCGTGTAAGGCCGTACGTGAGGGAAACGGTGCAATATTTGCACCAGGCTTTGAAGGACGGCAAGAAGGTCTTGGTGGAAGGCGCCAACGCAACGATGTTGGATATCGATTTTGGAACTTATCCATACGTGACAAGCTCGAATTGCAGTATAGGCGGTGTACTGACGGGTCTCGGCCTGCCGTGCAGCACAATCGGCGAGATAATCGGCGTCATAAAAGCCTATACAACCAGAGTCGGAGACGGCCCCTTTCCGACGGAACTTTTCGATTCTACGGGAGAGCTGTTGCAGAAGAGAGGCCACGAGATCGGCGTAACCACGAAGCGAAAGAGACGATGCGGATGGCTCGATTTGCCGCTGCTGAAATTCACGACTCTAGTTAATGGGTGAGTAAAAAGTGATTTCTTATTTAAAAGATTATGGCGACACATCAAATTCAGCATTTGGCAAATTAGAAACGTAACTAAAGATAATTTATAATAAGAGCTAATAAAACTGATGAGAAACAAAAATACTTTAACATATCTCGAATAAAACAATAAAACTTGTTGTGTTTTTTAAATAATTGCTTGATGTAGGGTGCTTACCATTTAGTGACACAAGTCGACACAAACGTCATTCTATCCTTCTCAGCATTTAGTGAGTAACAAAGACGAAACGATACTCAGCTTGTGTCATTAAATGGAAAGTACCCATAATAAGTTAAGTTACATATTGCGAAATGTGTAACTTTTACCTACAATCTATTTACAGACCGTTATGTTTTTCTTATTCCAGATACACCTCTGTATGCTTAACAAAGCTTGATATCTTGGACACGTTGCCGGAGATAAAAGTGTGTGTTGGATATCGATTGAATGGGAAAGATGTGGATTACTTTCCGAGTAGTATTTGGGAGTTATCGAAGGTCGAGGCGGTATATAAAATAGTCGAGGGCTGGCAGTCCACTACCGAGGGTGTACGTTCCTTGGATAAATTGCCGCCTAACGCGCACAAGTACATACAAATCATAGAGGAATACTTAGACGTGCCAGGTACGTGATGCTCTTTGCATATTTGAATATTTTCTCTACGAGGGAATTGGATTAACGAGTTATTAATCATTAAACCACAAATAACCACATCTGATTCTCTCTAAAGTAAATCTAATCTAATTTCGTAGATTCACGAGTCATTTGGTTGATTTATTCGATTTTCAGTTAAATGGATCGGCGTAGGAGCGGGACGAGAAAGCGTAATCGCCCTCTGACGACGCACGATCTCCATAATGTTACTTAAACGCACGGCATTAAATGTATTATTAATTTTAATTCTATCTGTAACATTTGCAATGCAAAGCGCACAGGGCGACATATTGTAACGATAAGTTTTCAGCGAATGTAGTATTAACTTTGAACCTCTTTGAGCAATGTATAATTGTAACAGCAATGTGAATGTTTAGTCATTTTGTAGTCAATATTTAACAACAAGTGAGCGGAAAATTATTAAAAAAAAAATGTTCGTTATATTGTCCATTTTCAATGGATATTCTGTTTTATTCGAGATATATTAAAATATTTTTGTTTCTCATCAGTTTTATTTTATCTTTTCTAATTTAAATTATCTTTCGTTACGTCTAACTTGTCAAATGCTGAATTCGATGTGTTGCCATAAATCTTGTTAACCAGGTTGAAATGTGCAGAGAGAGAAAAAAAATCAGCGTATTAAAAAATCAAAGTTTTCTAATAAATTTCTAAAAAAAAATCAGCATATTAAAAAATCAAAGTTTTCCAATAAATAAAATGGTCTTCAGAATCTGATGTTAACGCATGCGTGCATCGCCACCGCGTGATCGACCGACCTAACCTATAATGCTGCGTTCGGAGTGCGGAGACGTCACCCGGGTGCCTCCGTGCTTCCGCCATCGTTGTATCATTTTGTCCTTCTTGTTCATCGAGTGTTGAACAAAGATAAAATGATACAAGATACACGGCGGAGAGGAAGGGAGCACTCGATATTTCCGAATACAGCCCCCAATTGTGTCAACCAATAACTGTGTGCTACATAACCTTACACGGACCGTACTCCAACCTTCCACTAGCCGGTGAAATAATAAGAGAAAGTGTGTCAAATAATCTTAACAGGTTGATGACGCTTACAGGACTAGGAAAAATAAAAAAAAAAGGGATACCTGCGCAGGCTGCACAGTCGCATCATCGGACGACACGCAACCAAAAGAATCTGTAAGTTTATGTTCTACTTTGTAACTTGACGTGCGCGCTTTGTATGATACAATTATAATATACGATATTATAATTTATAAAAGTATTTATACAGTTACGCGTTAATTAATAGTTCAAGACATATTTATAATATATATCTCATTCACGTTTCGTATTTATTTATGAGGAGGCAATCTCGTATTTAACACTAATACGTAGATGCATTTTTATCCTTGATCTGTTTTTGTAGAAAAAAAATTGATATTCAAAATTGGATATTTATATTTAACGCTGAATTCAATTCTGTCAAGCTAGGAATATGATTTTTATTTAAGATACACGTGTTGTTTACTCAGGATGATTAATCAGATTAATGTGTATGAAATGTGCATGTGAAAAGTATTTCGCTTCACATGTTTTGGCAAACTGCACGACTAATCACAGAAATGATTAATCGCAGTGTCTTGGTTTATTTTATCAACAAAAAGGAAAAAGGGAAAAAAATCATGCAAGGTTTTAACGAAACTGGCTCGAAATCATTGAGGTGAAAGTAGGTAATGTGAAAGCATTTTCAGGTGTCAATCCTAAAAATACCTGATATCTTTACATGAGAAAGGAGTGCGAGATAACTCTTTTTTTAGTTGAAAGCACTTTCTAAATAAAAAAAAGATATTTTTACATCTAATGGCTTGTATATTGCATATAAAAGTTTATACAAATGTAAAATCATTAGCCCTATATATAATTATTTTTTTTTACTTTTAGTAGAAAAAATTTTGTAATAGTGAAAGGGTTCTTATAGAAATCAATTTAATTCGGCAGGTATATGTAATTGCTTTTATTATCTATATCAAACGATTTGTTAAACAATTTTATTTGACTCAGTAAGAATTACAACAGTAGAAGCAAGGGGTGTATGTGTATATATATACACGTTTAAGATAGCAACAGTTGCAACAAGCATTAATTATTTACTAGATTACGATAAAATTCAATATGAAATAACAAACTTTAAATTGCCATATATAACATAAAAAACAAAATAAGACAATTAAAATAAACATTGATTACTTATTGGATTCTGATAGTTTTGTGAAATAACAATCGTTAAAATTTAAAGATTGTTATTTCACAAAACTATATTGTATATATCACGCATACGTAACAACAACGAGAAATAAAAAAAGAATAGACATGGAGCATATATAAGAAATAATGTTGAAAAGGAAATCTTAGAAAGGAAATTCTGGGTGCTTTAACACACCTTTGAAAAAACTGAAATCACATATGCGTGCGGATTCTCCCATGTCAAGATCATTTAACTTGTCGAAATCTTCAGCTTCGAGTTCCCAATCGAATAATTCGATGTTCTCTTTAATTCTCGATGCATTGACGCTTTTCGGTATGGCTGCAATACCCCTTTGGATAATGTGCTTGAGTAATATCTGAGCGGGTGTCTTTTCATACTTTTCCGCAATTTCTAACACAGTAAAATTTTGTAATAAGTCCGGTACAACGTCTCCCTTTCCTATTTTGTTGATAAAGCCACGTGTGCCTAAAGGAGCATACGCCGTTACGCTGATGTCGTTATCCTGACAAAACTTGACCTGCAAAGAACATCACAGAGAATATCAACATATATATTGCCACACTTATAAAGCTATATCTCTCCAGGGTGTCTGATAATTATTGTGTTATCTCTCGTGGATGGATAAATTAAGCTAGAAAAGTCCTTTAATGTTTTGCGAGTTTCTCAATAATTAGTGAGACAAAATAATTAATAAAAATCCACAAATTAGCGGGCGGATTCGGCGAAGGACACAATTCAATGTAACAATGCATCATTGACGATTGCTAGAAGCACGTGTGATTACCACAATCGGCGCCTAACGTCTTCCTCGCCGCCACTCACAATTGCGTGGATACACGCCAATTCGAAAATCTTTACGAATTAATTATTACTTAAATTATTATTTTAAATCGCAAAATAGTAGAAAGGATTTTTCTATTCAATTTAACTCGTTCTATCTACCCACAAGAAGTAGCACAGTAATTATACCCTGTATATATGCAAACATAGAGACATTTATAAAATAAAATTTACCAATTCTTTCTGTTGAAAATTTACATGCAATTCGACTTGCAAATTTGAGATGGGTATTTTGGCGTTTTTTTGTATTTTTTTAATTTGTTCAACATTGAAATTAGACAATCCTATGGCTTTTGCACGTCCTTCGTACACTTGCTCCTCCATTTTTCTCCAAATTTGCAAATGGTCCGTAGTTATATCAATTTTGAATTCTCCTTTCTCATCAACGGGATGAAATTCTTCTCCAGCATCTTGGAATGCAAATGGCGTGTGTACCAAATATAAATCGACATAATCTAATTGCAAGTTAGAAAGTGATCTTTCAATCCACTTTTCTACGCCTTCAGGTCTGTTTCCACTAGGCGGGACCTATTAAGCATAATATAAATAAATATACATATATGCCAAATTAATGATGCGTATCTATAATAATATACTAATGATATACTCTAATGACGTACTTTAATGATATACTAATGATACATATCGCTTCCATACATATAATTTTCTTCCTAAAACCTATAAATAAATTTAGAAAAAGTTGCAAGGTATAGAGTACGGCCTCGATCGAAGAAACATAAATAATAAACGAAGATAAGCGCGAATATCTCGCTAAAGTATGCATACTGCTGTGGTTTAAACGTTTGCGATGCATGGATTATGCTAATGCGCATGATGTTTATCACGTTATTATATCAATATTAGTATTCATAGTGTGCTTAAAGTAAATAGGTATATAAATTCGAGTGTTATACCTTAGTAACGATGAACAGATCGGACCGTTTGATTCTACCAGAGTCAAGCCATTTTTTCAGCACGTTACCAATAATTTTTTCATTTTCGTACACGGTAGCTGTATCTATGTGTCTATATCCCGCTTCCAGAGCTGCATTTAAAGCTGTTTCTAGCTCATCCCCGCTTGCCTGCATTATGAATTATATATATATGAATGAATATATACATTATAATGAATATATAACCAACATATATATATATATATATACATATATATTGGTTTATATAATATCTCATAATATTTATATTTCGTATAAATAATATATATATAGGGTGTCTCAGATCACCCACCCATTTAAAATATATACAAAGTGTCATTTAAAGTAACGCACTAAAATATCTCGAGAATAAAACATGGAATTGAAAAATACTTTAGACAAGAGTTGTGTGACTTTAACTTGCGTATTATAATATTTTAAAAAGCTTTTGAGATAATATATTAGCACAAAATTCAAACTATCCACAAGTGTGAAAAAACCACAGAAGTTTCCGGACCCAAAAAATATATATATATATAAAATAAAGTGTGTGTTACAGAGTGTTTCGATCATTTAGAATATCTGTTGCTTTTAATAATATGATAAAGTATACCAAAGAAGAATTTTTTGTTTCAAAAGGGCAAATATCATGATAAGCAAAACATTTTTTTTAGGTCATACTTTTTAAGACCCCTAAGTTATCGCAATTTTTTTTAATGTGATGACATGATTTTAGTGACATAGTAACGTAGTTCATAGCAAAACAAATTCGATCATGTAAGATATGTTCATTTTGAGATATCCTTAACATAACACGACTGTTTAGACAATTTTACAGCATTTATAACAATTATTGACAGTGCGAGATCAATCATTTATTTGTCGTATTCGAAAATGTATAGAAGTTAACGGTAACAATTTTGAATCTTCGAAAATAAAATAAATAAATATTATATTGAAAATGCGTTTATTTAGTTGAGTCATTTTTTTCCCATTTATATCATTTTATGTTTTATTTTATTTTAAGATGGTTTTATCGCTCAACGCCAACTCGACGCACATAAGCGTCACACAATCGCATATGTACAGTCTATGCAAAATGTTTTTATTGAATTACGCTTGTTTTTATTGAATTATTAATCATATGGAGGGACTAACTTTTGACTTACTCGATAAAACCACCTTAAGATCAACATATCTTATATGATTGAATTTGTTTTTTTCAAAAATATATTTTAAGTAAAAAAGATAAAACTGTAAATCTGTATTTTATTTTGTCTTTACGATATTTTATTTCTAAAATACGTAAAATTGAAAAGTGATATTTTTTAGTATTTTTCTTATACTTCGATCTGCATTAATACATTAGTAAAAACATGCCATTCCATTTAAAAAAATGCGATGATTTTGAAATCTTAAGAAATATGAGCTTGAGAAAATTTTTTTCTTATAATATTTGCCTCTTTGAAACAAACGATTCTCTTCTTCGGTATTTTTTCGGTATTAATTAAAAACAACAGAGATATTCTAAATGATCGAGTTGAGGAGGAAACACCCTGTATATGTCACACATTCAAATATAATTATGTTATAAATTTCGCCTGGATTATATAAATACAAGCTACTCCTTCATAAACTTACGTTCCAAGTTCCAAATCCCAAAATGGGCATTCTTTTCCCTGTTGGCAGAGATAGTTGTTGAATCATTGTTGAATGTGCCTTCTAACAGCGATGAAACCAGACTGTTTTCAAATAGTTGGCTGTACTCGGACCTGTTCCAACCCCACCACTCTTTTCCATACACTACCACTGTCTTTCTCTTCCCACTTGTTTGGCAGCCACCACTTTCACCGTATTATCGACAATCTTTTATATACAGTCTTGGTAAAACAATATTAAGGGCTACATTCCAAAACGTTGCTTTCAAGGAAAATTTTACTGAAAAGCTATAATCTATTTTTTTTTAATTTAAAAAGCTGTAGTTTACGTTACGCATACTATAGCTATATGTTTTTCAATTATCTAGAATTCTTTTATTTGTATTTTTATCAGTTAGTTATTGGCATTGTACCTCACCCAAAGAAAAATGTTCTACTTATAAGCGGAAAATTTCTTTAAGCATTTCCTCTAAACAAAAAAAATTTACATAAAGCCATATCCCTCAGCTATAACGCGTATTTAAGAGTGGCACGTGCGCTATAATCAAAAATATTATCTATAAAGAAGTGGTACCTGCACTATAGTCAAGAATGAATGTTCATAGTAATTTGATATTCCTTTACATTTTAGAATATCTTCTTGAGCCATATATAAGAGGAAAATCTTTTAACATCAAGAGAGTACCGCTAAAAGACAGAATATTTTTTTTTATGCTTAGTTTAAAGAGCAGTTTAATCTTACTCTCTATCTAGTTAAATCTTGAAACAAAAAATACTTTACAGCAAATACTATAAGTCAATTTTTTGGCTAAAATGTTAAACAATAGTTAATAAAGTGCCTAATATTTTTGGCCAAGGCTGTCAAGAGTGACTTACAAGAAAGATTTTGCAACTGAAAGATTTTTTAAAATCTGGAACTTTGCAGAAATAAAATATGAATTAACTTAATCACGTAGCAATTTTTTGTTTTAGTTAATAAAGTTCTAAATCAAAATAACTCAAAATCTGATTTTTCATACTTTTAATCAATTTTTCAGAAAGAGATATTGACAAAATTTTAAATATAAAAGTTCATATAATTTTTCATAGTCTATAACAATTTAATAAAAGATTTAAAAAATGTTTAAAATATTCCTTCTATCATGTCCTTTTAGAAAATTTTTATTATTCGATAACAATAACTATAAAGTGTCTCAGAGCCTTTTATTTAGCTATATGTATAAATTGGAAATTATAATTTTTTTTTAACTTATTTAACTAAATTTTTTTATAAAATTAATTCTTAATATCTAAAAATAAATTAAAACAATTGAAAAATACAATATTTAATGTAAATAATGTTAAAATTTATTGGATTTATATTGTACAATATAAATAATATAATGTAAAATAGCAAAATAAAAATTAATGAGATAATTTGCATAGCGCAAAAATATTTACTTTCCGAAACGTGCGTGTTATCTATGCAATTATAAAAGAGATTAAAGAAAAAATAGAACAACTTATATGAAATGATAAGAGTTTTAAAAAACTTTATTTAAACTCTTATCATATAAGTCATGAGACACTATGAATTTTTATATTTAATATTTTTTTATCCAATATCTTCTACAATTTCTGAGATATTAATAAATTTGATGAGTCAGATTTTCTTTAAAGATGTATTTTTCAGTCTTACAATTAGAATCATTTATCACCGAAACAAAAAATTGCTATTTTATTGGGTAGGTACATACCTTAGAACATATATTCTAAGGTAGGTACACTAATATTTTATTTCTGCAGGGTTTCAAATTTTTAGGAATTTTTAGATTGTCAAATGTTCCTTACTAAATATTAGTGCAAATATATTGCCTTTAGCAAGGGAAAAAGTTATATAAAACGTAATGCATACACAAGATGTAAAAAATAAAAATATATAGAGAATAGATATAGAGAATGTAAACAAAGAAAAGTTCAAAATTTTAAAGGTTGGAGATATAGCTGTTTCAAAAGGCTTGTATTAATATTTTACAATATTTAATGAACGAAAAATTGTGATAGTTTTTTACATCTATAAATAATAATCAATACGAATATAAACACTTAATATATATGCCTTTTTGAGATATAGTCATTATAGTTCATCAGTTATAGTCACTACGTCATCTGTCTCCACCTCTATGTGCATTAATTTTTCAATTGAATTCATTGATATTAGCAGAACCTAAGCTAGCACAATCTATATGAAAGTGTGTATAGTCTATCTAATAGTACTAATTTCCTGTTTCTATAATCATTCAACCGTCAACTCAAGGTTAACTCTTTTATAAATGTATACCTTTTGTCAATAGATAATTGAATGCGCGTAACATTTCTACTAAATTTAAAGAATATTATAAATGTTACAAGAGTAAAAGAATTTTAGAGCAATTTCTCTCTTTTGACAGAGATAGAAAATTATCAATTTATCTCTTGATAGAAAAGGGAGAAGATTTATCTCTGAGTCAATATTTACTGAACCTCAATACGGAGAAATCGAGTACTGAAAATTGTCAAGGAATTCTTAAGTTTCTCTTCATATATCTCTGCATAATGCAGAGTGTATATTTATTTTGTTAGTTTCATGTGTCTTACATACAGTGGCTGCCAAAAATTTCTGGCTAATAAATAATTTTATTGTATTGAAAATTATATACCATGTATGAAAAAATTTTAATATCTTTAATTTTAAATGAGCAATAAAATCCACAATGTTGATACAATTAGGAATTTACTCACATGTATTTTTCAAAAAAAATATCGTAAAGTTATATGTTGCCCGAAAACTTTCGGCAGTCACCTGTATCTTGTGCAATTTAATTTTAATCTTCTTATTGTTAGATTGTTAAATGATAAAAAATATGTCTAAGCGTAATAATATAATAATGAATAGATATTCCAACATATAAGTGACTATTCTTTTTTATTTTTATAAACTAAAAGGTTAATGTTATTTCTCTATAATTTACAAACAAAAAAATATACAGGGTGATTCATTTTAATCTATCGAGGCGAATATTTACAAAACTGAAACTGGCAGACAAAAATGTTTCAGATAAAAGTAGAAATTATGAAGAATATCACAAATAATGATTAAATCAATTTCCAGAAAAAATCGATTTTTCGCTGCCGGTCTCAGTTTTCAAGATATTCGGCTAGATGGATTAAAATAAATCACTCTATATATGTATATATTATTTAATGATTATTTAATGATTTCAGACATTTGAATCTATCTGTAAATGTATATTTGCATAAATTGTGGAGCTGAATGCAAAGAGCTTTTTAGGAGATACTGCCCTAGTGTCCTTAAAATCTTAAAATGTGTAAGTAAAACATGAATCTATGTGTTCATATTGCACACCGTCAGTTTTACATTTTTTTTTTAGGAGAAATGTGGATTGCTAGCTGATAAATATATTGAATATGATCCCGTTATTGTGTTTGTGGACCTTATTCTGATAGAAAAATCAGCTTACAGACATCTTTTATATAACAGTAACTTTAAATCATATTGGAAGATAGGTATAATATTATGGCTAGCCGAATCATTCAGGGCTTGGTCCTTCTGTGAGGTAAACGAGACAGAGGTAACTGCGTCAGAAGGGGATTTAGTTCACAACGATGCGTTACAAAATCATTGCAATTTTTACAATTTGCTGGTACACACAGCATTAGCATTTGCGGCATTCATTTGTACAGTAATTATAGTGACTGAATTAAAATGGTTTATCATTGGCAAAAAACCATACAAATACAGCGTAAAAGATTTAAGTTGCGCTCTAGTGGTCGGAGGCTGCGGTAAATTATTGGGATTTCTGGGAATTGTGTGGCGGCACATAGCCTCGGGTCCATATTACCTTCTTATTCAAGGTTACACCGTTTTATGTCTCATAACTGCATACTCAGGTAAGAATCCACTTTTTAAAAAAATGTATACTTTTACGTAAGACATTCATAATTTTATTGCAACTTCAAGATTCACATTCTATTTATAATTTATCTTTGATCAATTACTTAATAATACATACATTTTGGTTTTTTTTTATTGCAGTTGTCTGCAAGAGTGGAAGGGGAGGATCTTTGATTGGATTAACTGCTGGATTTTTAGTGTATGGTTATATATGTACTTCCATCTCTAAATTGCACCTAAATATTCCCAATATCACACTAACATGACATAAAAGTTAAAACCACACAGTTTTTGATGTTCAAGCATCTTTAACGGGAAGAACACTCCAGCCTAGTACTAATCTATCGAAACCACAAGAAAATAAATTACACACACTGCTATCTTCCAACCAAGCGACAGAACACACCATTCTACGGTGACCCTGCAAATGTAATTATGTTATTTTTTAATCAAATATATTTGTAATATGTGTACATATATCAATAATGAAAGAATAAATTTGATTTGCGTTAAATTTTTTTAAAATATTGGATAATAATAATACGATATGAAACAAACTTAAAACTTATACTTTAGTTTAAATTTTTAAATATTTAAGACCATTTACAATAATTAATGACTTTTTATAGCCCTAACAATCTCAGACTCTGCTTTTATTTATCATTACATAATATAGCTCTCAATAAAATTTTTATTACTTATTTAAGTTTTATTACTTATTATTTTCATTACTTATTTTAGTCAACTAATTAAAAAGATAAATTATAAAAATTATATAATCAAGTAACATTACAGTTACTTGTAACATCGTTCCCGTTACCATTACTTTTTTTTTCAGTAACGAATAAGTAATAACGTTACATTTTCTTATTCGTAACGTTAATTGTAATGCAGTTCTTGGATAACAAATATAATTCTTACTTTTATCATTGCTTTGTACATGTATATGCAATTGTACAATACATATGTGTGTATGATAACGCAGTCTTGACTAACAAATACAAATTACTTTGTACGCGTATAATACATATGTACGAAACATGACGCCCATAAGCGATCTTTTAAAAGAATAGGTAACGGTAACGAGTTATTTTTATAAAGTAATTTTAAAAGCTTGCATATAATATCTCCTTACCTGTCTACTAGTTCTAGGTAACCTTGCCAAACGTTGACCACTTAGATCAAATAAACGTATTTGTCTATTGTCATGTGGTATTGCCACTGTCCCGGTACTAGAAACTGATAGCCTATTAGCAGCACTATCTCCACGTATTGTCGCTAATGGACTGCGTATGTTACGCAATTCCCATACTTTTACACTTCTGTCGTCCGAGCCGGATACGATTTTATCTTCCCTCGTAAAGACTGCGCACGTTACCGTTCTGTAAGAGACATGCTATGTATTAACGATATAATCTTATATATTTAATATTGTATGAAGAATAGACAGTTAAAAATATTAATTAGAAAAAGATATTGCTAATATCAATACACACGTACTCTGTATGCCCTTGAAATACCGAAACCGAGTGTATCGGTTCTCTGAAGTCCCACAGTCGGAATGTATTGTCTTTGCTGGACGTGACGCACAATTTCTGCGTATGATGAGTCGACACGTGGGTCAATTCTTGATCGTGTCCGCACAGCGTGTGTATGATCTCTCCGGTTTCCGTGTCATACAAATTCGCGGTTCTGTCCCAAGAAGCTGTGACCAATTGTTCAGCACCGGAGAGCCAATCCGCGGCCATCACGACGTTCGTGTGACCAAGAAGTTCGCGTATCGGCGTCCTGAGAGTCGGGGGATCGTCTTGCTCGTCGTTATTGCCGATCAGATTATTAGCGGCAGATCGTTCGGAGCCGGCTACTGGAATTTCTTCTATTGACGACACCCTTTTCGGCATATCCCAATCGACGGCCGCCTGCCATACGTGAGCGGAACAGTCGCCACTCGCCGTCAAAGCCAGCTCCCTATTCGGATGAAATCGGACCGAGTTCACAGATCCGTTGTGACCGATGTATTGTAATAAGCATCGGCCGTTATCTATCGCCCATATACGCGCTGTATGATCGGCAGAGGCGGTCGCTATGATGGGCTGACCCGATCTGCCTACGGACACCTCCCACACACCATCTCGATGACCCACGTACTCCTTTTGCATGGTGCAAGTCATAGACGGAGTTTTAAAGCTTGATACTATTTTACTAGTCTGTGCTTTTAATTTGTGAGAAGTTTTAATCTTTTGCGCCGAGTTTGCACCCATTGCTAAAAAATAAAGAATTCTTATTACGACCCAAGAACTGAATAACAACATAATAATATATTTATTGATTTTTAAAAAAGTATCATCATATACTAGCTATATTTTATATTTTGTATCGTTCTTATAAAATTTCCTGGGATAGATGAATAGATCGAAAATACAACGTTATAAAATTAATTATAATAGAGATAATGAACAGGGTTACATACACAATATATATTATATACACAAGATATTTAAAAAAAAGTTTAAAAATTTTTAGAATTTTTTCTGTATAGTACAGAACTAATTAAAAAATAAACTTTATCAGAGACAAAAATAATTTCTGCTGCAGTTTACACAACACTATTAAGGTGACTCGAGGGAAGATGCCAGTTTGTTTATAGTTTTTACATAAAACACGGCGTGTTGGCTATTCTAACTGCGCAGACGTGTGTAGTAACGTACAGTTACGAAACTATCGATGATAAAGAAAACTTCGGTGCAAACTTTGGAAAAATACGAAAATGTAGGTCGAGAAATGTGTTTTTTCTAATATTTCTTACGTAATAGCCATCAGGTTCTATAATTCTATACGTACTTTAAAATTGAATAAACAGTTTTGATGGCAGTGTTTCATGGCAGTTATGTGGCTGATATATTTTTTGAAATTGTTATAGACATTTTCAGTAATTTTTGTTTAAATTAAATATTAATTTATTTATACAAACATTTTATATATAATACATAATTTTTCGTGCTTGACATCTTCATTAAAATGATTTTATGAAATTTTGATTTTATATATATCTAAACATTTTAAATTTGTAAAATGCCATTTGAACCTGCTGTTTGCGATATTATGTTTTATGATGTTAATTCTTTCAGGTTCTTTATGATTTATCACACATTTTTGTGTTTTAAGGCCGGTTGTTTTCAACTTCCGATAAACTATGAGGTAATTTATTAACGGATAAATGCCTGTATAGCCAACGCTATTGATCTAACAGTCACTTATCTATTAGATACATTATCGGAAACCAGCTTTCTTAATAACTTAAACTCGATTATGTACCTTAGATAAGCAAAACGTGCAAGTTTCTCTTGTGCTATACTATTTAATCGCTTGTGACACACGAGATGGCATCTGTATGAAATAAACATGCCACTTTTGCAAGATATAACATCAATTTTTTTTCTAACAATATTATATATTATATGGAATTATTAAAAATAAAAATATTATATTTATGGAAATATTATATGGAATATTACAAATTTAATTTTTTGTTTAATATAATTAAGGTCTCCAGAACATGAATATTAATTTTAGTTTAATTCGTTAACATGAGTCCATTATAAAAAAAAAGGTTTGAATGTTGTGTCTTTCCTCCGAGTCACCTTATATGAGTATTATATTTCTAATAATCCTCTAAATTGTAAGTAGTAGTCTGAACTATCCTTCTCTTTTAAAAGCCTCATACAACACACAAATTAAAATATATTTTTATACATAACATTAACATTAGTGTTAAAAATAAATCTTACATTTCTGTTTAGACAGATTTTTCGGTTCTGGATAATCCGTAAGATCTCCGGGAGGTAAACTGCGCTCGCCCGATCCATAGCACTCCCTTTCTTTATCGCTCAGGATGTCGATCTTCTCCTGCACTGCAATGAGAAACGTAAAACCAGCTTCAACGTGCGCACATTGTATGACGGACGAAATGAATAAACGATTAAGAAAAAAAATTTTTTTTAAATTAAAAAAAATACTTACACCCAAGATTTTCCGTGTACAACATCTCAAATTCCTTTTCGATTTGCTGAAAGAGATCATACAAACGGCATCGCAGGGCCGGCGGGACGGGGCTGTCCTCTAACTCCGAGCGGAAGGTGACATAGTGCAGTGCGGTGGGCTGCAGTGGGGTCGAGCCGCTCTGCTGGGACTGTAGCTCTGTGTCGGTACTGCTTTGCACACGAGGTATCGAGATCCTCTTTGCCTTGCTGCTGGATTTACTTCCAGCTGTGGCTGGCGGTTCGCCGGGCATGACTCGTCGACTTTAACGAAAACGACGCAAACAGCAGACGAGCATGTCCCAGTGGTTTGTCCCCGCGGCATACATCGCCGACTTCTTCACTCCGACTTCACGGCAGGAGTCCGGCCTGCATTATTGATCACGCTTACCGTACGCGACCTATTCCAGACAGAATTACGTCAGAATTAGAGGTATGGATCGGCGTGAGTCGTGTCGCGAGTGACATTCTCGGCGCTCCGTTAAATCCGGGCTGGCTGCCCCCGCGCATCCTCTTATCGTCGATTCCGCCACCGCCGCGCGAATCACCGCGGCGGGCGCATCAAACGAACGTCAAAGGTATATTGTACTACGTCGGATTCGTGACGTAAATGCAAAAAAAAGAAAACAGCGAGACGTGCGATCACAGACAGCTGTGGGGGGAAAAAAAATGTGGCGGTACGTTTGAAAATATCTCGCGCTGAGGCCGACTATCGTCCGCGGCGGCGGATACGCGCGCGACAGATGATTCAGGGGACCACCAGCGAAACAATAACGGAGCACCGGATGCGCTTCTGATGTCGAAGGTTACATTCTGACGGCGATCAATCGCCGTCAGTCAGGCGCGAATGACATCTCTCCGTACCGTTTTGCACGCGCGATCTCTGACGCTGATACGTTATCGACGCTCTCACGTCGCATCTCTCCAAGTGATACCATCGCGCGGCTGCGCCTCCGAAATCAAACCAAAAATCGCGCTGATCCTCCAAAAAAAAAAGAGAATAAGACTATGACACACAACAGCTGTCGTTCGCTTCCTCGAGATCGCGAGATTGCGAGTGCGTATAGTAATTGCAGTTCGAGTCGCGAGACACAATCAGGGACGTTCGAGCGACACGAGCTTATTTACACAAGCTCGCCGTCGATTTCGCGCGTCTCCTCGCGCTGGCTCGGCGTTACCGGATGGAAATTCGCGTCTGTATAAGCGTCACATTTATTTTCGACACTCGATGACATCTCTTCCCTCTTCCCGTCGATACCGAGCACCATGTTTATTGCGTTCTGCACATGCGGGGAATGTAGAGATTGCGGAGAGCTGCCGTAAAGTGCCGCACGACGACACGGAATGTTATGCCGAGTTCAGACTGCGTTCGACATTCCGGACAATCGGACATCCGAAAGTGTCCATTGGAAGAATCCGGCTTTGTGGAGCGATGGAAATATTCGCTAAATATTCTTTCATTAAATATCTGATTAATCTTCTTATTCTTAACACAAAACGATCTAAATGTGTAAACTTATTATATTAAATTGGTTCTACATTAGGGTGCGTTCCCACTGAGCGCGTCACGCGTCGCGCTATCCGAATTGACCAATCAAAACATCCCATTTTATTGCGTAGTTTGCCGCGTGATCCTGGATTTCATCACCGACGAGATGTCGAGATACTCTAAGACCGATACCCTTACGGGACTTAGCGTGGCAGGTTTAGTAATTGCTAAAATTTAAGCAATTAGTCAATAATATAACATTAATTTTATGATTTATTAATAGATCAATGTTTTTTAGACATGTACATTGTAATTCATATGTATTATATCTTGCTAATAGTTATAATTTTATTTAAAACTGCATTTTTATAGTTACCACACGAGTTTGATTATCCAGAGAGATGATAAAACAGTTGAAAAAAAAATGTAATTTTGCGGCAATATATTTGACATTATAGCATTATAAGTATTCATACTTATTCATAAAGCATTTATATAATAAAAATTATAACCTTAATAATGTATTATTCAAATAAATCGCAAATTTATGTCAAAAGTTGATAACTCTGCAATTACCTCCGGGCCCCCCGGGCCCATTTGCTGGCACGAAAATTTGCCCAGGGCTGTCGGTCTTTAAGAGTATCTAGTCGGTGATTTCATACAAAAAAAAGATTATTATCTCTAGAATGTCGAGTAATCTAATCGATGCATCGCGCAAGGACTAATCGCGCGGCAAATGAAATGGTAGTATTCATGAAATACCATCCTAAGGTCGGCCGTCGGTGTGTATCGGCTTTAAAAACACCTCGAAAGTTTCCCGCCGAAACGGACTTCGGCGGCGTGACGTGCCTGTCGATTCACTTTCGCTTGGCCTTTTAAAGATTGTTTTAAACAAATTTAGCCGGGCTCGCACGCGCGAAATGGAGGGCTTCGACGATCCGGGGGTGTTCTTCTCCGACAACTTCGCGGTGGACGAGGTTCACGAGAACCGCGTGAATCTCCAGCAGTCGAAGAAGAAATTCAAGGAGTTCATCCGGCAGTTTCACGAGGGTAACTTCAACTACAAATACCGGTAATGAAGTGAAACGATTCCTTTCGCACACCTTGCGAACCTTATCCGTCCGACAGTTCTCACGGCGTAACGTCAATTCAATTTCTTCAAGGGATACCTTAAAGCGCAATTACAATCTCGGCCAGTACTGGCTGGAGATCAATCTCGAGGATTTAGCAGCGTTTGACGAGTCCCTCGCGGAGAAGATCCAAAAGCTCCCCACGGAGTACTTATCCGTCCTCGAGGAAGCCGCGAAGGATGTCGCGGACGAGCTCACGGCACCTCGACCGGAGGGCGAGGAAAAGATGGAAGACATTCAGGTGTTGCTGTGTTCGGACGCCCATCCGAGCTCCCTGAGGGGCATGAAGGTAATATCACAATTCTCACGATATGTAGAAATAGTAGAGAGGCCCTTTCCGGCAAAAGAAACATATCCACACAATTAATTCTGTCTTCGATTTAACATTTGGAAAACAACAAGAACAAAATGTTTTACTGTGTGTTATACTGTGTCATCTGTAAAAAATAATCTTTTGCAGGAAAATGCCCTTTTTGATATTCAATGAGAGACAAAAACAGAATCTAAGAGCGTCTCTATTAAGCAATGGATCTAAATGCGCGAATTTTGGACAACCCCTCTTTAAATGTTTTCCATTTGTAAATTACTAAAATCAACATTGTGATATTAAAATTTTTGCCTTTAAATAATTTCAAGAATCTGCCATTAGAAGGTGATGTAAAATAGGTCTGGGATATCCTGTATATATTTACTATCTTCATTTTATTAAATTTTATTATATGAATTATTTTAGCACTTGAGTATTTTGATAGTGTTTGCTTGTTGTTGGCCTTATCTCTACATATTACATATTACTAATCATATTAATGTTTACTTAATCTGTATAAAATTTTACTTATCAATATAGGATGACAAATTTGCAAATGAAATCTCGGTATTCTTAAAATAGGTCTGAGATATCCTGTATATTCTTGCTATCTTCATTATTAAATTTTATTATATTAATGAATTATTTTAGCATTTGATAGTATTTTGATAGTATTTGCTCGTTGTTGGCCTTATCTCTACATATTGTATTACATATTACGAATTAATATTTACTTAATCTGAATAAAGTTTCACTTATCAATTTAGGATGACAAATTTGCAAAGAAATCTCGGTATTCTTAAAATAGGTCTGGGATATCCTGTATATTCTTGCTATCTTCATTATTAAATTTTATTATATTAATGAATTATTTTAGCATTTGATAGTATTTTGATAGTATTTGCTCGTTGTTGGCCTTATCTCTACATGTTGTATTATATATTACGAATCGTATTAATATTTACTTAATTTGTATAAAGTTTCACTTATCAATTTAGGATGACAAATTTGCAAAGAAATCTCTATTCATATAACTGCTTCGTGCTGTTGCAGCCGGATATTGTTTCCAAGCTCGTCAAGATTCCCGGTATAATCGTTTCCGCGTCCGGCATCAGATCGAAAGCGACGAAAATCGCGATACAGTGCCGTTCTTGCAAGGTCACCCAAGTTAACATTCCCATCAAGCCCGGTCTGGAAGGATACGCGCTACCTCGAAAATGCACCACGTGAGTCCCCTTTCGAAAGTACTTTTATCGCTCGCCTTAACGTGTATCGCGCAATAAATAATTTTCCTTCGTGTCGTCAGGGAGCAAGTTGGACGGGGAGCAAAGTGTCCCCTGGACCCTTTCTTCATAATGCCGGACAAGTGCCACTGCGTAGACTTTCAGGTGTTGAAGCTTCAGGAACTGCCGGATCACATACCGCAGGGCGAAATGCCCAGGCATCTGCAGGTGTATTGCGATCGGTATTTGTGCGACAGAGTCGTGCCTGGCAATAGAGTCCTGATTCTCGGGATATATTCCATTAAGAAGGTAGCTAAGACGGGTGGCAAGAGCGCGGGCAAGGAGAAGGCGTTGGTGGGCGTTCGAGCTCCGTATATTCGCGTTCTCGGTATCTCTGTGGACGGAGAAAATACCAACATAGGTATTGCTGTAATACTATATAAATACGAAACACTGCCAAAGAGTATCGGTTAGTGATTCGCATTTATTTATTTCTTTTTTTTTTATGTGCGTTTTCTGCGCAGGAACCCAACCGCCCGTTACGTCCGAGGAGGAGGATCTTTTCACCCGTTTAGCGGCAGATCCTAATCTATACGAGAGAATCGCGAAGAGCATAGCCCCCAGTATTTTCGGCGCGATAGACATCAAGAAAGCTATCGCGTGTCTACTGTTTGGCGGCTCGAGAAAACTAATGCCGGACGGCTTGTGCAGGAGAGGCGATATTAATATCTTAATGCTGGGCGATCCGGGTACCGCCAAGTCGCAGCTGTTGAAATTCGCAGAGAAAGTCGCTCCTATAGCTGTTTACACGTCGGGAAAAGGTAGCTCCGCAGCCGGTCTGACAGCGTCTGTATCGAGGGATCCAGTAACTGTGAGTCACATTCTCGTTAAGAAATATTCACGTTTACAATTATTATAATTTAATCAAGTAAATTCCTTTTAATCTGAATATTTTTCATGTGTACGACACACACAAATATCGCTGTTTTCAGAGGAACTTCGTCATGGAAGGTGGCGCGATGGTTCTCGCGGACGGCGGAGTTGTTTGCATAGACGAGTTCGACAAAATGAAGGAGGACGACAGAGTGGCGATACACGAGGCCATGGAGCAGCAAACGATCTCGATAGCGAAGGCGGGAATAACGACAACCCTGAACACCCGATGTTCCGTGCTAGCGGCGGCGAATTCGGTCTTCGGCCGGTGGGACGATATAAAGGGGGAGGAGAACATAGATTTTATGCCGACGATATTGTCGCGTTTCGATATGATATTTATTGTTAAAGATGAGCATGAACACAACAGGGATGTAACTCTGGCTAAACACGTTATGAACATTCACTGTAACGCTGGTCAGATCACGGAACAATCGGTGGAGGGAGAGATTCCTGTGCACATTCTCAGAAAGTACATAAATTATTGCAGAACGTAAGTTTGCTGTATCTCTTATCGCATCTATAACATGTACATCTTATAAGATATAACATATTTTTCTCTCTATTTTTTTTTTCCAGACGTTGTGGCCCAAGACTCAGTGCAGAAGCGGGGGAGAAATTAAAAAATCGTTACGTAATGATGCGAGCTGGTACACGAGAACATGAGAAAGATTCTGAAAAGAGATTATCAATACCTATAACAGTCCGGCAGCTCGAAGCTATTATACGAATCTCCGAAGCCCTGGCGAAAATGCAGATACAACCCTTCGCTACTGAACTCCACGTTAACGAAGCATTAAGGCTCTTCCAAGTATCTACATTAGAAGCTGCGATGTCTGGCTCATTAGCAGGTAAGCTGCAAATTGATAAATACAAAATATAGTATGTCGAAAGTTGTTTAAAGTAAACTTATCGCTTTGGATTATATATACAGGATGGTTTACTTGGATGTATAATAAAAGTTTGTAATACACAAAGTCTACTAGTTTTAGTGATAGAAAGTGGGTGTGTGAAAAAGAACAACTTTGAAATTTATTAGACATAAAAAAAAACTTTCATAGTCTTTGTATTTGGAAGAATACAAGTCTAGTTAATTATTATAAGGTGCAATAAGTGTAGTAAATTATAATAATTCAGAATTTATAATTTCTTTTATTAGACGTCTAAACGAAACACTTTGTACTTTCATAAAACATAAAAATATAAAAATTGCATTAAAAAATATACATTGCAATACTTTATACATTTTAAGCGCTAGATTAGGTTTGGTAGATACAGGATGTTCCTTAAGTACATTTTAAAAAAAATTTAGCTGCTTAGAACACATGTTTATATGAATTTTTTTTTACTTGAAATAAACTAAAGAATTGCCCTCTTGAGTATTGTACTTAAAGAACATCCTGTGTTGGAGACTCAAAGAAAATACAAAATTTTATATATAATGTGTATGTATTGCAATCTGTCATCAGGAGCAGAAGGATTTACCTCGGAAGAGGATCATGAAATGCTGTCCCGCATTGAAAAGCAGTTGAAGAATAGATTTCCTATTGGGCATCAAGTATCTGAACAAAACATCGTGAAAGACTTCCTCAAGCAATCATTTCCAGAACGTGCCATTTACAAAGTTATACATACGATGATACGTCGCGGTGAGCTTCAGCATCGTTTGCAACGTAAAATGTTGTACAGGCTGCATTGAAGAGTAACTTCTCCGATGTGTAATTTAAATAATACGTGTAACGTATTGTGCTCGCTTGGTATGTTATGTAATTCTCTCTCAACTATTTTGATACAAACTAACGACTTGCATATTAATTCATAATTTATGAAAATTCACTTTTAAACGGATAATGTGGATGATCTTGAATTCTGAAACGGATACAGTGACATGATAACATGTAAGTAAATTTTATATGAAATATACGAACTTTTCTTATAAATTATAGAATATTACAGTCCTGAATACATTTGCGGCGAAATAATACTCAAGATAATACACATTCTCTAACTTACCCTTTAAAAAATAAGAAGTCAAATATTCTTCCGTTAGAACCTTTATCTAAGGTACTCAAAACCTTCATGTTCTCCTCTGTTAAGGCAAAATCGAATAAATCGATATTCGACTTGATTCTTTCTGAAGACGTGCTCTTAGGGATAATTACAACGCCTAGTTGTAGCAAGTGCCGCAATAAAACTTGCGCTGTCGTCTTTTTATGCTCCGCGGCGATATTCTGAATAATCGGATGATTTAGCAAGTCGGGAAATTTGTCTAGAGCGTAGTTATATTTCGTTTGAAAGTGCGTCTTGGCTCCTGGAGAGCCCAACGGACTGTAACCCGTTACGACGATATTGTGCTTCTTGCACAATTCTCGAATTGGCGTCTGCTGCATATACGCATGTAATTCTATCTAAAATTTTTTTAAACATTGTTACCTCAATCTATCTGTCTATTGTCATCGTTTAAATCGAGGCTCAAACTCTTAAGGCTTAAATTTACATAGCGATTTACCTGCAGATTACTTGGCTTAATTTGTGCGTTCTCCCAAATGGTCGAAATCTGCTCCTCGTTAAAGTTGCTTAAACCTATGGACCTGGTACGCCCCGATTTAACTTGCTTCTCCATCTCCTGCAAAATAATTCCGCTCCTTCAGAGAGATCTCTTTTATATATCGTGATAATTATACGTTATACGATTGATTTTCCATACTTTCCACACCGAGACAGGATCCGTGTCCAAATCGAGTATGTAACTTCCGTCCTCATTCGTCGCTGCGGTGCACGTATTTTCATCCAACTTAAATGCGAAGGGCATGTGAATGAGATACATGTCTAAGTAATCCAATCCAAGCTTCTCCAACGACAATTTAATGAACCTTTCCACGTCAGACGATCGATTGCCGAAATGGGGTAGCTGAAAGCGTCGCGGGATGATTCTTTAAATACAGCTGTTTGAAAGGCAGCAACTAGATTGCAATCATTAAATAGTAAATTATGACGGTAATCGGCCGTAAAGAGCTCGCGTACGTTACCTTCGTCGTGATGAAAAGCTCTTCTCTAGTGCCACCCTTCTCGAACCATCTTTTCAAAGCTTTGCCGATCGCATCCTCATTATTATAATTAGTTGCTGTATCAATGTGCCTGTAACCACACTCCAAGGCAGCGTTCACAATACTTTCGATCTCTTCTGGTTTAGCCTAGGGGGAACAGTTGCTTTACTCTCCTTATCCAGATCGTTTCATATTTATCATACAATCGGATGACATAAAAAAAAAGTACGCGATCGATGAGAGATGCATTACTATCGTCGGAGCATCCTAATATTATTTCGTCACCTGCCACGTTCCCAGCCCCACTGCGGGCATATCGTATCCTGACAGCAACCGTACAGAATGCATGCTAGATTCTCATCGATATTATATATTACGGCGAATGTAGCACAGCTGTTGCATTAAATGCGTTAAAGCGACATTCGTCATTCAGAAGTAGCTCCGGTTCGCAATTAGCCGTTATTAATTTCAGGCCGGATTTCGAGTACGAGATCAATGTGGTGGTGGATACACTTGGACGGGCTGTTTCTAAAGTTAGAAATAGCTGCACACTAACGAGCACGCGAGTCTCTAAAGGTCCCCGCGCATCGTAATCGCAGTCATATATATCGTTTCAAAGTCGTATTGATTCGCGGAGGGTTGCGCCACAGGTAAATTGATTTTAACGAGAACGCGTGCTATTTTCAGGAAGAAACGAAATTAAAAAGGGCACGACGGATAACACCTGGAATTTATACAAGATACTAAATTTCATACTATTACAAATTGTGACTATATCAGTAACTCAATAATTTCGATCGCCAGCTTACGTCCCCTATTGTTCACGTATTGCACGTCGTCAATATCGTTCAACTTTCAAGATTTGTTTCCTCAGGATTGAGAATAAACTAGAAACAAACGACATCGTGAAATTGAACGTTGAAAATGTGAGGATAAAAGGGCGTGCATAAATGTGACGCGTTCATAAAACATAACACAGGCTGCGATATGTAATTATATTCATACAAATCAAATTTTGAAAGAATTCCACGAGTCGATATAAATACGGTATGTAATTGTATTCATACAAATTAAATAAAATTTTGAAAGAACTTCATGAGTTTAATCTTAGAATTTATTTTGTATACAAATAAAATCATATTTTTTTGGAGAAATCAATTCACGTTACGTACGAAATATGTACGTCTTTTGGATATATTTTAATTTTACAATAAGGGTTGAAACAGTTGAAGAAAATGTATGTAAAAATTGGTGTGATGTAATAAACACGCTTAATTTGCATTTGGTTTTGTATCGATTCAAAATCATTTTGGAGCGTCAATCTCATTTTTTTTATTAAACGTTGATATTTAAAAATATATAATGCAGTACAAAAAATGCTTAGGTATTTAGTATACGTCTCATATGTTGATCATCTATTAAACATACATTCCAATCACTCATCATTGTCGACTTCACATAATTGTTACGAAAATATATTCCTCGGCTTCGATAATATCACTATATTAAAGTCATATGTCTACTGTCTATCAAACTGTAAAGTATCTCTACAGGCCTGGACTTCTCATTCCGTAATTCCCTCATTGTCTCGCATATTTTTTTTATGTACTTTTTGTGCCGTGGGTGTCTGCAAAGAAACGACAGTCAATATTAATGCCAATTAGTATAGATTCGTTCATTATTTGTATATAATAGGCCTGCTCTTTTCAGTAGAACTGGCTGCACTAGTTCACAGTTTATCTTTCTCTTTTTACATTGGAAGAAAGGCAAATTCTGAATTAGTGTAGCCAATTCAGGTAAAAAAAAAATAAAAAATAAAAAAAACCAGGCCAAATATGTCGAATATATATAGTTCGTGACACTCACTTGTCTATCACAATCTGAATGCTTTTCTGAAAAGCTTGCTCCTCCTCGTCGATCTCCAGAAAGCTGAATATCGTTCTTACAACGGACATTTCCAAGGAGACTGCGAAGATTTCCACAGGAACTTTGTGCGATATTCTTTGCAAATAGGACGACATTTGCGTTAGTATGGTATTCTTAAGACTTCTCTTGCCGCTCCCGGGCAGTTTATCACGCTCGGAGAGAACGATGTGGACGTTGAAATTAACCGGATTGCTGGGCGCTATCGAAATGTCGTTCGCGCTTACTTTACTCTCGGACCTGTTCAAGATCGGCAACGCGGTTTCCGACTGCCGTTGCAGATACTCAACGATGTCCTGTATAGTGTTCCACTTCTTCTCTTGAAATCGATCTCTCTCCCACGTAAGCACTCTTAAGGTGCCATTTCGTAATAATACTATGTGACTTATAGAATTTTCTTGGCAGTACTCCAATATTTCCTCCATAGTGCACAGATCTAACGTCGTGGTCTTCAATCCTAACGACCAGATTTCTCGCAACACGTTAATCATGTCCTTCTCCCCTCTTCCCTCGCTTTCGGAATTTCCTTCGCAGCATACAGCCACGTCAATGCCGCATTTACCTTCGCCATTCTCACACTCCTCGGCACCAGCCGACACCAACTTGTCCAGCGATATGCTGATACCAGCGCCGTATTGTTTTGTCTCCTTACTGGCCATTCCCGTGCGCTCCAGAACCTTTCTGAACGACACCAGCATTTTGTCGTATCGACCACCCGCGGCTATGACATCCTGACCGCCCCGTCTCCGTCTGTACTTTAGCTCGCAAGTTATTTGATATATCACACCACTGTATTGTTGTATGTTGTACGTTAATAAAGGTACGACAGTAATAGGCCACTGTAACAAGGAAAAAAAAGAAAAAATGACTTAAGTAATACGATTCACGCAAATTATATATAAATATATATAATACACATTTATAATGTTACCTTAACACCCAAACTTTCTACATTAGATATTACAGTTTCTATATCTTTCAAGCCCTCTTTAGCTAAACCAGCAGCGTCTCCCTTTCTTCTCGTTATTGTCTTCAAGACACTCGTGATTTTTGCAACCGAGTTTTCCGTTTCGAGCAAATTGAACAGCGTTTCCATAGCTTGATCGGTCAGGCATAAGCTTATCAAGTGCGTTTGGACCTGAAATTTAGTTAGCTTCCCGTCGCGGGCGTCCTGCAGTATGGAATATATGTCCTGATATTTGTCCTTCTCCACGCCGCAGTGCATTAGCACAGCCTCCAACAGCGACGTGTGATTTAGGCGCACTATGAAATTATGTTCCCGTATCTGTGGCAACTCGTTGAAGATCTCCCATATGATGAAGATCAATTCAGCCTCTGTCATCAAATTATTATCTACAGGACTAATGATGTCGAAAGCACATTCGTACAATTCCCTTGGATGAAATCCTCGAGCCTACGATAATTCGATATAAACAGACATTAATTCGCAGTCCAAGATATTATTCGTTTCATTACTTTCATTCGCAAATATAATCCATTTCGATTATAAAACCTTGTGACCACGATGCTAGAAATCAATCTCGAACGAAGAAAGAATTGCCCAACTAAAAAATTATTTATTGTTACAAAATTATTATTTATAAAATTATTTATTGTTCAAATATGATTGGTCAAGCGTCGTAGACACAAGGCTTAATGTAGATTTTAAGTTGACTAATAAAAATATGAATCCTGCTCGGGGAATTATTTAACGAGTCACATCTTGACGCAACACGTACATACCTTTTTATCTCTGAAGACACGTTCGATAGCGTATCTTCGAATATGCGAAATATTATTCCACACAACGTATCGAGCGAAAGGGGTGCGAAGATCGTGAGGTATGGAAACTATACTGCCAGTGCGGGTCATCAGTTTCACGTTGGACTCGGTGAAATTAGAATGCTGAACGGATTTGGGCATTAGCAACGGGGTCGCGAGGTATATTCCGCCATGCTTCTGAAATATCTCGACGATTTTTTGCTTCACTCTCTCCTGCAGGAACTGCCGTTTTGAGGAAAGAACACTTGGCGTTCCCCTAGCGGGTAAATTCATGTCATAAGTAATATCTTCCGCCGGCGTAACGTCTTGCGTGAAGCACGACGCCACTAAATATCTGTACGCTTTACTTTGACTGTTGGACAACGTGTGGCGCATCACTTCTTGCAATTCCGTATCCTCTAACGGCGGCGGCAAGAACGCGGAAGAGAGTAATTCCTGAGCGGTAGGACGTTGACTTGGATCGTGATTCAGCAGCCAACTGTAAATGAGTAAAGGAGTTCGATCGTTATTTCGTATAACTTACAATTAGAACAATGTAACATGCGCTGCGTCAAGTTACGATCTCTTTACCGTATAATATGAACTTGAGACGGCATATCTGTTTCCGGTATATCCGGAGGGAAGATGATCTCTTTCGAGCGCAAATTCAACAGGACCTTGACACGCTCCATTCCGGTGATCAGCGGTTTGTACGTCATTTCGAAGAAGATAATTCCCAAGCTGTAGATATCCACTTTTTGATTGTAAATTGCTTTGGCAGTTTTTGCGGAAAGTTCGGGAGCTACATACAAAGCTGTACCAACTTGACCAGTAAGAGATCCCAATTCTTCGACATCAAAACTTCCACCTAGATACGAAGAACACAGGACGATGTAATTTGTCGTCTGGTCATATGGCATGTAATCGTAACGTACTCGTACCTTTCTCTGCTTGTGACTCTTTATCGGCATCGATCTGGACTAACGACAGTATATTAGTCGTGGCCAATCCGAAATCCCCTATCTTGACGTGATCGTTACTGTCGAGGAAGATGTTCACGGGCTTCAAATCTCTGTGTATCATGCCCTGCTGATGAATATGCGCCAGGCCTTCTACAATTTCTCGAAATAGTCTCCAAAAACGTTCGTCGTCTTCGTACAAACCATTATCTATGGCAGTTCTTAATGTGCTTTTCTCACAGAATTCCATTTGTATGTACAAAAATTGTATTTCTTTTACCGTTATGTCTTCGTTAGAAGTTTCAGTGTCTTTAACATCGTTGCTCGAAACGTCCGGCGTCACCGCGGATTTTTGTGATATACCATCTCTTTCGAATTCGATGCTATCGGAAGACTCGATACGCAATAAAGTTCGCATTCTGCAAAAGACAAAATTTAAATCTTTTTCAATAGCGGTTTCTTCTTTATGGGCAACATCTTAAGTGTATGCATATCTTAACTCAAGATTATATTAAAATAAGTTGAGTTAAAATATTATAGTGTCTAATTTTAGAAAGAGAAAATTATCTTACGCATCTAGCTTAGACAGAAATGCGCTATCGGAATCAGTCGAGGAGACGCTGTTCTCATCGTCGCTATCAGCCACATTCGCCCGAGACTCATATGATATATTCCACTCGACGTCGCGTAACGGCGGAGCAAATTTTTCTATCTCATCACTTTCCAGTTGCTAAAATCGACGTTACGTTTTTACACAGCGCAAAAATTTGATTACGATTACGAATTTCAAATTAAATTTCTATACTTTTTACTTTAGTTGAAAACTAATATATTTGACTTTAGTTCAACAATAAAGTAGAATATCGTTACGGCTCTTCCTGTTACGAGCGACGTCATCGTGAATAATATATTTACATTAACTATGTCTGCTTTGTCCTGCGTGGTGGTTGTTCTATCTGACGACGTGGTGATCGGCGTGAACTGACTGTGCCTGACCGAGTCGAGGGTGGCACTTTCGATCCACGAATTGTAGTAACGCACCACATTCTCGTGATTCATTCTAGAGAGCAATTTCACTTCGCGCGTGATGTTCTTGTTCAGCTGCTTTTTCTTTGGATTCAATTCTATGCGTTTGATAGCGTAGACACCGCCGTCCAGTTTGTTCCGCACTTTCAGTACGTCGCCGAAGGCTCCCTTTCCCAGCCACTTTAGAACTTCAAATTCGTTCTGTATCCGCGACTGTCTACCCATCGACGGCAAGTGCAAGTGAATGTCGATATCCGGCTCCTCCGGCTCTAAATTCTTCTCCTTCTCATCGTGATCCGGTATCGAGGGCGACAAACCTCGTTCCAGCGGTATTCTTATGAAACCATGCTGCTGCAATTGTTCGGCAGACCAGCGCATTCTCTCGTCGTCGATGAGACATTTTGAAATGAAGTCCCTCAAGTGAAGCTGAAAAAAAAAAATTATTCAACTTAGGCATCTACCGTTGGGCACTTCGTGGACAAAAGGAATGTATGTGATACACCAGGAAAATCTACCTGTGGAATTACTGTTAGATCGATTTCTTCCCCGGATGTGATGGCTCCTCTCAATAACGAGAGCAATAATATTCCATATCTGTATATGTCTGCCTTCTTACCACCTCGGCCTTGAATCGTCGGGAAATCGTGTTCAGTCTTTGCTAAGGAATTCGAATGATACATATCTGACAGTCTTTTGTCCAACGAGTAATCGGACAATCTCACGACACCGTGTGTGTCTATATAAATGCTGGTGTCGCGTAAATCTTTATGCACCACGTTATTCTCGTGGAGGTACCGCAACGCCTCGAGGACGCCCGTCGCCAGATGTCTCAGCATGTCGACGTCGACCGGAATGTTTTCCATCAGGAAGAACGAGCACGTGGTTCCAACCTACTTTTACATACAATCACATACAATCGATATATCATAAATGTGAAGATCATTTCTCTCAATTTCACGAGATATTCGTTGAAAAGCAATATGTGTGGTGTATGTGTGTACATGTTTACATACCACGAACTCTTGAAGCACGAAAATCACCACGTTGTTATTGTTCTGCAAATATTTCATATTTAAATAATGCACGAGATTGGGATGATGCAGTTTGTACAAGTGGTTCAGCTCTTGCTCCAGGCTGGCGATCTGTTTCATGGCATGATGGATGTCGATGGCCTCCTGGGTGGAGCAACCGCCGTTCGTCATCGCGCATTTCAACGTCCATTCCGTGATGGCCAACAGCTCGCCGGTGGTCTCATCCACGCCGGCGTACACTACGGAGCCCTTCGCGCTGTGCCCCAGACACTTCCCACGGTGCACCTGTCTCTCGCCTTTATTACTGTCGAAGTGGATGAGCTTGGTACCTCTGTGCTCGCACAACGACCCTTCGGAGCTTTCCGACGTGCTCACGCAGCGACGTCTGAAACGGCTCGTCCCTCGCTCGTGCGGGGACGACGGTATGGATCGAAAGACGGTATCGGAATCTGTGGTGAGTCGAATTGTTTCCTTCCGATTACGCATCTCGGCCTTCAGGGCTTCCTGACGTTTCTGTATGGCGTCTAGCAGAACCTGCGGAAATATATCCTGTGATAGCAGATCAAGCATATCGTAACGCGCAATCGAAATAAGGGTAGTTAAAAGTAACAGGGGCAAATTGTAATTGTCTGCGTTCAGAAACGTCACACCTAGGTGAATCTAGATCTAATTTTATCCTTGTTTAACATTCGGTGAGTAACAAGGATAAAATGATATATCGTGAATTCCTAAATGCAGCCCTGTGTAAAAAACGTTAACAGGATATAAAAGCGCGTAAGAGAAAAATAAAAGTTTGAGCGTTACAAACTTCTCTTTCTTACGTATTTTTATATCTTGTTCATAACAAAAAAATTTTTTTATATAGGCACATTATAGGTATTATAATTTGCCTCTGTTACTCTTAATCTCCCCTATACGATATAAACGTGTAAATCAAACCTGTCTTTCTTTATCCTCCTTCATTTGCTTCTCCTGCATCTCGTACTGTATCCTTTCCTGATGTCTCGACACCATTTCCTCGTAAAAACTGCTAAAACCCGGCTTGTTATGCTCGTGCAGGTATTTCTGAACATGCTGACTGAATTCAAAAATCATGACTTCGCCCTTCAACTGTTGCGCCAAATTTTCAAGCTCCGACGACAGAACCGCAACCTGCTGATGAGACAAACCCCTGCTGTCTTGCAGTTGAATGGTCGGTGCCCTAAAATACACGACAAATAAATCGTAGACGTTGTAGAAGCTTTTCGGCGGACTGACACAGGAATAATTTGCGTTTCTTCGATATTCAGTGAGAGGCAAAGACTGTAATGACTCCTGTGTCGATTTGCTCTCTCGCTGGAAAGTTTCTAAAGTGAAAATGCTACGTATATTGGAAGATACAAAACTTACTCGTCCGGATATTTGTCGCAGCATATAACGTGCAAGTCTATCTGCGCATAGACTTCCGCCGGTCCGGACATGCCTTTCTGGGGTGTCAAGGTAACAACGATATCCAGAGGCTGCCATCTCTTCTTATTCCTATTCTTCCTCAGGTCGCGTAATTCATCTCCGAAGATGGACTGTTTACAAAGTGGGAATTATTGAGAAAGGCACACACTAGCAGGCCGGAGAACGTGAGCTCTCGCTCACGCGGCACGACGTCGCGTACCTTCAAGACCTCCAATTCATTTTGCTGCCGGACCTTGCATGATTCAACGTGAGACATTTTGCCGCGCCGCTATTTGCCCATCGTACGCAGGTTAGCAAGTTGAAAATGAAACAGAATAATCTGGAAAAGAGAGAGAGAGAGAGAAAGGAAAGTGTCTCGTGCCTGATCTCGCGCGTGTATGATTATTTTAGCGTCTCGGGGATAAATGCGATAAAAAAAGATGGATCGCGCGCAGCATTTCCGGAGCTGTCGAGAGTGTGACATACAAACACGTGTGTGTACAAACTATACTTGCATATGTATCCCGGCGAAGGTGTGGATAACGCCGCGTGCAGAGAAACATCGCGAGAGAGACTGGAATCGGTAAATCGCGTCTGCTTACCTGGACTCAATATACGGGACTACATCGCGGTACGTTTCGCGATACTCGACGATCGCCTCGGGAATATCAAGTTCACAACAAGTTCAACTAACTCCGGGGCCCGCTCTAACCTCTAATCACACCTCGCGATTCGTCGCGGAACATCGGATTGATCAGATCAGGACAAGCAAACAAATTATACGCCCGTGAACCTATATAGATCTTAAGCCTCATCTATAATAGTCGCACAGGCTGTGTCGCATGGGTGACACCCGATTGGCTGGTGGTCAATCGCAATGTTGTCCATCGGAACTACATCCATTTATGATTTTATGTAGCTGATTCAGCCAAAATACTCAGTGCTCGTTTTCTTCACCGACCCCGCTTATTATCCAATTAATTTATATAATATTCCAAAACAGTTTATTATTTAATTCTTTTTATAAAAAAAGCGCACGTGCAGCCATGCATTAATAAACACACAACATCGCTCCTATAAAAATTTTATGAGATTCGATTAGAATCGCGCGTAGGTATATTCGGTCTTTTTGCTTTTTTTTCTCGTTATGCAACGATATTATAAAACGTTTTATCATCAATTATTAAATAAACATTTGTTTAGACGCTCAAAAGATTATAAAGGAATAATTTTAGATTATAAGAAAGACCAGAATTAAGTTGTTCGAGATTCTCGTTCGAAAAATTGTTTTTGTTATTATTTGTTACGTTTAAAAATTAAAAAAACGATTTTGACTGTACTGAGAATAACAATTAAATATGATCGTTTTACGTACGTGACTATTTTATGTTTTGCAACGTTTGCTATACATATATACACGTATACATAAAGCAAACATTGTGAAAATAAGAAAATACGGATATCCGTACGGCAAACGTCGCGAAAATTAAAAATATTATCATATAAACTTTTCACTGTCGATAATAAAATAGCTTGTTACCTTCGGTACAGCCTTTGATAATACCTCGTCCGTGGATGTAGCTGCGTTAGTACCTATTTAAAAAATGGATGTATTAGCGCTAGTATACGGTGGATTCGTCGGACGGGCCCGTCAGTCATCTCGGTAATCGCGATCTTTTCGAGCGGAAGGCTAGTGGAAGCGTGAGTGATTGTGTATCAGATAGGAGTCTACTTTCTCAAATAGTACAGGACACACGATCGTACATCGAAACGCCACGCGATGGTCAGTTTTCTTCAGCTACACGCTGATACATCATTACTTTTTCCCGTAGCGGGAATCTGTGTTACGCACCCGCGAAACATGTGACAATATAACCTCCTCTTGGACCTTCCGCCGAGGCGGTGCCACGATTTACTTATTAATTTGGAACTTGCGTTCAGTTTTTGCTTCCATGTGGAATGTTTTTCTTTTTCACATAAAGTTCCTTATGTGTAACATGCGAAGTGGCAGAAAAGGAAGGAGTTTTTCGTCTGATCGTTTCACTACCAACCTCCCGATTATAACCATCTCCATATGACGTCCAAATCTTCCTTGCTGATGAGGAAATTATTTGTTTCAGAAACCCTTGATGTTGCACGGGCACGAGCGTGCCATCACCAAGATCAAATATAACAGAGAGGGAGATCTAGTGTTCTCCGCCAGTAAGGACAAACAGCCCAATGTTTGGTACTCGCTGAACGGAGAGCGCCTCGGCACCTTCAACGGGCACAACGGCTCGGTGTGGTGCATCGACGTCAACTGGGACACCACGCGGTTGTTATCCGGCAGCGGTGACAACACCCTGAGGGTCTGGGATTGTCAAACTGGTTCGTGCACATGAGAGAATCATAGAAATAAGTTTTTTTTATTTTCTGCCTGTGCGCCACGTATAATCGTGTATTCCCGTACGATCGTTCAGGCAAAGAAATAGGCCAACTGCACACGAACAGTTCCGTAAGAGCGTGCGGCTTCAGTTACTCGGCGGATCTTGCGGTGTTCTCCACCGACAAGGCCCTGGGTCACCAGTGCGAGATGTTTATCATGGACGTGCGAAACGTCGATTCCACGATGTCGCAGGAGGACGCGATCTCTAGAATATCGGTCAATGGCCCTAGAATTTCCGCTATATTATGGGGCGCGCTCGATGAGACCATTATCACGGGTCACGAGGATGGTGAAATCAAACTCTGGGACGTGAGGGCAAGTGTCTTTATCGTTATTTAATGTTAATTGCGGAAGTTAATTAGCGACAGTAATATAAATGTCGTTTGTAACATCTGTCTGCAGACAGGAAAGAACCTGTCCAGCGTCAGAAGTCACAAGTCGCAGATAAATGATATGCAGTGCAATAAGGATGGCACCATGTTTGTAACTGCGAGTAAGGATCACACGGCAAAACTGTTTGACAGTGAATCTTTGGTGCTACTGAAGACTTATAAGACGGAAAGACCTGTAAACTCGGCTACGATATCACCAATTTTCGACCACGTAAGATTTGAACTCGGGGAATAGTCGTCGCATTATTTTAATTTAAAAAATATATCTACATACAAATAGAGTATCTCGGTAATAATTTCTGTTAAAACATATGCTATATATGCTAAAGTAGACAATATTTTTCTGCAGGTGGTTCTTGGCGGTGGTCAAGATGCCATGGACGTTACCACGACATCCGCACGACAAGGCAAATTCGATTCACGATTCTTCCACATGGTGTTCGAAGAAGAATTCGCACGTTTGAAAGGACACTTCGGCCCCATCAACTCCCTCGCTTTCCACCCTAACGGTCGTAGCTATTCCACAGGTGGAGAAGATGGATACATCCGTATTAATAATTTTGATCAGTCTTACTTCGACTTTCATTTCGAATATTAAATTTATCAATCAAGAGACATATATGTATGATACACATATATATATATATATATTCTAACAGTACATACATACACGTGTATATATATATATATATATGTATATGTATATGTATACTGTGTATGTTATCATTTTTCCAAATAAATAAATTAAAACAGTTTTTGTAAAAGGAAGTAAAGGAGTTTGTTCTTCTTAAAATGGGTTATATTTCATTTCATACTCCTTTACTTAATTTTTATAATCAGTTTGTGTAAACCGAAGAAAACACGAAACTCACCGACTAGACAGAAACTAGGCAGAACTCACCGAATCGACCATTCTCAAGTGAATTTATCCCAGCAATTTTTGTGGCAATTGTCAATTCTAGAAATTATTTGACCCTTAGTATAAAATGTTCACTAATTTTATTGCACGTTAGCGATAAAACAGTGTTTTTAATAAGTGTATGAAATAAATATCCCAAATTTGTACAAATCTGTATATCTCAGTTTATCCCACATTTCTTTAGTTATATATAAATTATCTAATTAAAATTCTAAAGATTTTTTGTTTTAATTTCAAAGCGTAGCTATATTAAATCAAATTTAATATCAAATATTTAATATGTATACAAAACGATTAAAATAATATATAAATATCTGCTAATGTACAGTATATTCACACATTTTTTTTATAATTTTGTTATATCGTTTATAATATCAATAATATCTAATGTCAATAAGATATTCTATCCTATAACTAAATCTGTTTTAGAAATATTAATTAGGAATTATAGATTTTCTTTTTTTTTAGTTTATTATTTTTAGAAAGTTACACATATTAGTGATAAATTGGTTTTTTAAATTTTATTTTTAAAAATTTAAATATCTGGCGAACCAACCATGATATTATTTTGAGCATGTGGCAAAAAAACATTTATAATATTCTTAAACACAGATATCAATTACAAATTTTTGATACCTTATTTAATGAAACAATGAGATATGTGTGGTAGTAGATTCATTTTATAATCACAATTTTTGCTTAGCATCAAGCTTTCGTTGATTTCCATTGAATTACAATGGGCTTTTCGAAACATAGCATATATAAAGGTTCGAAATACACTGCAAGAATTTTAATTCAATGTTGGTACACACTTTATTTTTATAATCATATAATATTGTACAAATTATTACAATAAACTATATATTTCTGTAATTATGTCTGTTTCTTAGTTTTACCAACATGGCTTGCCACAAGCGTTTGGCAAGATAGCAGAATTAAATAATACAGCCATACAGTGCAAAAAATGCACTTATCTCGTATCCCTCACTGATTACGATTTTTTTTCTCTAAAATTATATCCTACAATAACAGTACAAAAAAATTATTATCGGGACAAATTGAAATTACTAAATTAAACCCGTTACTTCATTTAACGATCTATCTACATATTGATGTAATCCTATAATCGTTTCGGAGTGTGTATACAAGAAGAAAATGAAATGAATAATCTCTTCTTGTGTACTATGCTATTGCTATACCATATATTAACTTTACATATTTATATATATAATATCGTGAATGTTTATATTATATATATACATATATAAATGTAAATGTACGCCGCGTTGTGTGTGCTAAACAGGATCAATGCTCCGTCGTTTCATATTCATAATCGTTTATCGTTTATCAGAAAAAATGTATACACGAGTTGTGTGCCATCCTCTATTTTATTGATATATTTCTTTATATTATATCCTATGTTAATGTACATTTTTGTTGTTCTTATAAGAGCGCTAAAATAAAACTGGGTATTTTCTGTTTTTTTTTTATTACAGTACACGCGACTAAAGGGTTCAAAAATCTATGATAATATAGATACAATTTACAAGTTTCGATTTAAAAAAAAAAAAGATTTCTTGTGTTACATCATAAATTATTTCATACACACAGTTTTATGAAATATCATAAATAAGATATGACGATAATTTCGCTAACTGTTAATTAAAAAAAAAAACGTATGAATGGCGAAATGAACGTATAATATATGTATCTGAAGAACCAGATGGTATAGAGCTAGTATACACTTGTCGTTTAGTACCTGTGTACTATATATTCGCGAGACACTTCGCGAGAGTCGTGGGCACTCTGGTCAATTAGCACAAAATTTATCGCATCGTATATATCGTTCGGAAATTACTTCGCAAACATGATGTTTATCGTCCTATTAAACCGGAGATTGAGGACAATTTCATTGTCCCGAAGTCATATTAGCATTCATAATAACAAAATAGAATAAATTCGAATATATTTATCTTAGAAAAAGAATTTACATTATAGAGAATTCGCTATGCAAGAGAGTTAATTCGTACTGACGCGCGTGACGTATTACGATGTACCGCCGCACCGAAATGTAAATACACTTGATATTTCGCGCGAGAGAGTCCATGTTACACACATATAGGCGTTTATAGGTCGGGAGTATGCAGCTCTAGGATTTAACCAAGGAATCAGACTGAAGGCCACCCTTTTTAATGTTTTTACAGTCTATTTTATGTAGGTCCGATAACAACAATAAAAATTCTTAAATAAATATATATCGGTATAATCATTGATGGAATATTATTACGCAGTCAACTAGTTTTTTTTTCCTTTGTTGTCAAGAGTCGTAAGTTTTTTTTCTTTTTCTTTCCTTGTTTCTTTCGTTTTCTCCTCTAGATGTTTTGGAATTAATTCGCGTCTTAAAGCATAGTATACACATGTACACGTTAACGGCACGTTAACCACTGTACGTTCGCAGTGATCGGTATGGAGTTACCACAAAAGAGTTATGCGAAATTCGATCAGACAAGACACAATTATCACTCAAGCTCATCATTGCTATTTTCCCCTGCCTTGAATCGCACCCGATCTGGTTGTGGGTTTCGCCGGCTGCGGAATAATCGTGATCTCGTCGTTAATCTTCAATGGCTTTAAAAGCGAGTCGTTCGATCTGGACGACGGTGACGCGGGCGCGTTCTTCTTATCCATCACTCTCTTTGCTACGACACTATGCGCCGAGTATACGTGGTTCTCGAACTGCTTGTACATTCCGAATGTGGCAGTGCAAACTGTACACTTATATGATAGATGTGCTGGCTTTAATGTCATCCCGTGATCTCGAGCAACGTGATTTAATAATTTCCATTGATATACCTAGAAATCAACGATATACATAACGATATAGATAACTCTCACAAATAATATTCACATTCCTGTTTACGCGCCCTTCATTTCTTGAAAACAAGAGATTTCTTGTTACGAACTGATGCAGAAAAAAATTTGCTTACCCTGCCACAAGCTGGACATCGACCTGCATCTTTCCCTTTATTTGCTGCCTCTTGCATGCTTGATGTGACAAGCCCATGAGATCCTAATAAGTGTCTTTCCAAACCCTATTTAGAGAAAAGAGATAGGTTATTGCGTAATTTTTAAATGTATGAATTTTGTTATAAACAACTACGATCATATCGTATTTAAAATTTATATTTGGTTAAAAATGTACAGAAAATGTTATTATATAAATATACATTGACGTATATTTTCCATAATAAAAGAAATTATTGTATTTGAAGTATATAACTTTGCAAATATTTTCATTTATTAAATAATAATATAAAAATTTACCTGATCTGTGAAGAATCGAAATTGGCATTTCTGGCAGTTTAATGGAGGTCTGTTGTAAATCATCTTTGGATGTATTTTTACTTTGTGGATCCACTGCATGTGATTTCGTAATTGTTCTAGATCCTAAAATAAATATGACAGAATGTAATGCGACACATTTATATATTACTGCCTATATCTTAATATTTGTTAATATTCATTAATCATCTACTATATACAATTTTCTTTGTTAGTATATAACGTAATAATCAAAACTACAATTTTTATTACAAAATTTAATTTATTTATTTATATTTATTCAAATAAATTTAAATAATATATAATCAATATAAAAAAAACTTTGATTTCAGATTGTCTTTTACAAATTTGCGCAATTTCCAAGTGTATCGCTTAAAAAAAAAAAAATAGAAGTCTATAAAGTCATCATACACCTTAATATACCCACCTTAATATATCCATCACAAATTTCACATATAACAAATGTATTTTTCCCTCCAGTCTTCGAAGAAGTTCCTGATCCCGGAATAGAAGTTTGAGATGTTGTACGTGGTAGTGGAGTAATAGATATACTCGGCTGACTTAATAGCTTCGCTGTAGGATTTTTGGGACTGGCTGTTGTGTTCTGAAAAATATAAAATGCTTGCGTTACGTGGGAAACACGAACTCGTGTCAAGTCAATATATAATGTTACTTCCATAAATCAGAACAAATATCTTTTATTAATATCCACCTGAAAAATCTGACGGTTAAAAGTATATATTTGTTACTGCTTTCTCTTTAAACAATGTGTATGTATGTGTATGTATATATATGTATATTTTTTATTGGACTTGACTAAATTTCTGTAAAATTAATGATAATTTATCAAATATATGAAATGTTGCTTATTTTTATCAATTAACTTTTTCTTTTATGATCATGTAATAATTATAAGTTATAATTTCTTTAAAAAATAAAATAAACATTCCTTTTTTCCATTAGTAAAACTGCATACACATTAGTTGATGAAAATTTAGCCTTAGCTAAATATATAGTAAAATGTATACCCAATATTACATTACTATTTATACACGAATGTAAAAAGATTTAAAATAAATTTTATTATATTTATTTTAATCTATTATATTAATGGGAAATATATATATATATCCGTTATCTATTATGTGTACGTGTATTATTAATAATTAGAAATAACCGGTTTATAAAAGTAAATATGGGAGGAAGTACGTTCTCTATGCGTAGTGTTAAAGTTTGTAAGCGACTACAATCCGGTCGTTCATAATCAAACTTGGAGAATGTTAAAAGCCTTTTTTTGCACCTGCAAAACACATTATTCATGCGATCTCACATATATATCATGAAATCAGTTATTCCCCCTGGTTACTTTCCAATTATTTATTTACCTGTGATGAGGACAACCTAGA